GCCAGGTGTAAGCGCGTAGAGAGACCCAAGCAGCGCGGCCCTGCGTTGCTTTGTCTTGTTTGGCCCATCAAGGTCGCCCCTCGTTCTTGCCTGGCGCCACCGCGAGGCGCTTGCGTGCGTTGGGGCTTGCGGATTCTTGTGCGTGTCTGGTGGCTCTCTTCTGGTTTTTTTGTTGGACTGCCGTGGGAGTCTTGCAAATTCTTAAGAATTTGCATGACCCGCCCGGCAATCTCAAAAAAAAAACCGAAGGCAGCGCAATGCCCTGCACATGAGTCGACGCATCTGCATCGGCCACCGCCGGCACTCGGCCCTTGTCGTAGTCAATTCGTAAGGTGCATCAGCTCACCCGCCGGCTGTCTCTACTCTAGCGGCTGTAGCCCGTGGGAGGCCGCAGAAAAGTGCTAAACTAACTTGAAGCCGGGCGAAGCTTGTGGAGGCTAGTTAAATAAGTATTCAAATTTATTTTTACATGTTAAGTAGACGTGAATATCTAGCTCTAGTGAGAAATCTGACTGACGAGCAAGGGACTCGACAATTGGCACCGCATATCGGTACTTGTTGTTCCAATCTATATTTATTACTTTTTGTTGGACGCCGGGCACTAATTGCTGCTTTCCTGCGTTGGTCAATGTCGAGCTCTACTAGTGAGTATGATTCAATCCATGTTCCGTAATAGTTCGCAGCGCCGTGAAGGTTCGGAGACCGCTTTTATCCACCTCCACACCCAACAATGGCAGGACGAACTGGGGTAAAAAACCGCACCCAACCACGAGAAGGTTAGAGCTACCGCGATCGCGTCCTTGAGTGCATCCTTGGCCTCTTTTTCAAGTAGAAAAAGAGTGAGCGTGGATGATGCTGAGGATGCTCTAGCAGTAGCCTTAAGAAAAGCATCGAATCCATTGAAGGGCTCAAAAATCATTGTCCAGCCATAGGCTACGCAACGCAGCAAAAACTCCGCAAAGAAGAGAAGACACAATTAGAGAGGTGCGCTGTGAGAGTACTAGATGAACTTCGTCTACTTAGAGAGTGTCACGGGAGGAGAATTTCTACATACTTTCTTAGGACAAAGAGCATCTGACGAGTTGTACAAATCTTCAATCACGTTAGCAGAAGAATGCAGTGAACTCCTCCTAACCATGGAAACTAGAAATCTGCTATCAGAAGCTTTGTACTCAAGCCGAAAGATAACTATTTTTTCAACGAGCAAGAGCAAACGGACTCCACATAGCATAAGTGAAAAACTTCTCCAAGGCGTCGAACATTTCTTCATTGGCAAATCTATCGAACTGCGATATCTGCCAGGACAAGAAGCCTGCATTCACTAGGATGAGCGTTGACCCGAGAATTTCGAAGTCAAGAGAATTAGAGCTGAGAACAATTCCTCTCTTAGTCTCATTGTCATAATTCTTTGAGTACGCTGTTGAGAAAGAAATTTAACAGTAAAGAAAATAATGTTGACACAATTGTATTGAGCCTTAAGGGAAGATACAAGCTTGTAAACATCAGGGAAAGCGTGCACGTAGTCCGGCTCTTTCCTCCGCATCCGGTCCTCCCGAATGTAGTCACGAATTCCGGTGAGACCTGAACGTGCAAGTTATTCATCGCCGGTATCAACTTGGGATGAAACCTTAGATAACTTGCGAACGCGAACCTTTCAAAAACTATATTTTTCATGTTATATTAAACGAGTCATGCACTACATAACGGTCATGCGATTTCGTTCCTCGAGCCTTCTGTAGGTCTACCTAGAAAAAATAAATAAATAGCTCCAAAATCACAATCTACCTGAAAGTTCTAAGAGAGCTTTGACCCATTCTGGCGCGTCGACATTCAACACGTTTGTTTGAAGTCCCTTCGCATCAACCATCTCAAACATGCCTCCTTTGGAAATCTGATTCAACTCCAGCTCCCGCTCAAAATCCTGCAAGCATTTTATTGTGAAGAAAGACTAACACTAAGAACTACATCCGTAACAACGAGGCGAATTAGGATTTGCTATCCTTCTTGTCATGACCACAATGCGAAGTCAAGACCGTGGAGCAAGGGGAATCTACTAGATCGAAGCAGAATAAACTACAGCAAGGATACGGAAGGTGAGTAAAAGCCAAGGTGCTCACTGACGCAAGATATTACCTAACAACCGAAACCTTTAGTTTTAAATCTGTAGTCGAAAATAAGATTCTAGGACAGTTCCGTATCAAAATACTAAATACCAATGGCAAGACTCCGAATTTGACAGCGGCATGGCGTAGGATCCCCACCTCACCTACGTTGCGTCTAAAAGCACGATTCAAATTCTGACTTTTCTGTACCTCGTTCTTACCACGCCGCCTAATCCGCCTATGCATTAGACGAATCCCAATGCAAGACTTCTGTACAGATGACAGCCACACTATCACTATAAATAAGGAACTTTTGCAATCAAATAAACTAGTATTTCCTGTTCCTAAAATCTCATCCGTCTGCTCTTCCAGTGTAAAACCTTCTAGAGTGAAGTGTCTTTGGCGCAGGATCTCACGCGCGTCAGGGAGGACCGTCATGCCTTCTTCGTTCACGAAAAGGGCGTCCTTCAGCATGCTTTCTTTCTGGAGCTTTTTTCTTTCCTTCTCTGGATCGTATAGGTCCGTCGCCGTTGATGACATCGATTTTCGCATGAAGAAGGAAGCGGGAAGAAGAACAAAGACGAAGGATGAGTATATTTGGAGCTTTATTAAAGTCGAACTCCCAAGTAAGTATCTACCTTGGTACTTAGACTTAAGCGACTGAGTGACTGGACTCAATCCGCAGACTTCATAAGAGCAGCAACGCTACCAAGCTTTGACTCGTCTTCAGTGCCGCTAGCTGAGGGCATTTGAAATCCGGCTGGAAGCTGCGAGGTTGGAATACCAGCCATCGCCGCAGCACTGTCTGGCGTCCCCGTCCGCAAACTCGCCATACTTGCTTGTCTCTTGACCTTAGAGCAGAAACTACTTGCACTTCTTTTGCTAATTGTTTTCGAACAAGAAGAAGAATTATTATTTCTACGGTATTTCATTCTTTCTCGAAACAAACCTTGTGGTGCATAAGAAAATTCGCAGCTGCGGCTGCCTCTTTGTCGTCGGTCGGTGTAGGGATAGGTACACCTGGCAAGTCTTCGGGACTAGCATTTTCTGGAATAGTAGCCGGAACAGCGCCAGGCGGCAGGTCGGCCACCCGACCGCCGCGAAAGCGTCGTTTTGCGCTACCTCCATCCGACGTAGTGCTTCCTGGTCGCTCCTGCTCTGGTGGTGGTGCACCAGACATCTTGAATTGTTGTTCTCGGCAGGATGAATTATGTTGCCGTTGTTATTGGTGAATTCCTCAATGAATCGATCATGACAAGACGTTTCATTTTATTGCACTTCCCTTTCCCAGAAAGCAGTCAAAAAGGACGGTCAGCGTTCTTATCATGCCGGTCGTCGCACCACCGTATTCACGGCTGGCCTCCTCAGTACGCCTGCCTCAACATCGTGAAGAGGAAGCAAACGCCACCTCCACCAAGAAAAAGCCATGTGTGACTAGTGCAATTGCTTAGGCGAAGCTTCATTATTCAAGATTGACAATAAAGTTCGTCTCACTCTCAACTAATGATCTCGATATCTTGAATGAAAATACAAATGTGACAAAAACCAGAGTGCTTCTCGTAATAGACAAGAGGTGAAACATACGCATCGCGCTACGTACCTTCTCTCACACACATTGAGGTTGAGGAGGTGCTATTTCGATCCCGTTTCGTTTCGTGGTCATTACGGGCCTTGTTTCAGTTCCTTCAATTGTTCGAAGTCATATCCGAACCACAGCAAAAACCAAGTATGGTTTTTTTTTCTGCCTTTTTTTGCATCGAAGTCGTGCCGCTACGGAGGTCTTTCTTCCACCGGTCGAGAAATAAAATTTGCGCTGGCGCCTCCGGCAAATTGTTCGCCGTCTTGATGTTGCCGTTGTATCTTCTCTGCGAATAATCAATCCATGATTTCATTTAGGTGGACCTTGACCACCGACGAGAACCCATATAAATAACAACAACAACCTGCCTCGGATAATTGCGCGTCGAGAAAAAGATATAACTACGTGATACTGCACCATTATCATAAACATGAACACTTTGCTCTTTGATATACACAATGCTCGCCATGCATTACTGACAGACAAAGAAAAATAGAAAGAAATAGAAAACAGAGTTCGTTGGATAAAAAACATGTGAAACAGTGACAAAGTGATCAAACTATCGATACGGAAAGCGAAGACGAACAATTCTGCGTTATATTCCTCAAAGGAAAATTCGACTACGAACCCTAACACAAACAACTAGTAGCTGCACTACAATCTGAATTTTACTCATTATCTTCAGTGTAAAACAACTCTACCTCTGGGTCTGCCTAGCGAATTTGCTGTAAGGTATTTCACGGTTTCCGGATTATATTATGCGCGTAACAGTCATCAACAACAAAAACAAGATACTACTGGTAAACAACGTACAAAGTTCATCAAGTGTCACTTGACAAGTGATTGTGATACAATCAACAAATCGAAATCAGTTTAGAAATCTATTCCCTAAGTCCTTGTACGCAGTGTCATTGTTGACATTTTTCTGCTAGTAAAGGTAAGACAAGTCTGTGTCGTAGTGTTATCATGAATCAATTCTATACTCTAGTACTTCTTTGAAAGTACCTACCTCGTCTCGATCGTGGACGACCAACGCACTAACACTATCCGCTTCCGCGACGTACTAAGTATAATTGATCACTGATCAGTAAACTCCCAGTGTACTGTGTTGTACGTGAGTAATGAGGAATATCCACTGTACTTAAGTGCAGCACTGAAGTGCAGGATCAGTAACCCGATCCACGATCATAATCCCCAGTCCGCCACCTGCATCGGTTATTTGTACATCTGTTCCATGTCAGCCAGATTTTTCGTAGCAAAAGCAAAGTAGTCTTGAAGCGTGTAAAGGACAATCTCGCTCAAACGCTTGTCGTGGCTCAAAACCTCGATCTTGCTGGCCTGCAAGTAAATCACGACGTTCAAGTCCTTCTTGCAGACGCCGTGTCGGACGAGACTTGTTGCCAGCGTAATTCTGTCCATAGTGCGCTCTACTTCGGACAATATGCCGCCAAAAGTTAGCAGGTTCAGGGGAAAGTCGTCGGAAAGAACCTGCGAAGTTTGAGTTTCGTTGCAAAATAAAGCTTAATGATGTTCTTTCTGCGAAGAAGAAATGGAAAGGAGAGTCACCACGGTCTTACCTATCAAATGTTTCCTCTACCGTGGTACCACCTTTGTAACATCTTCATCTTCTATTTCATCAAGAACAAGAACATGAAATATTAGCATCTTTCTAGATGGACCTCGCGGTAGAATATCCCAGCCGCTTGCGCGACACAATTTCGAGGACACGTCTTCGCGAATTCAGTCAAATCTGTCGCATCGACTTCCCATGGTAGGCAGAATTTCAACAACACTATCGGCAACGCAAACGTGCAATCGTGTTCGATCCGTGTTTGGGATTGGTATGAACGAAGGAAATAGAGATTCAAATCGAAACTGTACATAGTTACGACCTTCTAAGAAGCGGTGCTTCTACTAAAAAGACATAGATACGTCTAAGAGTAAGTACTAGATGTAGAAGATTAGAAGCAGTATGGCTACCTAAATCAGTATGCTGCTAAGACGAGATAGACAATATCCGACGCCCATAAATCCAGTACGGTTATGTCGCATTTGACAAACGGGTGGGCCTTTAGATTAGCGCGCGGTAGTCTTTCACTATACCGAGTCGAGCAGGATGCCCTGCGCCCCCCTTGTTTTCTCTTTAAATCAAGGAGAGCGCCACTCAGCATAGTCCACCTGGAATAGTGAAGAACTACCCTTAGCTAAAAGCTCCAACAATTCCACGCAAATTGTCTGTATTATCACCTGTGGGGGTCCGGCCTCTTTTGTCGATGCTGCCGCACTAATCGGCAAAGGTACTACCTGAGAGGTCATCAACTTTACCGTGAGGTAATGCTAAAGGGCAAGATTGATGTTGATCCATCGTAGACTTAATAATTCGGCAATCCATCTTCGTAGACTTATGAGTTGTCTAATATGAGTTGTAATATGAAACTGACTCCACGACGTTCCATCCTAATTGTTGCTTGCAACGTGGCCAGACGAGTAGTACATACACATGCAGGTTACTTCGACGTACAACAAAGTCGATGTCCTTGTCCTCACAAAGCATGATATATAAGTGATACTTTGAGTCCTTTGACATCGTTATTCGTGCATTTCAAGTGGATACTCTCGAACCCCTTTGAAAAGAGCTTCAGGTCTACACGGCCAGCTAACAGCCCACGCTCCGCATGGTGGTAGAAGTCGTCGTTCGTGAAGGGGAAGCTCTGCAGCCAATGTACCTCGACCTCCTCGTTCTGATACAAAATACGATTAGAAAAAAGCCAGGTCACATTTTCCCTAAATTTTCCACTCTGGAAGCTGCTTTTCCGGGTAAAATAAAAAGAGTCGAGGATAATTTTTTTTAAGGACTGAGAATGATTTACCGGTAGCCTTAATACCACTATCTTCTTGCAGCAAGAGCTGGAAGAAGCGCAGCTTATTGTCCTCGTCGAGAGAGTCCAAGCCTGGAAGTCTAACCGCGACAGGCTGTGATTGCACTAATTTGTCGAGTTGCCTCTCTAAGGAGGAGCCACGTCCTGCTCCGTCGCCGGCACCTGCGCCCCCTGCAGCTGCACCACCGCCACTCTGCTGTTGTCTATGAAGGTGAAGAGAGGGAGGGAGGGAGTGAATGAGACTGTGCTGTTACAAACTACGTCAAACGCTTTTTACAACACTTTTGATGACAAGTCACAAAATAAGCCTAACATTAACAATAGATGCCACTGGGTACGTACACCACTTACACTTATACTGTAAATGTAAATTCTTTTTCGAAGAAATGAATCTACTTTGCTTCTGCGAATTTCGATTTGTTTTTAGCCGTTCATAAATTATCATCGTTGCTTCTGCTAATTTCATTTCGAGCTCTCGGTCTTTCTCTTCCAGGGCCTGCCGCATTCGATCAAAGTCTTGCTCTCTTTCAGCACTTACCTTAGAACTCACCCGAATCCATCTTAGGATTCATCTTGATCATTCGAACAGCTCCAAGAAGATGTTTCATACGTAAGATGGAATTTTTGGATTTCAAGCCTTAATCACCGCTTTATCCCTCTCCAGGTCTTGGATCCTTTGCTGTAGCTGTTGCGCGTGCAGACCCATGTCCCGCAACTGCGCCTCCGCTTTGTGCGCTCCTGACGATGCAATGCTTAGAGAGGAGAAGAGGGTGCGTGGGGAGATTATTGACCACATTGAGGGCAAATTATAGACAGAGTGCTGAGGAAAACGAGAGAGACGGCTGATAGCAGGAGTTGAAGATGAGTCATTTTCCATGTACGATGTACTTAGCTAATTGAAGGACGTCGACAAGTACGAATTATTAGATAACCAGTACAGACTGAAAAGTCAAAAGATGAACGACTTCTACTAAGTTACAACTATAAGTAAATGTATAAAACTACGCATGAGGAGCATAACTTACAACTATGTATAAGTAAGTAAATGTATAAAACTACGCATGAGGAGCATAACTTACAACTATGTATAAGTAAGTAATAATGTAAAACTAGGCATGAGGAGCATAACTTCCCGCATGGATAGGATATTACTGCAGGATCGTCGCCAATACCATGTGAAAATTCGGCTACCCAGCCATACTGTGTAGGATCTTCCAAGGCATCCCCGGGAATCACCACAGAAGGAATGAAAGGTGAACAAAGAAATAACAAGCTACCAGCCTGCTTAATCTTTAGCATGGTCAGATCGTCACCAGATCAGTGTACTACCAGATGCTTTTGCTTAGTTACAACTCTTACTACATGATATTACGTACTTAGTAATAGTTGTCTAACTATGTTGAGGAACCTTGGTTGTAGTAGTATGATCACGCACGTTGTCTGCACCAACTTGATGGGAGTTTAATAGACAGAATCAGAAATTACCACAGTAGTGGATTTCAGAAATTCTAATTATATGATTCTAGTACTGATTGATAGAAGGACCTACGCGTGTAGGTGGTGCGAAATGAGATATGAAGTAAGCCGTATAATGTTTCGTGGTAACCACTGTCCAGACACTCGCAGCCTTTTTGTCAACTAATATTGGAGATCCGTCCTCATCTAATTTCTGGGCTGGTTCCTCGGCCGTCGCGCGCGGGCTGCCCTCCGTAGGCGCCTTTAGCCAAACCTAGTGAAAATGTTTTTTAGACGGTAACATACCAGTGTGGAAGTGTTGTGAGAGTACTAGAAGATTTATGGAATCGGGCCTAGAAGACGAGACTCCTTGTTGCGTTCTTGAAATTACGACATCAAGCAATAAGGAGAAAACAAAATTCCTATTCTTCTGAGTTTTGCAGATTCAGTGCGAGAAGGATACCTTAAACGCGACACTGCTAAAGTTGACACTGGAAGAAGACGAGCCTCCCTCTTGATACAGCGACCTAACTACTAACTGCTTCTCGTCGTCTGGACTGCCATCTCCAGTATTCATGAAAGAGGTCCACCTGGGGTCGATAGGGAAATCCAACTCTTAGACGTATACGTTGATCCATTCATCACGTTGGAGATGCACATAAACTTACCACGCGTCCTATTGGCATTTATCAAATTATCCATTCATCACATGATCAACAAAACAGAAAGTAGTATATTAGAAATCTGTTGCCTTATCTGGTTCTTGTTCTACTACAACGCGTATCTTTCCCGCCGCCGTCTGCCTCGCAACGCTAGCCAGCTGCTCGCTGCTACCCTTCTGTGGATCATCTCGAGAGTGTGCTACGCGATCGATCTGAGAGTGAGAAATTTATTGTTCAAAGAAGTCCATAGCACCGTCGCTTTGTCTCTTGTGATTGTGTGCGGTGAACTTCTCCAAATAGAAATAATTCATTCATCAACTACTGGTTATCATAGATACCAAGTGAAATTCGCCTGATCCGAATAGCAGCTGCTCACCAAGGAAAGTCCCTTGGTCACCATCGTAAGCCTCGAAAAGAATCAAAGGCGTCTTGTCTTCGCATCCCGCGAGATATTCTATATGCTTTTCCGCATGCTTCTGATACTCGCTGAAAAGCTGTATGGACAAGTTGAAGAGTAGGCCTGCATAGCCACAATAAAGCACGGTGATTTCCGATACTACATAATTTCAGACAGCCTTGGCCAATAACTAGAAGATCTAGATCATCTTCAAAGGAGTAGTACTAGAACTCCAAAATTTATAAGTAAAGTGTCTTCGTTAATAATACCGCTTGTAGTTCTTTCAAATCTTTATCCTTCTTTTTCTTTTCCGCTTGCAGTTGCGTGAGCTCCTTGTTGAGCTGCTGTGCCACATTGTCCTTCTGTCCTACCGCTTCGTCCAAATTTGTTTTTGTAACACGCTGTTCTGCAAGGACCTGGGGATCGTTAGCTTATATTTCTTTCCACGACTCCATTTGTGAGAGGGGTGAGGAAAAACATCACAACCTTCAAGTTAACCTGCAGTGTTAAATACACACTAGGCTATCTCTACGATCATCTTAATCAGTAACTTAGGCTAAGACGTATAATTGAGTGTAGATTCGTGTCAAACCTGCTGCAGTTTTTGATCTCGCTCACTGATTTGCCCATGCAGGTTTTCCTCGACGCGAGCCTTCTCTTGCTCCAACTGCTTCAGTTGGGTTTCGAGCGCCTCTTCATTAGAAGACACACTCTAGTTGAGGACTGAAGGGAAGACGTCTTCCCAAAACGAAATGCTGAGGCGGCCCAGCTAATATGATCGATTTGCTGGTCATTTTCTATGTGCCATGAGCAAAAATCCTTAACTTTCTGCCTCTGCAGGTTATCTCGCTCCTGACGTAGGGCGCCCCCGCCTCCGCAGAGGCCCATTTTGACCTGACTAGTCTTTCCTCTTACCACGAAATCTTTTGCATCAATTACGCTCGTTTACTGTACTAGTTGCTGCACTACGTTCTAGATCTGGTAATGTTTCGAGATTTGTAATTGTGTGTCACTCCGTCTTGCTTTCACTAATCCTCAAGTGTTTTTTGTGTAGAAGTTGTCTGGGCCATTTTCGGTCGTCTCTCGGTCTGCACATTTTGATGTGCGACCAATCCACAAGACCGTGACTGTCAGTAACAACCCTAATAGAGTTGATTTAAAAATTACGAAAATTTTCTGCCTTCTTGCTCGCTCGGAAAGGAGCTATCACGTACTAAACTCCGTGTCTCTCTTTCATGTCGTATCACGTTATCTGCTCGACAACTCACTTCACGATGACCGATTATTGTAGCGAAGAAGACAGCTGAAGGCCTTCAACAAGTCGTCTCCACAAACTAACGGAGCATACTTGATTTGCTTTCCCTTGATGAGTTTCAAACTCTCGCGTCCATTTCTTATCATGGTGCAACCCTGCACCGGCACCACAGAGACACAATTAGTGCGTAGGAGTAGGTCATCGTTGTGTATCATAAACTCGCATTTTGGCATTCGGAATGGGCAACAGTTGTCTTTCAAGCGGGAAGGGGACAAAAAAGGTTGTTGTACATGTTCATGTGACTGGCGAAATAATTGAAATAGAACGAATGCGAAATCATAATCAACCATCTTTATCTTACTTAGTGTCGGGCAGAAAATTATCATGTAAGTAGAATAAGAGGTAGTAGATCGTTCGGGTCCAACAAATTCATTGTTAAAAACATGTTTCTCTGTATATCTTTACCTGTTCAACCCGATAAAACTCTACACATGACGATGCAAATCATAATCAGGTGAGTCCTTTGTCCCTGGACGACTCTTACGGACCAAACAAAGTTGAAGCGTGAAGGAAGTGCGGGCACCCTGCGAGATAAGTAGTCATCAGAGAAATAATCAGATTCGTGTAGTTCGCTATCAGACGTATAAGGCAAATAAGCTGCAGGGTCGTCAAAGCTACCACGGACAGGATCATAGAGGTTATCCACGGAAATCCCGGCAGATTCGTGCACGTCTCAGAGGCGCCAGGTCGTCCATTCCAAGCTTAAAGTAGAATCCTCGCATTTTTCGTTTCCCATCCCTTAGGTTTAGGTCGTCTTTTAGGGCTTCTAAATAGAGTCCTAATTTCTTCTCGGAGGAAGAGCTACGATAAGGAGGCACATGCAGCCAAGTCCGGAGCAACTGATCTAGAACATCTGCAGTGTTCTCTTCGCCTACCTTCGTCTTCACACTGGCACTACACTGCATATCTCATCGGGCTAAAGCAGCGCCCCTGTTCCTGCGCCGGTGCTCTCAAGCCAACCAAGACTGCTATGTATACACTCGCTAAGAGTCTCATCTCTGTCATCGTCATCCCGCCTATTATCGCGAGCCACGTACGCTCCCAGCATACTCGGGGGAATCATAGAGAGCGAATGCCCAAACCGTCGACACCAAACAAGCGTTATATAAACTGAATTGACTCAAATCCAAGATAGCCTGGCCCACAGCGCTGGAGAAGATCCCGCACCTCGTCCGCGTCCAAAAGCACCTCTTCACCACTGATACCCCACACTACGCGTACTTTCTTCACCTTTGTCGCCGCGGGCGAGGAGGCCGCGGCACTACCGCCTAGTTCAGTTTCGAAGAGTGTTGGCGAACCCAGGCCGCAGCGGCGGCCTTCGTCAGGTACACCCATTTTTGTGTTAGTTTGTATTTCTTGAGCACTTTCCAAAAAATGAGAAGAATAAATTCTCCGTGTACGGTTACTAGATCTTTGTTAGGTACATTACTCTTTCGCATGGGCTTCAAACTCAAATCATCTTGAAATCGAATGCAGGTCCTTCTCATTTATCGCAGTATTAGATCAGAAACTTTTTTTAGACCTTTTCTTGATTCTTTCTCTTTGTCACTGAGTTACTAACATCAGAAGTCGTTCGTGATGATCTCTTATCGAGAGGTCGTTCGTTATGTTCTCTTCTATTTCTTGTCATGTTCATGCTCGAGAAATAATTTCACGGTGACCGATTACTCTAGCGAAGCAGAAAGCTAGCGTCCATTTCTTCATTTCTTATCATGGTGTAATCGTGCACCTGCACCAGAGAAGAGACTAGTGCGTAAGCCCTCGTTGTGTAAAATGGCTTCGCATTTGTTTGACCTTCGGAACGGGCAAGAGTCTTTTATACTGTCTTTCAAGCAGGAAGGTGACAAGAACAAGGGTTGTTTTACATGCGACTAGTACCGCACTCAAGGGATGGAGGGAATGGAAGAAATACGTAATTGACGGTCTTAGTTAGGGTCGGTTAGAAAACGTCAGATGAATAAGTAGAAGAAATAACTGAGTGTTTACTAGAAGAAATTTTATTTTGAAAGTAGAAGTCTGTATATCTTTAACTGTTCAGTAAAGCTTTACACGTCAAACTGCGTTTCATCTGAAGATGAGTCTTGTCTCCCCAGTCAAGGTGTGCCTGCTCAACCTAGAAATCTTCAAGAATAAAAGGTCATGTTTAGCTTCTGTTCCGATTAGCTCCTGTCTCTGTGCAATTCAGTAACTGTTGTCATTTTCACCTAAGGAATTTTGACACAAATATCTGTGCTCTTGTGCTGGCAGAAGGTTTGATGTGAATCAAATAAACTCAAATCCCGTGGTCCAACCAAGAAGTTCCCTTGGGCTCTGGCAGAGTCGTGTATATCTCAAAGGAGCCAGATCGTACATTCCAAACTTGAAGTAGAATCCACGGGTTTTTCGTTTGTTATCCATCCGGTTCAGGTCGTTTTTTAGGGCTTCTAAGTAGCGTCCTAATCGCTTCCCGGAGGAAGAGCTGCGATCATGCAGCCAAGTCCGGAGCAGCAGATCCAAAACATCTTCTCGGTTATCCTCTGCAGAGTTGACGGCGTGCTTCTGGCTCATCCTCGTCGAACTAGAACTAGTCGGTTCTCCTTTTTTCAGAGTTGTAACCGGTATCGGGCACGACGGAGTCAAAGTACTAGAGCAAGCGGTGGAAACACTGTTCTTATCATCTTCTTCTTCGCCCGAAAAGATTTCATCTTCCGGTGCAGTTGAGTGACGCGCTTCATCGCAGTCTTCACCATGAACCTCCGATTTTCTGTTTGAGGCTTCTCCTTCAGCGACGTTTCCTGCATCTTTATTTACTCTCAACGTCCCTCCTGCTGCTGTTATGGCGCCCCCTTCAAAACCACGGCGATCAAGCTGCGACAAAAGATACTCCAGCTCTTCTTCCATCTGGCTCGGAAACTCGTGAGCAATCGACTCCAGGACTGTCGGCAATATCGCGATGTCCTCGTCTGGATACAGGTCTAGTTCTAGCGGCAAGTAGCCTTCGTCTGCTTTTGGTATCGCTAGTTCATCCCAAATACGCGAGTGGGGGGGACGTTTGCAGCTTGTAGCAGGGTTATTTGTAGCTCCTGCAGCGCAATGATCGTCATCGTCATCATCGTCGTCCGATGTGCTGGGATTTCGAGCAATATTGAGATCCTTGAGCAACCAGCATTCAGAAATTAGGCGCAAGATCGCATATTGCGGCAGACGCAGCAAGACTCGAATTTTCGCCTCCGAGTCCTCATCCTCCCCGGTCGGACTAAGTGATTCGCTTAGGAGCCTGAACACCTCTTCGGGACCGTGGAGTAGCTGCCCTGTTGCGGCGTCGGTGAGCTGAAACCAACCAAAGCAAGAGCAGGAATCTGGAGACAGGGAGAAGGCAGGATTTCCGTCTCTCTCGCCCCGTGCTTTGTATGCTCCCAGCATGCTCGGTGGCAACATAGAAAGGGAGTATCCGAACCGCCGTCCCCAAATGAGCGTTAAAAACTCGAGCAAATGAAATCCGAAGTCTGGCGCCGAATCTTCACCACAGCTCTGCAGAAGGTCCCGTACCTCGTCCGCGCCCAGCAACACCTCTTCACCGCTCAAGCCCCACAGTATGCGTACATGCTTCACCTTCGTCGCCTTCATTTCTTCACTTTCTGAAAAATAGAAAGAATAAGTTCTGTGTAGTCGATTGCTCGTGGATCTTTGCCGAGTACCTTACTGTTACTTTTTAGCAGCCAGGTACTTCAAGCTTAAATAATCTTCTTTCAAATCGAATGCAGTAGATTGCCAAAAAAAACCTGATGTGTGAAATCATGATCATGATTCGCTCCGATGAATAACAAAACAGTCTTCAGATCTATCGTTCATTTGTTGAATAGAGAACTCAGATCTCCAGTTTATACGTCTCTCGAGCATTTGCAGATCCTCACAGTTTTAGATCGTGAACATTTTTTGATCTTTTCTTGATTCTTTGTCTCCTTCTGAATTGCTAACATCAGATGAAGTCGGTAAGAGTAGAATAAGGATCTTTCTGCTTACGGCACGTCTGCGTCTCTTTGACGTGAGATAAAAAGATGCTTTTCGTGGACCAAGACACTTTCGTATAACTCATTGTTGCCTAGAACTGGTGTCAGAGCCGCCTTATGCAAAAATAGAGTGACTGCGCGCTTCACAAGCATTTAATTTTCGGTTCATGAAATTACAGATTTCAAGTATATAGCACAGTCGAGGTTGAGAAACAGTGAAATTACGGAACTAATGGTAATGTTGTTGCAAAGTATTACTTAGTTCGTTCAACGACCATAAGAGAATGAACACGAAACAGAAGTTTCATGATCCTTTCTTCCGTTCATTGCTTCCGAGGCACTAGTAGATCTTCCACTTTCGATCTAAATCTTACACTCCTAGAAAAATGTGTTCCAGCTATTGTTGCGTCTGACCGACAGAACTCCGATAAGTAACTCCAGCTACATGATCCCATCCGAGATCCGTCATGCTCTCCTATATTTCCCCAAGAGTCGCATATTCCTCTAATGTCAATGAGCGGAACTACCGGACTCCGCAGTACATCAGGTAACTAACCACAGCCTCCTCCACCTGCCTTGTAAGCATCCAGCACGAACGATGAATCCAGGTTAGCTGAACTCGACGCATGACGGATTTCCGTAATGATCACGGAACACTTCGTTCTCTCTGAAGAGAGACACGCGCACACTGACTGAGCAGCAGCGTCAAAAGTTTTAGTCTTCGTTTGTGATTGAATGAGGACGACCCTAGGCCTTTCAGAACCGCGCGTGACACCACAAGAAAATCTCCAACATTGCTTCACCATGCTAAGAGAACTGTCCACATACTTCTGAAGCTCAACGTCATCGTTGAGGCATTTAGCGTAGCTCAGCATTTACGATGATTCAACCCACTGATCATTTGCGTTTCACTCCCAATCTCAAAAAATATAAGAATCTTTACTGAATACGCCAAACTGCAAGAGAAACGCGATTTCTTGCTTGTTTATTTCTATTTACGCCTAAAGCATCCACACGATTTATTATAAGTACTCAACTTGCAGCAGCACTTTTGATGCTGATTTCCTTGATGAAATTGATTTGGTAGAGAATTGTTATGAGTTGTGCAGATGGGAACTTGGGTCGATCTAGTCCATGTTGCTATTAATCTATCACAAGTAGATGTAGATTCTCTATAGGGTTCTCACACTTAATTGGAATTTCCCTTATTGCAACCAAACTTCTAGACAAGTTCAGCAGATGGACTCTCTAGTCCTTTTTAGGGGGAGGACCAGGAGGTTTGGAGACAGGGCTGTCTAGAATGTTGGATGCCAGCGGTGCTAGAGGCGCCACACAAAAACTGTTAGGAGGGCCTCCACTTGCTGATGAAGAACCGGTCGTTTTGTGCGCTAGCCGCTGAGCTAGGAGCTCTGCTGTCGTGGCCGAGTCGGCGTTGGACGACGCGGAGACGCTGGGGACTACGGGAAGAGGAACGGCTGGGGCTGTCGTTGAAGAAGATGCAGCGGCTGCACCCCCTCCTGGAGCTGAAGCGAGAACGGGACGTTTTAACAGACCACTAGCATTTGAAGATGTGCCGCCTTGTCCTATCAGCGTGTCAGAGGCAACCCGGCTGCTACTAGCCACTCCCACGCCAGGAACTCCTCCAAGTGGTGGAACCATAGCACCTAGCACGGGGCCATACTCTGCTAGTTGCTTTTCGAGTTCAGCTATCCGCTTCTCCGAGCCGCGGGTTTGTCTCTTTTTTGCTTTTAGCTGTAGCAGTTCTGCCGCGACGTCCTCTCGCGCAGGCTTTGGTTTCTCCTTCTTCTCTTTCACGACCGGCGCTGCTTCGGTCTTGACGTCCTTCTTAGCTTTCTTTGCTGCCGGAGCACCCTCCGCGCCGTCCTCTGCGTCGTCGTCATCCTCGTCGTCTTCCTCTGCGCTGCTCTCGTCATCGACTAGCGAGAGCTGCTTCTTCTTACCACGGCTTTTCCCTTTGCCACCCTTCTTTGCTCCAGGAGCCTTCTTTCCATTCTTTTCAGCATTCGCATCGACAGCCTCAGAAGCCTTGACTTGGTCACCAGGAGCGTCTTCGGCCGGAAGAAGCGTTTCTTTCACTTTTCGCGCCTTCCGCATCTTCGTTCCACCTACTTCTGTCGCTGGTGCGGCCTCTCCTGTTTCGTCGTCTTGCATTTCCTGCTTCACAGCGGCCACTGCTGTACTGCTGCTAGCAGTTCCCTCAGCTGATGCTCCAGCGGCCGCTCGCTTCATGGCTTTCAACGCTGATTTTGCGGTAGGTGGAGGCGCACTTGGGTCTACGACTGCTAGGTCGCGACCTGCAGCTGGCGCTTCACCTTTCTTTTTTCCCGCTGCAGCAGCCTCTCCTTTCGCTGCACTAGATGACGAAGCACCTCCACCGGCGCCTCCACCAGGAGCCGTTTTCATCTTGGTACTGGTGTTTTTCTTCGCTTTGTTGTTCCCACCTCCTGGCTGTCGTCCACCCTGCGCCTTCGCCTGCTGCTTTCTCGCTTCCGCAAGTTCCCGTTCGTAATACGCGTCTTCCGCGTCCAGCTGTCGGTCGACTTCATCCAGGTCCTCTTCCCATAAATCCGCGGCGCTCTTTTGCGCCAATTCCTTGTGTGCTCTCGCTTTCTCTTCGTAGTTTTGCTGTAGCTCGCGCACTTTGTCGGTGGTTAAACTGCTCAGCGGCATTCCCAGTAGGTATTCGAACTCGCGGCGTTCTTTCGCGACGGACAGAGCCGCCGCTGCGCGAGCTCTGTTCTCCATCTGTGCCGCTACGTCCGCTGCCACGTCATCATCGCCTGCGCCGTCTTCGCCACCTCCGAGCATGGCATCTAGGAGCTCGTCCTCTTCGTCTTCGTCATTCTGCTCTGCGCCGCCGCTCTCTCCCGCGTTTTCGGCTGCCGCGGTCTTGGCCTCGCGCCGCGCCTCGCGCTCCTCCTCTTCTTCGCGATCGCTTCGGGGCACCATCGCCGCCAGCTGCGACGCCGTCAGGAAGTTCCTTTGTCGGAGTTCCGCTAGAATTACGGCGACCTTGCGTTTTCGCACGATCAGATCGCGCTTCACCACAAGCTGCACAAACCGGCACTGTTCGCGGAGCTCGGCTTCTGACTGTGACAAGCGAGCTAGCAGATGCGCCTTGCGCTTCTGGTACATGTGAGCTCGATAGTCCGCGAACTCGCGAAGAATGTCGAGAGGTGAGTCGTACTTGATGATCCGACCCTCCTTGTTGAATCCCATCATATTCGTCGTGGACAACTCCTTCGCCGAAATAAGACCAAAGTACTTCAAATACCCCTGCTGCTGCGCGAGCTCTCTCCCGGTCTCGTTCAAATCCACCGAGAAATGCACTGTCACATCCGTGTGATACCTAAAAAGAGCACGGGAAATGAGACTGACAAATCGCAAGTTGCGAAGATTCAACATCTCCGTCTCCGTAAGCGTGAGACTGTTGCAATGACTTCTATGCTGAGTAATTAAAAATTCTTGAAGGCAAAGTGAATGCCTAGTATTTAGAATTAGAGTAGTAATAGTAGTTTCCAGCACTGTTCTTGAAAATACTAAATTGGCCCTCAAGTAGTAAGGCCTAAAAGAATAGTACTCTCTAAAGTCAATGACTCCGGAGTTCTCGCTGTCCTTCTGCATCTTGACCAACTTGTCCTTGTAGATTTGCGTCCATTCCTTCACCGGAAGTTCAGTGATCTCCACAGTGGATCCATCCTCATTTGGGGTGACGAAGCCCTCTGAGGTGAAGTTCTTCGAACCTGGACGGCCGCGAACTTCGCCCGTGAAGTTACGATACCAGGGCACCATCTCCCGGTACGGAGGCAAAGCACGCGAGGCCTCGAGCTCCCTTATGCGGGACGCTTTTGCGTTGTCGTAGTTGGGGTCGTCGCGTGGCGGCAGCCCTGGTTCGATCAGTCGCAGCTCGCGTTTAACGTAGATGCGGCAGTTGTGCACGATGTCCCGAGGATCGAAGTTCGGGATCGACGTGGACCACCCAGTGCCGATGCCTGTCACTCCGTTCACTAGGCACATGGGGATGACAGGGCAGTAGACTTTCGGCTCGATCCATTTGCCCTCCTCCTGGTTGTAGTCGAGGATCTTGTCGTCCGCCGGATGAAACAGGGCACGCGTTAGCGGGTTGTTCAAACGTTAGACTCAGCAGTAATCCATCCTGGTCCCCTCATCTCGAGCCCTTTCCCCTTTTATTTCATGAGAATACAAGGCAAAAGGGGATCAAGATGCCGAGAAAGATGGATAAAAGCTAACCATAAAAACGCGTGTAGATGTAACGCGACGCGGCATTGTCTTTGCCGCCTTCGATGCGCGTACCAAATTGACCGCTCGGGACCAAGAGCTTTAGATTGTTGCTGCCGACGAAGTCTTGCGCCATTCCGACAATCGTGTCCTCCAGGGACTTCTCACCGTGGTGATAGGCGGCTTTTTCGGAGACGTAACCGGCCAGCTGCGCAACCTTAATGTCTGACTTTAAGTTGCGCTTCAGGGCGCAGTACATGATCTTGCGCTGACCCGGCTTGAAGCCGTCGATGATGTTGGCGACGCTGCGCACCACGTCGTATTGAGCGGCAAAGCCAAGCTCTTTCTTCACGAAGTCGACGATTGTGAGCTCACTCTCGTTGTGATCCACGAAATCTCCCTCGTTCAAATCCTTGATCCACTTTTTGCGGTCGTCCGCCCTCTTCGTGTCGAACGCCATCGAGATACAGTCGTCGTCCGCGTCTCCTTCGTATTTGAAGCTTAGACTGTGCTTTTCCAGTTTCTCGAAGTACTGCTTGGCCTCCTTGCTCGTGCTGGTTCCCAAACCCTTGTAGTACTTCACTTTCCACCTCCGCTTCTCCTCTTTCGACAAGCTGTCCTTCCACTGTTCGTACTCGCTCACCGTGAAGAAGCTCAACACTGGCGCCGGCTGCCGCCCAATCTTTCGCCCCGTCGCTTTCACGATCGGCGTCACGAATTCACGCACGAACTGCGGCTCGTGACGGAGCAACGCTGGCCAGTAGTACTGCAAGAAGTTGAGAAGCAGACCCTTGATGTGACTGCCATCGAAATCCTGATCTGTCATGATTGTCACACTACCGTATCGCATCTTGCGCTTCAGCATCTCTACAGTACTCTCCTGCAGGTCTTCCTCGGGTCGGTCTGCCTCCTTAAAGTCCTTGGCAAGACACGCTTCTGGAATCTGCAAACCCAGAATCTTGCACACGTTCTTGATTTCGGCATTGTTGGTAACCTGGTGGAAGGAGTAGATCAATGAGATACTCTTCTTGGAGTTTCTCGTTATCGGTCCGACCTAAAGATGAATGATCACCTTCGTTCTCAAGAAATCTTGTTGCGCGGGGTAGTAGCAGTACTGGAAGAAATTTCATAAAATATTCCTCGTTTACAGCATCTACAAGTACCTTTGAAGGATCTGCATTCCGAACGTTGAGGACTTTTCCTCGTAACGGAAAGACGCCATAGTAGTCTCTTCCGACGACTCCGAGTCCCGCCATCGCTGTGGCCTTGGCTGAGTCTCCCTCCGTGAGAATCAGTGTACAGTCCATGCTTTGCGCTGTTCCTGCCATATTCGCGTCCTCGAGTTTCGGAACAATCAGCTTCGTCAGACTTTTGTTCGAGATTTTGGCACGTTTCGCGAGTTCCGCTTGCTGCTTCGCCTTAGCCCACTTGAGGATGTTGTCGACGACGCCCGATCCTAAAACCGCTTGCAGAGTGTCTTCACTCATGCGGCAAGCGCTGCCAAAATCTCGCGGGAGCGTGGTCATATCTTCCTTCGTCTGACTATTAAAGGTAGGATTCTCGATCTTGGCGTTGATGAAAACGAAAAGATGGGATTTGATGTTCGGTCTCGAAATACGGAAGCTGCCACTGTACTCTTCCGTTGCCTTCTCCCATATGCGCTCCACAAGAGGTCCCTCAACGTGGTTCACGTGTGATCCGCCCTTACTCGTTGCGATAGCATTTACGAAAGAAATCTGCTGGAATCCCTTCTCGGATAAGGCGATGTAGACCTCCCACCTGCCAGTGAAATCATCAAGAATTGGAAGTGGAGTATAATTTGATCTTCACTAGCTCTCTGGAGGTACTACACCCCCATCAAGTTTTTGACGAAAAGAGGAGTCAATATGGACTCATGCAAACCAACAGCAACAGTTTTCGATAAAAAAAGGTGACGCGCCTCAGTAAGCAAGTACCTAGCGCTTGGTCTCGGGACGCTCGGATCTGAGTCGCATTCTGGCGGATCCAGCACTTCTGCTCTGATCAGCGGGGATCCCTCCTTCATCCTAAACAAGCCCACGTAGTCCTTGAACGTTCGGATAGGAAGTAGTTCGCCATTGAGGTGCACAGACACGTGTTCAGGTGTGCAACCCGCAAGATCGTAGACGCGTCGCTTCATCAAGTCAAGGATGTCCTTATCCATCACCATCTTGCTAGAGTCACCCTGCTCTCCTGGCTCGTCGTGCTCGTCACCCCCCTTGCCCTTAAAAAGCTTCATATCCGGCCGAAAAGTGATCCGCGTAAACTGCGGTCGATTTCCCTCGGGCACGGCTGTAATCAAGATTTACATTGGAAATTGAATGACGCGAGGAACTTTTTGTTGGTGGCTCCTTCTTTGGAGGTATTAATCTTTTGTGTCCAGTAGCAAGGAGATTCAGTGCGTTGGCGTACCAAGCACAAACCTGTATCTAAGTAGTCATCAAACCAGCAGGATCGTAGTAACTAGGTACAAGTAAGTACAAAAAAACGAGATGAACTGGAGTACCAGGCAAGAGAACAGCCGGACTTCGTTCGAACATATTTCGACTCCATTCCTGCTTAAAATAGCGCACTCTCTTCTGTCCCGTGAGGTCGGTTCCCCTAGGGTCGCACGTCTCCACGCGAAACATCGTTGAGTACACATTCGCAAGCTTTGCTCCGTATCCGTTTCTGCCTCCCGCACAGCGTTTGCGACTATCGTTGAAGTTATCGCCTGCAAGCAGGTGTCCGAAAATTAGCGTAGGGTTCAGCAAAGGCGTTTTTTCGTCTGTGTCTTTTGCGGTCGGATGAGCCGCAATGCGGATGCCTGCGCCGTCATTCTCGACAGAGATTTCCTGCTCTGAAATTGTGACGCAAATATTGGACATAGTCTTGTCCCGCTGCAAGTTGTCCGCAGCATTGACCAAAATCTCGTCAAATTAGAACTCAGCACTACCATCCATCTTTTCGCTCATCTACTGTGGCCATTTTCCTATTTGAAAAGAGCTCTCAGATGAACTAAAAAATAGATGGATTAAGTGTGGCCTTAATCAAAGATCTTGAACAAACCAGGCACATAGCGCAGCACGCGCCGCTCCATCATCCCGTCTTCGCCGACGACCCATTGCTCGCTATCCTCCGGCTCACAGGAACCTTGAAGTTTTTGGTAGCATTCTGCTGCACAATCATGAACGAAGACCTCGTCTCTCAATCAGATTCCAGAAAACTTTGGTGTCCAAATCCTAACGAAATACCTGTCGGACTAGGAGTCTACGACGATATCAAAAAAATTTTCATTTTTTACCAACATATGAGTCCCCACGCTTGAGAATGTGTTCGTGTAGCGAAAGTTTCTCATATCGTTCCCAATCCTCAGGGGCTTTGCTGCTTTTGTTTCCAGCTTTCCCTTTCGCGCGTTTGGCCGCTGTTGAAGATGAGGATTTTTCTGTGGTTCCGACAACAACACGACTTGTTTGTGGTCGGGGGTGAGGAGCCTCTCCCTTAACATCATTAAGGTGACCTCCACGACCCGCACGACTCGTACCTATTTCCTCCATAGCGTTGTCTTATTTCTTCTCTTCAAAAAAAAGGACCACATCAACTCATCATGATCCCTATCAACCAGTTACTTGTTCAAATGATAATGCTGTATTAATTCATATTCAGTCAACATAGCATTGAATGACTCTTTCATAAAGTGAAACAGGGGAAGACCAAAAGAGGAATAGGTTGAAGGTGTTGATCTTAAATTTTGTCAGTTGATTTCGTGAAGATGTCGCTGAGTGTCGCCTGTAGAAGCAGTCGTGAGTAGGACATTCGCTAAAGGAGGGAGTAGAATCACAATGACAGCGTGGTACCAGCTGCCATCTTGACGTTTGTAGTTTGACGCGAGGAACTGGAATTCTTCTATCTTGTTCCGCGACGACGACCACGTGTAGTAATAGGATTCTTTCTGTCGTATCTTATTACTATTTCCTCAAGTGGGCTTGGTGATCGACTTCACTTCAGAATGTTCGTGTTCGCTGAGTACAAGTAGATCGTCACTTCGAAGGGTTCTTCGCTGAGTAGAAGTAGAACCCACAAGTAGAACAGATCGATGTTCAAGTCATTATATTTTTCGTGAGCTTTCTTGTTGATTCTCGCGCTGACATAAAAATAAATTCAAGTTCAATCTGCTGGCGGCAGCAAAATTCAATCTATTCTTTCATTCGTTTGCTGCCTCATCATTTTGATCCCTCGGAGGTGTTCCAAGCAGTGCCGACCAAAGGAAAAAAAGTCCACCATAGTGAGGCGAGTTATAACAATCGATTTTGCTTTGTAAAACAGTCTCGAAAACGTGAACCAACACGCGAACTTCGAAAATTATGAAACGAGCGAGTTCATTCTAATCGATTTTGCGGTCAATATCATACGCGGGCGTTTGAAGAATAGAAAAACAGCTGACTTTGAATCACTCGCCTTTATGTTCTCTCATTCATCGTTTTTACACAACTATGGGAAGATATTCCCACAGGGGCTCTAATATCACGCACGATTTCGTCGATACCAAAACGAAACAAATCGAACATGCATGGCGACAATGAGAGGAAGGTCTTGACGGCTTCCAACCGAATTCAAAGTAATTCTGTCTGTGCTGTCACTCTTCACCTGATTGCCGTCACGCTACGATGTTGCACAGTTTCAGTTGTTCCTTGTATGTATCTATATATATAATGCTAATTTCACGGGTGATTCTGAGCGAAGTAAGCGATTATATCGATAATCCTTGGGGTTGTCGCGGTGCAGAAAGCCGCCATGCACAAAATTTCAAGCTCTTTTAAATCATACGGCACAAGACCAAGAACTCCGTCGCACACGACGAAAAGCGTTAGACCAGAACTTTTCTCGATGTCCTGAACTAGCCTGGTAACTCGGCTACTAAGCTCCTTGCACAGCAGCATCGTAGCGTGCAAAGGCGGAGGCGAAAAGCGTTTCTTCCGGTGGCTTGGAACTAAACAACCACGGATCCGCAAAATTCTGCTGTTTCTTGACCTCCTTTTCGGGCTTCTCCTCATTCCCGGTAGCAACAGCAGACGCATCGGCTTTCGGTTCTGCTTTACTTTTCTTGGCTTGTTTCGGAAAAGATTAGAAGAATTGAAAAAGTTAGCATGCTCTCTTCTAACTCCTTCTATCGTAGTGCCACCGGTTCATCTTTCAAATTCAACTAGATGCTTGGTACGGACAACTTCAACTCAACTTTGAATCTCAGATCGATTCAAATGCGTGACATTGACACCTGACACCATAAGGCTGCTTCGGCTGACTCCTCGATTCTGACGTTGAGCTACTGCCGGCTCCCTTCGAGACCAGTGCCCAAGAACCCGACGCGGCAGAGCTGATGTTGTAGAGATGTAGAAGTTAGGCGCGTTTTCTTGCGACGATGGATTTACACGTAAATTGTTGTAGAAGATGATGCGCCTATGAGACACTAGGAGATATGCTGCGATAGCGGCGGCGTAGGGCGCGAGCGACACAGCAAAATGTGGTCGGCCAGCGCGCAGCGTTCTTGTGGCGCGCGGCGGGCCTGGGGCAGGCGACAAATGGCAAATACGGTTCAGTTACGAAGCGCTGTTGATTTACGGAAGAGCGAAGGCCTAGGGCGTGTGCTACGACGCATGCGCGGGCACCTGGATCTCCACTGCAGCTTCAGAATGCACGGCGAGCGTCGGCGACCCGCTTTAGATAGCTCCACTGAAATCGCATCTCGCATGCTCGGGCAAACCCATGGGCGCGTCTACTTCCTGCTACGCCAGGACCAAGAAGCAGCTGCATCTTCAACAGCCAAGCGTAACCACTAGTTGTACTGCAAGGTAGGAGAGAAGTTGGCTCGGCTACGATTACACGGCTATAGTACTAGAGCCATCCACGACGGCTTGTATTTAGAAGTGGGAACGGTAATAAGTACATCAGCCACTTCTTCTCCCAGCAGTGTGGCAGCAACGCGGCAAGATCTTCTTGGTTGATGTCGACGATGTTGTGCTGTTTATGATCCAACGGGTCCTCGCAGCCTGCGCAGATCCGCCATTCGCCGATGTCTAGCAATTCTTTCTCCACGACCCACGACACTGATTCCTTATCCAGAGTCTTTTCGGCGTCGTTGTAGGAAATTAGAAAAGTTAATGTCCTCAGGAGCGGAAACCTTTAAAGCCTAATCGTAAGCTGAAATCAGAAATACGAATTGCTTGTATAATAGATTCAGCTTGATGTTCTTGAAAACTTCGTACAGGGAGTATCTGAGTCCTGAAAGAATGAGTGTTAATGTCTTTGGATTCATCTCATTCAAGTACTAGATATTTATTCATAACCACAAAGCGAGACATGTGAGGCATCCCTTGCTACTACCCAACAGTTCCAGGCACGAGTCTTTTGAGGCTAGACGTAGTTCCTTGGCACCCGTTGCTGCGGCAATCTGTTTGAGATCAACTTTTGATTCTTGCCTTGTAGTGACCAAAAAATGTTGCTTCGTCTTCTTGCACTTCACAAATACTGAAATTAGAAGTGGAGTTGAAAATAATATCACGCAATGGCATGACGGGATTCTCACGTGGAGGTCCTGCATATACTCGTACTACAATGTTAATACAAAAACAAAATGAACAATAAACAACCAATTTTCAAAACGCTCAAAAAAAAACACACCGCCACACACATCCGCCGAGGGTTTAGATCCCGACGGTTTAGATCCCGACGGTTTAGATCCCGATGGTTTAGATCCCGATGGTTTAGATCCCGATGGTTTAGATCCCGATGGTTTAGATCCCGATGGTTTAGATCCCGATGGTTTAGATCCCGATGGTTTAGATCCCGATGGTTTAGATCCCGATGGTTTAGATCCCGATGGTTTAGATCCCGATGGTTTAGATCCCGATGGTTTAGATCCCGATGGTTTAGATCCCGATGGTTTAGATCCCGATGGTTTAGATCCCGATGGTTTAGATCCCGATGGTTTAGATCCCGATGGTTTAGATCCCGATGGTTTAGATCCCGATGGTTTAGATCCCGATGGTTTAGATCCCGATGGTTTAGATCCCGATGGTTTAGATCCCGATGGTTTAGATCCCGATGGTTTAGATCCCGATGGTTTAGATCCCGATGGTTTAGATCCCGATGGTTTAGATCCCGATGGTTTAGATCCCGATGGTTTAGATCCCGATGGTTTAGATCCCGATGGTTTAGATCCCGATGGTTTAGATCCCGATGGTTTAGATCCCGATGGTTTAGATCCCGATGGTTTAGATCCCGATGGTTTAGATCCCGATGGTTTAGATCTTCCCGATGGTTTAGATCCCGACGGTTTAGATCCCGATGGTTATCCCATCCCAGCCAGGTGCCTAATTTCACTCAAAATGGTTTAAAATCAAAAACTTAGCACTTTCGCCAAAATTTAAAAACAAACGCCGAAAAAAAAGGGAGGCAGTGCGCGCGGTCGGTTTCTAATTTCGCTCCAAATGGTTTAAAGTCAAAAGTTTAGCACTTTGGCCAAAATTTAAAAACTAACAAACTCCGAAAAAAAGGGAAGCGGTGCTACCCCATCCCAGCCAGGTGCCTAACTTCACTCAAAATGGTTTATAATCAAAAACTTAGCACTTTGGCCAAAATTAAAAAACAAACGCCGAGAAAAAAGGGAGGCAGTGCGCGCGGTTGGTTTCTAACGTTATCCCATCCCAGCCAGGTGCCTAATTTCACTCCAAATGGTTTAAAATCAAAAATTTAGCACTTTGGCCAAAATTAAAAAACAAACGCCGAAAAAAAAGGGAGGCAGTGCGCGCAGTTGGTTTCTAATATCGCTCCAAATGGTTTAAAATCAAAAATTTAGCACTTTGGCCAAAATTTAGAAAACTAACAAACGCCGAAAAAAGGGGAAGCCGTGCTATCCCATCCCAGCCAGGTGCCTAACTTCGCTCAAAATGGTTTAAAATCAAAAATTTAGCACTTTGGCCAAAATTAAAAAACAAACGCCGAGAAAAAAGGGAGGCAGTGCGCGCAGTTGGTTTCTAATTTCCCTCCAAATGGTTTAAAATCAAAAGCTTAGCACTTTGGCCAAAATTTAAAAACTAACAAACGCCGAAAAAAGGGGAAACCGTGCGCGCGATGGGTTTCCAATTTCGCCCAAATTGTAACTGATCAAAGTCAAAAAGCTGGCGCCTTGGCTAAAATTTGTAGACCTTCCAGCCCAGATAGAGAAGCGCCCGCGCTGGATCAGAAAGAGAGGGACACACCGCGCCCGGGTCGGTCAGGTTTCTAATAAATTTCACTCGAATGGCTTAAAATCAAAAATTTAGCAATTTGGCCAAAATTGAAGGCCAAGCGCTGAAAGAAGGGTAGGCCGTGCCTTGCCCTCTCCATCGGTCTCGACATTTCTCGGACATTAATAGAAAGAGAGGAGGAGAGCAGCGGCCTCGGCTACTTTTCTCGGACATTAATAGAAGAACAGAAGGAGGGCAGTAGCCTCGGCTACTTTTCTCGGACATTAATAGAAGAGGACCAGGGCAACCACCACCCAACCCATCGGCCTCGGCTTTTCTCGGACATTAATAGAAGAACAAGAGGGCGCCCGCCGTCCTGTCCATCGGTCTCGGCTCTTCTCGGACATTAATAGAAGAAGAGGAGAGCAGCCGCCTCGGCTACTTTTCTCGGACATTAATAGAAAGAGGGGAGGGCGCCCGCAGTCCCGTCCATCGGTCTCGGCTCTTCTCGGACATTAATAGAAGAACAAGAGGGCAGCAGCCCCGGCTACTTTTCTCGGACATTAATAGGAGAAGACCAGGGCAGCCACCACCCAACCCATCGGCCTCGCCTTTTCTCGGACATTAATAGAAGACCCGCCCGCCGTCTTGTCCATCGGTCTCGGCTTTTCTCAGACATTAATTTCAATAGAAGCAGAGGGGAACAGCAGTCCCGGCCAATTTTCTCGGACATTAATAGAAGGAGAGAGGGCAGCCAGCCGCCCTGTCCATCGGTCTCGGGTTTTCTCAGACATTAATAAAAGGAGAGGAAGAGAGACAGCCGCCGCCCTATCCATCGGGCCGGCCTCGGCTTTTCTCGGACATTAATAGAAGAAGAGGGGGGCAGCGGTTCCCCCTGTCCATCGGTCTCGGTATTTTCTCAGACCAATTAATATAGAAGAAGAGGGAGGGAGCGGCCCCGGCCAATTTTCTCGGACATTAATAGAAGGAGAGAGGGCAGCGGCCTCGGCTACTTTTCTCGGACGTTACTAGACCCCAGAACGCCTCTCCCCCTTCCGGGCGCCTTTTTGGCTGTCCTTCAGGATGTGGAAGGGTTTCCTTTCGCTTTCTGTGGGTGCATAGCGCAAGTTTTAGGTCGGTGCCTGCACGTGCGCCGGCATGTTTTTTTTTTTGGTTTGTGATGGTGCGTGGTGATTCTAGTGCGGAAATGAGCTACACGTCGCTCTAGGCTAGTACTTACTCACACGAGCAACGCGAGTTCTATTTTCCGACGAAGTGCTTTCTAGTGAATCAAGAACTAGCTTCTAAGAAAGCCTCCTCCAGCACCGGTTAAAGGTGATTACTCAGCGGGTCGTGATTGAAGCGACAACGTTATTACCAAGGTGTAATCGAGTAGTTATGGATGCCATAAGTTATGCGTAGTGTGTCCAATTGGCCGACCCTCGTTATTTGCCTTGCCAATGGGCTCGGGCACCACCTTGCAGCCAACGGCATGAATAGCGTCCCACAGGCCTTCATCCTTGTAACCATGCTTCATGATTTTGTTTTGTTCGTCTGGATAGGATAGGAATTGACTCGCAGTCCACAGAAGGAAGGTCCTTGTTCGCCGTAGAGTTTCTAGTTTTTGATTCTATGAAATACTCATTTCACGTAAGCATAAGTTTCGACCTAGAACTAGACTAGAAAATCAGTTGTTGGAATCAGAGGCCCATGTGAACTATGTTGCGTCATTAGTATCTATCTTCGTGAATTAAAGGAAGGTATCTACTAGCTTGATGAACCCATTCCAGCTCTCCCATACTTGGAGTGTTCACTCATTTTTAGCGTTGGACAACCTTTGTCCTAGATTTCAGATTTCAGATTTCTGGAGATTCCTGCGGACAACAATTTCTACGAAACCAGATGAGCTTCCAATCGTGGCAATGTTGAAAAATATTACGATGAAAAAATCACTGCACTAGAACCATCATGATTGCATTATCATGCTTGCATTATCATCTCTTTTTTTTTTGGTGTAAGTATTCATCCGTCTCGGGGCACAAGACGCATCATATCACAAAAAAGTCCGACGGACTATTGCTATTGCACACTAGCAACATTCTTGTCATTACACTATGTTGATGCGACAAAAGTGAATAATTATAACACGAAACCAGTAAGTAAACAACGACTAGTGTCAGGCCTAGGAATCGATCTAGATCTACGAATAGTCGAAAAACATCCACATGCCAGTCCAACTACATGAACAATGTTCTATTTAGCGCACAGGAGATTATACACCTGGTGCTCGAGTGCACACTCGCTACACAGCCAAAAATGCAGATTCAAGGTTAAACAAATTATATCTCATCTGGGTCTAGCCTTACCCTTATAACTACCTTCAAATCCTAGTAATATGCGTAGCTTAGCGCTTTGGCTTCCGGTGTGAGGATGAATCTCAATGGATGCAAAGAACGAAGTAAAGCAAGCACTCTAGTCTATTGCAGCGCGACAAAGCAGCGCGCCGAAAAATAGTCATCTCATTAATATGTGTAGTTACGCGTTCGAGAAATCTTTCCGTTTGAGCGAAAGCCTCCAAAAAGTCAGCGAAGAAGACTGACACGAACGGAAAGCCAGAAATAAGTTGCTTATGTTCAAAATATGCACTTCTATCACAGTCACAACATTACTCCCAGTAAGAACCCGTCTAGCAAGACGGTTTATCACCTGTTAGTCTCAAAAAACATGAGAGAAGAAATGGAAAATTATAATGGTCGAAGACCTGCTCCTCAAGCACCTTCAGTGACATATCGGATTCGGAGATCATATTCATTACCAGGTAAGATTCTCATCTTCATTAGATATGCGTCGTGAAGACGAGGACATGGTTAGTTTGTTGGGTAAAGCTTAGCTTGCGATTCGTTAGATATGGAAGTTGTGATATTGTTTCTTAGATCCATGCACTCTATGATGATCTTTCCGTTCCCTCAGGATAATGGATTTTACAGTGCTCCTTTGTTCTTCTTGTTTCCCGAAGATATTGTTACTGGTGACGCTGTCGTGTGGTCTGTTTTGACTACTATGATCTTCTTCTGTAGTTCAGCATTCCGATGCCTCGTGGTAGAGGTAGTCTAGTTCCGGGAACGGTTGGAACGCCGGACCAGCCGCACTTCGTGGTCTCATCTCGCTTCGCAGGATGTAGGTGTACGCATTTGCTTAGAAATCGGACATCCTTGTAGTCTCTCCTATTTCTTGCTGATGTTATTTCTGATGTTATTCGTTACGTGAGCTATATTTTCGATGAGGTATCCAGGTCGAAGGAGAAGAAGCAGCTTGATGTTCAATTTTCACAACGAGAAAGACAATGATCATGATCATCTTCATCATGTAGCAACTTAAAGACCTAGTCTTACTTCTCGAGTACGTAGTTCTGAAAAAAAAAGTACTATAGATGTACAGATCATCATTTTCTCTAGGAGTTAGTACGCATATGTAACCCTCCATAACCTCTGTCTACTTCAGCATCGACCTCTTGCAGCGCGTTCCTCACTCTACGCTCTAGCAAATCCAAGTAAGCGAGCACCCCTGTGTCCCGCTTTTCTGGTGGCTCTCTTACTCCCATACAGATTGCAGAATGGAAGGGACGAAAGACAAACATTAGAGTTGTCATTGTGTAGTCTACTACATCTAGCAATGAAAAGACGGGAGGCAACGATTGGAGCGAAGAACATATGACGGGACTTTTCTTCTACCTGCTCTAGACTAGTAGTAGTTACATGAACATCGGATACCCGATCCCGATGATGAATTTGAATTCTAAATATGAAGAGAAGTCAATGAACAAAAAATTCCGGAAAACATCGATCGTACATCATGCTTTGCAAAGTAGAAAAGATTAGTCGCAATACCGCCATAAGTCAAGAAAAGTCAATAGATTCCGCAAAGCTAGTGCGACGTGCGTGAGATCTTCTAACTCCGCTGCCTTACCAGGAACGGGCACCAAAGCAGCCTGAATTGTAAGAAGTAGAAGTACTATGGGCATTATAAGAGAAAGAGATCTCCAAGTATTAAGTTGTCTAGTGCATCGAGAATAAACAATTTCATCCAGAGAGTATAGAGATCTGAATTGCACAACGTTGAGAAGCAATCTGCATGATATGCCTCACTTCCTAAGAGAGTATCGTGAAAAACTCAAGTAAGTACCTTCAAATCCTGCGTCTCCGACAAGATTTCGATAAAGATCGTTCGCATCAGCTCGATGTTCCCGTCCGTCAGCCTGCCTTTTCCAATATTAGCGGGGTGGTACAAGTGTAGTAAGTATCTACAATGTGGTACAGCAGCCTCATGATCATGATCTGCATAAAGATAAAAAGTTGTTATAGCCCAGAAGAAGTAAGTGATCATATTATCTTCTTATCATCAGAAAAAAAAAAGACTGCTTCATGCCATAAGTTTCAGGTCTACAAATACTGGATGGCCCTCACCATGCAGGAGTAGGGGTAGCACACTGGGTTTCGAACGTTCCTGAAGCACGGTCTCCTGCAGCGAGGGAACCCAGAAAAGAACCATGAGTCGAAGCAAGCTTAGAGGTACCGAGAGCCCATCTTTTTGAACATCTTTTAGCTCTTTACAAGTGGAAAGGGGCTAAAAGATGTTGTAACAGAGGGGTTGGCGGTACCCGTAACAAGTGTGACATCCCGCTTTTCTTGACATCCGCAGCCCGTTCTCGTGCGTCCTTCACACTCGATATAAAGTCGAACTCTTCGGCGAAATGGCGGTTTCTTAGAGGAGAACACCAAGTTTTAAATGTAAGTACAATGGATCAACATGATTCAACTATTATGTATCATATGCGGCATGAATGTGGTGAATGATTTCAGAAGATTTCATACGAGGAGCAACTTCGCTCTTGGAGATTACTCTAGTAGATGTAGATGAAGTATAGTTTTGGATCGGATTCCATTACTCTATATATGTTTTAGGGCTGCACGGCGCCCCCTGGTGTCGTCTGTGGTGGCGCTCACGCGCTCTTTTCCGCGCTGATTTTCGCGGATTCTAGTGGTGGAAGGCGTCAAAGCTGGGCGCGGGCGTCCCCTTGCGCCTCTCTGCATGTTCCTCCGGGACCTCCTGGCCTCTGCTGACCCTCACAGGCTGGAGGCCTCCGGGGTAAAAGGCCGCCGAAGGCGGCCACGATTTCAAGAGCAAGCAAGCCGATGACCAAGGGCCCGGAGGGTACAGACCGCAAGGCTCAGGGGGTCCAGCTCCTCGCCTTTTTCCGCCCTAGGAGGCCTTCCAAATCCGGCGCATGTAGGGCACAGGCAGGCCGCTGGAAGGGGGCGGAGGCGGCCCCTTGGGCCCCTTTTGAAGCCTTGCCTCCACCTTCGTCGGAGGTCTGTAGGGGACAGCCAGGCAGCTGCAAGGGGGGCCATGCCCTAAGTGCCTCCGATATGCTTCGCCGCCGCAGCAGTGCGCCGGTCTTGGAAGGCCTCCGAAGGCGGCAAAAGGCGTGGGGCTGGACCCCCTGAGCCGTGCAGCCGGTACCCTTCGGGCCCTTGGTCATCGGCTTGCGTGCTCTTGCGACCGTGGCCGTTTACCCCGGAGACCTCCCGCCTGCGAGGGTCAGCAGAGGCCAGGAGGTCCCTGGGGAACACGCTGAGAGGCGCAAGGGGAGGCCCGCGCCAAGTTTTGGCGCCTTCCACCACTAGAATCCGCGAAAATCAGCGCGAAAAAGCGCGCGCGCGCCACCGCAGACCATACCACAGGGTGGGTACCGTGCAGACCTGAAGCATATATTAAATCATTCTCTAGAAGTTGCAGCAATCACTCTCTTCTTAAGTCTTTTTTCGCCCCATCCAGTTTCTTTGCCTCTTCCGCTGTTAGGAAATGACCCCATGGCAAACGGAGTTCTTTTGTAAGCTGATTGGTCCATGAGGTAAACCCTTGTTTCTCTGTCGGTAGAATACCCGCGAGAAAAAGGACCTCTCCCTTGGCAATACGGGGCTCCACATTATCCAAAAGCTGCTAGGATTAGAAAGTGACTACATTCATCTTCTTTCTAGTTGATGTCACAATAATGAGTGGTCATAGTGATTCGCCATCCTGTTCCGCCGCCACGCTCCAGGAGGATAAGATATAAGTGAATCTACTCAGAAAAATTATGCCCAAGATTTCTCTTGAGTACTAGCGCACATCTGCCATAATCGTATCTTAATACATGCGAAATAACTACGGAAGAAGTACTTACAACGACAAATCTAGCAATTCTACGTGTCATAACCCTGATTCTTGTGGTCCCTCGTGATAAATCCATATCCATTGCATGACTGTTGTGAAGAAGAAGGAGTTGTCTTTCTATTGATCTCGACCAGCTTCTCCACCACTCTAAAGTCACCTATGCGCGGAAGGTCCTCTATCTTCATATCTTTATCCGCTGAGGGAGTACTAGATGTAGAACAAGAGCTTCTGCCCTTCTTGTTGTTGTCCTTCTGGTCCTGGCTGTTCCTCAAGAAGTTAATACATAACCGTTGTCTTTTTCGCAATTGCTCTTCCTGCACCCGCTGCGCCGTAATTACTTGTTTATTGCGATTGCGATCTTCCTCGTTCAACGCACTGAGCAGTGACACCACAGTCTTGCGCCCGTTAATATTTCCCAAAATTACCATGTGCGCATCATTTTCCCCTTGATTTGCAGTTCGAACTTCAGTTCCTTCTTGATGCTGTAGCCTGGCTACAGTTCTATCTCGCTCTTTTTCATTCTCCTTGCTACAACTACTATTTCCAACGCGTTCAGCAGTCGAGCCTGCACCTGCTGTCGCATATGCTTCGGTTAACACCTCTCGGTCGTTTGTCAAGCGATCCAGGAAATCGTTTATCTTGTTTAGACTCCACCGGGAGTCAACCTGATCCTCTGCTGCGCTGCCACCTTAGAGTTACATTGCATGATTTCGAAAGAGAACTATTGCAGATGTCAAGTGGTATCGTATGACAGAAATAGAAGTAGAACTCATATCAAATGGACTTGATTGTACTTAATTGTATGATAAAAACAATTCAAATTTCTAAGCAAAGCAATTAAGTACCTTCCTCGCAGGCGCCGCTCCTTTCGGTCTGCGTCTTATGATCGTAAAAGACTCGCGCGAGCAACCCAGATGGACGATTCATGCTTTGTCCCTCTACCTGCTCAGAAACATCTTTATTCAACACTTCGTCGACTCCCGCTTTGTCCTTGGAAGTAGCTTTGGACTGATGTTCCTCTGCTGCACGCTTCGGAAGCTCCACCTCATCACCAATACAACTAGCTTTGTTGGACTGTTGCGCTGTTGCTGCTGCACTCAAGAATTGAAACTTCTTCTTCTCAAGCTCAGTACCCACTTGAAGCTTCTTCTCAACATCGTTCGCCGCCACGCTGCTACGCGTTGTCGTCGAAGGGTTGTTACCTATTCCGAGTAGTGCCGGTCTGAACATCGGACTTAACCAATAATGGTGAACATATCTTCGTCCCGCCTCCAACAATGATGACCCTGGCATAATAATTACAACGGCATTCCTAAAATCAAAACACAGACCGGAAACACATTACGAACTTGAAAAGAAGTTCTCTCGTCGAGTAGTACTCACACTACACATTAGAATTAGTAGATGTTAAAACACAGGCAGGGACGACTACAAACAAAAATGCAGAAAGTTGATGTTCTCGCTGACTAAAATTCGTAGCACTCCAGCACATCAAAAAGCATAGCCTCAGGTTTTCGTGCCTCAGGTATTCGTGAGTACCCGATTCTTCTTTGGTGTCAGTGCCGGTATTCGCTAGCTGATCGGAGAACACACGCGCACATGTCCCAGCGCCACTAAAGTCTACAGTTGTCTTGCCGTCGCCAACAGACTTCTCAGAAACCTCCTGTGTGGCAGCGGCATTTCTGGCTGAGGCATCCGCTTCCGCTCTTTTCTTTGCCATGCGCTTTGCTTTTGCGAGTGGTCCCTTCTTCTTTCCCGCCGGCGCCGGCGTCGCCGTGGGCGGAGGATTGTTCGTCGGCAAACCTATAGATAACTTTTTAGTAGAAGAAGCGTCTTCACACTCATGCCAATATTAAATCAACGACCTACTATTGTCGTTGAGATTTCATGCTAGTGCAAACCACTGCGTAATCGTTCATGTCTTCTTCATACTATCCTACTAATGCCCGTAAACCATCATCATTAGAATTCATCCCCAAGAGCATTATTATGCCCAAAATCATATGCATCATCTATCATCATGCAGGCCTTCAGAGTACAAGAAACTGATTCTCTATGATAAATCATCTCTAATAGATACGAGTACCTTCACGTTGGTCTGCCTCCTGGTCTTCTTCAGAGGAGTCTTGATGCAGTAAAGCAAATTTATTTCCACTATTCCCTTGCTGTGGCGCCTTGGACTTGTCGACGGAATCTGCATCCACACTGATCATGCTTCCGGACCGTCCCCTACTACGACGCGTCGCCTGCGTCTCGAAGCCTAAACCTTCTTTCTGATCCTCTTTGTCCTCTTCGACGTCCATGTTGCAAACAGTAGGGTTTACGTCTCGTCCATACTGGATGTCGTTCGGTGAATCCCCTCCTTGCTTGGCTGATGGAGGTGCTAGCAAATCCAAATCCATTTCTTTGATACCTTCACTAGAATCAACATGCTCCTGCCGATTTTCTTTCCGTTGTCCTCCATCTCCATCATCAAGTAGAGAGGCTCTTTCATCCGCACTTCTCTCTATTAATTCGCCCTCACACGAGGACGCAGTGGATGCTTCTCCAGTAACTTGTCGAACGACAGCATCACCACTGGTGCGTTGTGGACTAGCGTCATTGCAATCTCCCATGTCGCTGTCTTCTGTACGATTTTCGTCGGAGCTTAACGCACCACCATCCGTGGACACGGCGCCCGAACTCCCTTCCGGCTTTTCTTCAACATCAGGGCCCTTCGCCGGTTGACTCGCCGAAGCGGCCCTAGTTAGAGGTTGCGACATTGCATTCTTCCGACCATCACTGACCCTTTTCCAACTGGAAAACAAGTCAAGGATAGTAGTGAACAAGAATACAAAAATGTGGTAACCCTTAACCTAGATATCACTGAGGTACCAGAGGTGCTGGGACTGCTTGGACAAGACCCGTTCTTTCCGCCATGTTGTGCCGACTCTCCTCCTCCCCGGAAGCTTTCTTCATCACACTGTGCTGCTCTACTCTTTAACCTTGCCAGCAATTCTTTACCTCCACCTAACTTCAGCTGTTTATCGGAGGCAAGGCCTGCGCGCTCCTCCGAATTCAATGTACCAAATGCGGCAACTAGGTGGCTCCACGCAGAGGCCTGCAACTGCGCCTCCGTAAAGCAAGCCTCTTTCCGATGCTGCAGAATCGGTAATAGACTTGCCACACGTAGAACATCAGCACGCTCCGCATCTTGTTCAAGTGGATCAATGCTCAGTCTTGCAAAAGCTGCCGCCAACGCTGCTGCGTCTTCTTTGGCAGCTATCAGGTCAGCCATGTTGCTCTCCGACAAACGTGTTAGAAATGACCACACATGATAATGGATATGGAATATTAAGGAACATCTGTTGATTACTATCAAAAGTAGACCAATCGCAAATTATAATGGAAAACTGTTAAGTAGCTGCAGAGAAATTAAAAAACCAGCCCCAGAAACTAGTTTTTTTGTTGATGGGGAGAAAAAAAATCAAATTTGCCCATAAACATCGCTTCAGTGGTGGCCTCTGCTCATCTTCTTCTACGTCATCAACATCGCTTTTTCTATGCGCGAGGTTGCTGTACAGTAGACACTCTTGGTGGAATCGGGACAACGCAGACGAGGCAGATTTTTCAGCCACTAAACCCTTTTCATCTGGTCGTGGTTGTGTCAATGATTTAGTAGAGCTGCGATGTAGTTTGCCGCCTTTCCCTGCACCTTGTGCTTCTCTTTTCGTATCCTTTCCTTTTGATTTGCCTTCTTTGCCCTGCTTTATTGTTCCGCTGGTGCTACAGCTACTCCCCGCTGCCGCTGTGCTGCTAGAACTACCTTTTGCCGCTCCTGTGCTGCTAGAACTACTTTTTCCCGCTGTACTGCTAGAACTACCTTTTACCGCTGTGCTGCTAGTTGAGCTACCTTTCACTCCCCCTTTGTGTGGTGCGAAGACACGCGCACTTACGACGACAGCACCGGACAAGGACAAATATCCCAGAAGCGACACCATTGTAGTATTCCGAAGGAGGTAAAAGCACTGCTTTCCCTCAGTAAAACGTTTTCAGTTAGGAAGTTAAGCAAGTCATGGTTAGCATGAAGATTGACAACGGTGGACGATGATCAGTGATAGATTCCAAACTTATTTACCAGAACGAAAATAAAAGATCTATTTAATGACACAAGGAACTTGTTCATTGAAAAAATTGCATGCAATTGCTAGCACCAGAAACCACGTGCACCTGTTGTCAGAACCAACCACGCTAGTATAAAAAGCAGCAAGCAAAATGCAAGAACAGACCATATGATGTACAAGTGACACCATTGCGCAACGCCATCCTACATCGATTGAGTTTCAAAGAAGGGGCGACCGAGCGCGTTTAGTGAGCATCGAGCTTCAACATGTACTAAGGTCAAAGGAGGACACTCTCAGACAAGGAGCATGGTAGAAATGCTTCGATGCACCACACAAGTGCACCAGCTTCTTGCAGAAGCAAACAGAATAAGAACTTTCAGAACCCTCCACGACACTGCTGGAAATGAACAGAGTCCAGAAACAAGCTGCATAAGAGACCAGAAGACCAAATGATCCTTTCCAAATTAGATCCCTATCCGAATCGCGGAAGAGCCACAGAGACTTCAGCGAAGAGATGCATATTGGATCCGGACAGTCTTTGTAGACACCAGTGCATGCTTTCATGATATGCACTATGGAACAATCGTAATCGCGAGGATCGGCGTATACCTTCAGGCCACTCCTTGTTTAACACCAAGGACACGACCACTGTGAGTGTATCTCAAAATGATTATATGGACGGCATCTTCTCTGGCATGGCGACAGCACTACCAGCCTCTGCCGGCTATTAAACCGCGAAACGAAAATTCACTGCGCAACTATCTTCAAACCTCATATTTGGCATGGTACATCTGCATTCATGCTACTTCAGCACGCAAAGGAGTCATCACAAAAGAGTCGTTGAAACCCATATTCTACTAGTTCTCTGTTCACTTATCTTTAGCGCGTCACAGATAAATGGTCACTGTTTCATCTATGAATTGCACGATCTCTGCTGACTCGCACGTATCACAAAACTATACATTCAAAGTTGTTCTTCATCGGCCTTGACTTGACCATCGACGTTTTCTCGACTTTATTAACTTGTTGTTGTTGCATTGCACTTTTGTAACCCTACATGAATCCATCTAAGTAACCCCGGTAACGAGAACGACATCTGCAAAAAGAAATTAAGCTTATAAATGTCTTGACAGACTATCTATTAGTTTAAGTACACTTACATTTTCCTGTACACCTCTCGCCAATTACTTGGTGGCACGAAGTCAAGCGAATGCATGAAGTCGTAAACCGCGCGAGTAGGCTTGTCGTGCCTAAAATCCTTCAAAAGGGCCTCATAATCCTCACGTGCTAAGCGCCAATCACCCGCAATGTAATGGCACAAGGCGAAAGTTAGAACAGAGAGAGCCTACTTCTACTATTTGTCGCGGAAACCATATGAACCTCTACTTTATTCTGCAGCTACATTATATTAGACTCAGCTGTAGCCCATCTTGGTCCCCTCATCTCGACCCCTTTCCCCTTGTATTTCATGAGAATACAAGGCAAAAGGCCGAGAAAGATAGATAAAAGCTAACCATAATTCTACGTCCTCTACCAACCTAGACGACCCCCGATGTTTACCCACAGCACTAACACTAGTTGCGGATGCAAAATCGATAGAAAAAGCCATAACTTCCGGAGTCTGGAACGCGTTGTATTGGCATTTGGGTCGTCGGGATCGAATCCAGGTATATGTTTTTGCAGGTTATTCACATCTCTATCGATGATAAACAAAAACTCCACGCCATCACTGGTATTAGAAGATTGTTAAGAAAGGATAACGATAAGCAAATCAATTTCAGCTACCTACATGAAAAAGTCCCGTCTTCTTATCCTTTCAATTTCCCGTGAAAAGCCTACTTAATCAGTTATCTCACCAGCCATAACTTCAATCACGTCTGCAGAAACTTCAAGGCCCTGTGGTTTCCACACTTCGCCTATTTCTTGGTCGCCGCTCCTCTCTGGTGTTCGTAGAACCGCCTCCCGCATGGGGAAAGTGTAAATCCCACATGGCTTCGACATCCCTACCATAGAAACCATGTCAATCTTCCGACACCGCTGCTTCGCTTTCAAGGAAAGAAGAAGGAGGAGTTAGAAAATTCCTAAGATAGGCAATCCCATGATGCTCTACGTATACCAAAATCGACAACATCTAGTACAATCTACTTCCTCCAGAATGCTGATCTCTACCACGACCCTTATATTACCTACTCTAAATTATGTCAGGACGGCACAGCAATGACTTTCTATCTTTTGCATTTCATAATAAAGTGGCTCTGATAGCAGAAGAGGCACGCCGTATTCCTTGGTGCCCGACTCCAGCTTCATGGATATGTTCACATGCGGTGACAGATAACTGGCGTCGACTTTATAATCTGAGCCAATTGGTCCTTCGATCGCCCATCCTACATGAAGCCCCAATCCGAATTGGACCTCGTGTCGTTTTCCAAACCTGTTGGAAGAAGCAAGAGGAAAGCCAACGTCAAGGATTTCATAAAGAAGAAGCTGGCTGTGGATCGCTGAGGAAGCAGAAAGCCGAAGCAATGTCCATCGGAGGAAAGCGAAAGCCCATAAAAAAAACAAGTGAATACAAGAACAAAGCCCAAAGCAGTGCGATCGATGGAAATGATTCCACAAAGTAGGCGCAAAGACACCGATCGCCGAAGCCATGCTAAGGAAGCAGGATAGCGGCGGCTCCCTCTACACGTTCAGCCGGGGCCGCGTATGCATGCCGTGGCGGTGGCCTTGCTTTTTTTGAAGACTAGGGGAAGGCGCGGTAGGGTTCGGCAGGGCACGGTCCCGGGCTGCATCCATACATCCGCTGCCGAAACACCAAGCCGAGCAACAAACAGCCCAAAAACAATTCTGCCCACCCCCGCCGCTGCTCCCGTTTCTCCTTCTTCTACACCCTGCCCAAAGATTGACCCCCTGGTTGCAATCCAAAGGCAAGGCAACACGCTGAAGCCATGCCTCGCAAACACACAACGCCACGCAGCTACAAGGCAGCCCACCCGCCCACCCTGCGGCCGGTCTGCACTTTCCACCCGGACACACCTCACGCACGCGAAAGAACCAGAAACACAGCCACAACATGCCCCCACGTCCCTGCCTCGGTGTTCTGATCCTGCAGAGCATTGCCACAAGCAAGTCACCAAGAGCACAAGCAGCAAACAACACACGACGGCTAGCAAGCTGCACGGGTGGCGGGTGGCCCCTTTTGTGAAGAGCTTCCACGAGCTCAAATGTCAAAGGAAAATCGCAGACAACTGCAGCAACATCAGCCGTCTCACTCCAACCACTTACCGGAGTCCACCTGGAGGCACAGCCTGGCGGCCCCTGACAGCGCACCGGCGTCCTCTGCGGAGTCTAACGGGGGGGGCCGCCAGGTCTGAGCGGCTGCACGCCTTATATCGCCGTCGACATGCGCGCGCAAGTTGAGAGAAGACCGACGGAACCGATTTAGAGGAAGTGGAAGGACCCCGCACGAGCAACATCGCCGCGGCCTTTACCTGGCTGCACATCTCGACAGAGACGGGCCGGCCCGTCGAGGTGGGCTCGATGCGCTCCGCCCGTCGGCGCAACATGGTCGAGCACCCGCGGAGGCAGCGTAAGTTGCTCGCCATCTATATGAATTTCATGTATAAAGTTAGTACCGCTTGATGATCCTAGGATGGTTGCTGAAAGCTCGAATACGTTCTGACCGACGCGTTTCGCATATCACTTTCAAAAACGCGAAGAGCGATCGGTCCGCAATGTCGCTGACACGTGCAGCGGCCTGCGCAGACTTTTGACTTGATTGCACACCCCGTTTGGGCAGATACTCTTGGTCGATTTTCCACAATACTAAAAACGCATCCCCAATGTTTTTATTCGCAACTCCGCTCCAACGATGGACGCATTTGTGCACGATGTGGCCGATAGAGTTCACAAATACCATCACATCCTCTTCCAGGCACTCCGTCGTGTCAGTAAATTGACGTATGTCCACGAAACCAAAAACGCTGTCAACTTTCGCGCCAGGCATCATGATTTGCATTAGAGCAGCGACGCACCCGTCTCTGTACAACAACTTTGTTGACTCTAGATTAAACAATGACAGACTAAACCAATGCTGGAAATAGAAACTCATCATAAGTTCAACTCTCCATCTCCAGAGCTCATGTTTTTGCCAATGATTTGAGCCCCCGCTTCTCCGAACCCAACCTGCAATAGGCCTCCAATCTTCAAGATTGTGTTTTCCAGCATTGTTGTCTCTAGTTGTGGTCCCTTGTTCTTCTGTTTCGGCGCGTCCTCTTCCTCGAAAGACTCCAAATTCGGTGGCTCGAGAGGATCCTCAGCTAGCTGTTTGATGATATTGACCATCTTCTCGATGGGCGCAATAACCAAGCTTTGCGTGTCGTTCTGGAACTGGATCGACATCGTGCCCAGTAGAAAACAGAGGAGTTAGAATAATGTCATGTCAACATGGAGCCTCTTAGTATATAGCAGTATCTACCTGTGAGGCCGATCAGTGTTGTAGTACCTCCTTATTGGAGGGGGTGTACACCGTCTCAAATGATACAACTGATCCAACTCATCTCTTATTTACTAACTGCCGCACAGCTGCCTATTACAGCCAGCATCATCATCTTCGAAGCCAGGACCAGATGGAGTGTCAGCGTTTCCTCATCGCTGACGAGAACATGCTAACATCTCAACGTTGATTCTCAAAAACCCGACAACATAAACAAAGCATGTCTGCACCATGCTTACAGCGGCGGTCTCCCTGGTGAACCCGGATCTGTTGAATCGAGCAATTGCCAGAACTTCCGCACAGGCCTCCAGATCCGAACACGAAGCTGGTCTGTAAACCACGTCCTCAAGGTCCTCTTGCCGATAGGGGCAATCCGCGCCTTCTGTTTCTTCCGGTTATTAGAGGTTCGGGGCCACTGCTTAGAAGATTTTGAGCATACCTGAAGCAACCATCACATAAACTAAGCGTGCTAGTAGACGTTGAACTTTACCTTGCGACAAAAATAACGAAATAGATGAACCTCCACTACATCACAAGTACATCGTCTAGTTTTCTAGGATTCTTTCATCTGCTCTCAACCATTGTGCCATACCAAAGTCGACCACAAGCCGCATTTTCGTGCCAAGATCCACGCTGGGTCGACACAAAAGTGATGTCCGCCAATTTACCACTGTCCGACCAGTTAGGAATGCGCAACCAGAGTAACTCATCCGTCTTTTCCTCGAAGGATTAGAATGAGCTGAAAAAACATGGCAGGTAACATGACAGATGAAAGAATGGTTGTTTGTCAACAAGATGTAAACAAGTTACTGGACAAATTGTGGTCACTGTATCGCATTGTAGTATTTCAGAGTGATACAATTCTAACTATGTTACCTGGTTCTTGTCTGTCGTCTACTCAAGATCAACCACCCTTTCCCTTGCTAATGAAACATTGTACATTACACTTATGCGCCATACTTGTAAATCCTATCCCTCGTTACTTCGGAATAGAGATAGATGAGGTTGCGCCACCCTTCCAAAAAGAGCCAATTTTCGCTCTGCGAGTCGCACGCGTAAAGACTACTACCAGGGTCCTGAAGCTGAAAAGTCCCTGTTGAGGCGTCGTACTCATACCCACACCCTGATCGACCGTACCAAAAGAGCAACGATAAACCGTACACTTTACTATTGTCCAAGTCGCTGGCATCACGAACTTAGAGGCTCGCGTTACCCACCTTCTGGAGAAGCAAGAGATTCAAGAGAAGCAAGTGTAAAATGAATCCCTTACAAACATCTACATCTTCTTGCTTCTTCCAGGACGCTTTACTTCAAAATGGACAGGAACTACAACATCTGGAATCCGTAAAGAAAGGGCAACACAAAGAGCATCATGAGCACCATCACCACCACACGTCGTGTTGTCATTTCGGAAAGCAGTTTTCCTAGCCGTGAAGCCTCTACTTAGAGCTCACTACAATATTAATAATCTTTCATCTTTTTTTTATAAGCTTTTACTTTTTATTATAGTCTCAACAGAATCCAAGAAGAAACTCGAGCCAAATACGCTGTGAAGCAGATGAATCTTGATGGGCCTTAATCTACACGCTTCAGCGCTGCTTGTTTAGCATTAGCCGCATTGCGCGCTTGCTGCTGCAACCTCTCATCCATGTCTCCGTCTTTCGCCTTCCTAAACATCGTCCACAGCTTTACCACTCTTACTTAGATAAACAAATACCATAAAGTTTTTCATCAGAGACAGAATACTACTTCCTTGAGAAAGAGATATTGACTCCATGTCTGTACTAAAGATAGAGATACTCCTCCTTTCTAAGCACCTAAGCAACATCCAACTCACATGTGAACAATCCAGCTCAGAAATTGAGAGTGGACGATCAACTCGAGAAAACCCTTAACTTACGAGACGAATGAGTCGTACTAAACGCACTGCACGTGCGGTCCGTACGGTCGCGACCGTAGAGGTGAGACTGGATGCGCCTGAATCTTGCCCACTCGAGGACACGATAAGCATCTCGATGACAGCTAGTACCCATGGAATATCCACAAACAAGGAGAAAGTTGCGATCATATCCAACCTGAGGGGAAGAGAAAGTTGGAGTGAAAGTTACGATCATATCTAACCTGAGGGGGGAAAAAATAAGTTGGAGTCATAGTCATATGAAAGAAACCTGACACCTAGAGAAAGAGTAGTTGAAGTTCCTGTAGGGTCGGCTCGTTTGATGAGGGAGTAGCCCGACCTGAGACATATCGACAAAAAAACGAAAAGAGAAAATCATGCTCCTTTCCATCGTCAGAGCTTCACAAAATTCAAAAGAAATCAACGTGGTGCAACGACAAAAATCCTGGTCAAGTCTAACCCAGTCTATCCATAGGGTGAGTACCAGAAAAAGAATCCTCCTTTGTAGCCGTCTTTGCAAATGGTGTTGCACATGAACTCGCAGAAGAAAACCAACATGGCGCAGAGAAAGAGTGAGTAAAAAAAAGGATCAGCCGACTTCGTGAAGAAAAAGAGTCGCAAGTCGTCTCCCCATAGAGTATGGATGTAGTTTTTTCTCCCCTCCAAGGGCAGACCATCACAGCTGCCCCCGCCCTGTAAGCTATTATACACCTGTTTCAAGTAGGGGAAATAAAGGTAGAAGCATCGATGGTCTGACCTAGAGGTGAGAAAAAACAACATCCATATAGAACGAAGGTCGTCAAACTCGCCATTCCCATAACCACACGCCGATGGTCGAAAAAGTCCGTAACGCGTGCATTTTAGAACGAGTTAAATACCATATCATCCACCGTAAGTGTGGAGGACCTCAGCTTACAAAACAAAATGCTTGATGATGGGAATGTATTCGACAAGCAGGTGACTAATAAGTAAGATTAAGATTTTCTTTCCCCTGACGATTTCTAAGTGCGAGCAAGTCTATTCATTCATTCGCATCCCTAGTAGGGCTCCTAGTCTACCGGCGGGACGATACAGTTCCAACAGTGTGTCCTGAAACAAGAAGGCCACATGAGTACTTTAGTAACCTCGTCTCGTAGCTCTTGATTCGCTCACTGGGGTCATCTTCCCAAAAAGTATTTGTCCGCGTGTTCGCCTCCTCTTCTTCCTGTTCTTCGCCTCTTCCTCCGCCTTCCGCGCTATTGTGGAAGCCGCCTGGCTGCCGTCGGCCACCGGGAGACGTCCCCTTGTTGTTCATTTTCTTCTCGTCTGCGTGGAAAATGAATTTTGATTTTCTTCACGAGTTATACAGTCAGTCGGTCACTCAGTACTCGCATCGATGTCTCGGCTGATGACTCCACACAAGGTCTATTAGCGGAGCTGCGTTTGATACATGAAGGTTGTCAACAGTAGGACTTTTTGAAGATTTCGGCTACCTCCAACACTGCGATCGCCTGTCAAGACGACGCGTACATCGGGAACAGGTCCGGGAAGACTAGGTCACCATCGTGGGCCATCGCTGCCTCAATGTATGCCGAAAATACTTATGCCATCTTTTGACTCTGAGCATACAGCTGGACGACGACGAACGTCAACGTCCACGTCGCTGTTAGCAATATAAAACACCACTTCTCTCTCACTACATCGGATAATGATACAGGTGCCTGATCTTGCGTTTCTCAGACTGACCTTCCTTTTCCAGCCGTGCAGCCACGACACTATTTCCTCTCTCTGTTGAGATATTTTTTTCATTCAGAATGCTGCTTGGTGGCAGTTGCTCATCCACGAAAACGTTCTAGAATGATCAATCTTCTTTCTCGGTTCGCATGCAGGCTCCAGCCCCTTTAACGTAGACAGCAATGCCCAGAAGGCAACTCAGGCTAAAAAAATCAAATCGGCAGATCGTCTCTGTCTTGTTTCCTCACGAAGGTGTATGAGAACAATGACAATGTAAATGTACCGTGCAAAATGATGTTATCGCGCTGTCGATGTAGTTTGTATAATTCGGCGAATAAAGTTGAACTTCTAGAAGTCTGTATTTAGTAAAATCAGAGATAGTCAATGATCTTTCAGACCTGATGCGGAACAAGAGGTGAACTACTTCTTGCAAAACGACTGGAGATTGTTTTTTTTCTTATACACGAAGGAGTAATTACTTGATGTATCATCTTCACTCCCGAAGGATTAATGACGCCAAATCTATCTTGCGACCAAGCGTTAGTTTTCAACACTGACGTCTTTGTCCATGATCGCACTAGCCTTCCAGATTCGACACGTATTATCCTTCGAACCCGTGATGATCGTATCGCCTTCGTGCATATTAGAGTGGGTTCTAATTGGCTGCCACTGTCTAGTATTCCGCTTCTGTAATCACTTGTACCATCTACTTCAGCATCACATGCTGACAAAAATGTGGAGTTCTCGTTCAATATGTACTTCATCTAGTTCTAGTTGGTTAAGTTCCTTCCATAAAATTGAAAGCACATGAAAATATCTCGTCCGTGTGCCCCTCGAGGATTTGCAGGCACTCCCCAGACTCAATGTTCCAAACTCGACATGTTCTGTCCGATGCCGCTGTGATTGCTTTCGCGCCACTAGGACTGAATTGCACCTGAAAAGGTGGGAGGCAGAAGTATTCGTCTGTAGCAGTAAATATTTTTCCAAATTGATAAGGACTCATCCTAGGAATTCTAGTAGGATCTTCAGAAGTGCTGGACTACAACAACTATTAAACGAAAAACGGGAGTTGACGTAACTACACCTACAAACAGAGACTACAAGAAAGTACCTTGGATATTTCACCTTCGTGCCCAATGAGGATGGATATGCATGTCCCTGTCATGACGTTGTAGATTCTCGCAGTAGCATCCGCGGAGGCAGAAGCAAGGCGATTACCAGTACTATTGAAACAGACATCAAGCACTTCATCGCTGTGCCCTTTGAATTTAGAGCTTTCCCGAATTCATGCCGACTGTGGAGATCCCCCCCTCAAGAGTTCTTCAGATGGTCAAGGGACCTCCACAGAGATGGATTAGGGGTATCCATAATCAATGTCTCGATGCAGGCTCCGCTGTTCGTATCCCACAGCTTGCAGGATCGGTCGATCGAACCCGTAACGCAATAATCGCCTGAGATCAAGCAGCGAGTCAAGCTTTATATTTTGGCCGCATAATCAACTTTCGTCGTCGTGAAGATGATTAGTAATCTAGTACCAACAACATATTACAATTCCGATTTCCATCGAGTACTCACTACTGACACTTTTTTCATACAGTAGTAATAGTACAACCATCCTGTGAAGACACAATCGAATTGAAGTTGTAGCTTAGTACCTGTAAAGTCGAACTGAGTGCTGCTAATTTCTCCGTGATGTCCTGATAAAGTATGGATGCATTGGCCCGATGCTGAATCCCAGATTTTGGATGTATTGTCGAAAGAACCGGTCAGCAGCTTATCCCCAACAAAATGAAAACAACACTTTATTTAAATACTTACTGGTCGTGACGCGTTGAAGTACAACATCACGCAACCGGTCGTAACGTATGGCAAGTACTTTGTGGCAATTCTAATTGCCCTAATCTTGTTGTATCGAACAATCGGTCCTGGTGCAAGGGGCGTTGAATTCTTTTTTTCCAAACCTGAGAACCTATTGAGGTATAAGTAGATGCAATTTTAATCCACCAACGAGTTGCAAAGTGATGACATTTTCAATTCAGTGACTGCCCACCAAGAAAAACTTCTCTTCCAAAAATTACAATTAGACAATGAGCCATACTCAGTGTTGAAATTGAGCGAGACTATCTCCGCGCTGTGGCCGTCGAGCGAACAGACTAACGCACCAGTCTCTACGTCCCACAACTTTGCTGTATTATCCATACTCCCTGTAGCAACGAGCGTTCCTTGTGGGTTGAATACCACACATACAATCTCCGTTTGGTGACCTGGTGTTTCGACGCATAGTAGACATTCATGTAATTCATACTAGGGTACTTGTTCTAGAACTGATAGTACTTACTTACAACTAGTCCTGCAATTCCATCTTGTGCCTGATCAGGTTCGTGCTTGAAGACCCACATGCAATCATACTCTTGACTTCGTGGTCAACTACTCAGAAGTAGTTGCCTCTTGTACATCTACATGTCACACCAAAATGTAGTCAAAACTCGTACTCTACTACCTTTCAGCGTGTGTATCAGCTTTCCCGTGTTCGCGCACCATATCTTCGCGCTCTTGTCGAAGGACCCCGTGACTACTTTGTCGCCAAAGGGATTGTTAAACGCGATGGCGTAGACTACATTTTTGTGCCCGTCAAGCACGCACTGCTCGTCCCCAGAGACGGTGTCCCATATCCTACACGTCCTGTCGTAGGACCCCGTGATAAATTTGCTGCCGCTCTTGTTGAACGCACATACAGATGAACAGTGGAAAACTCAGGACGAACTCTGTCCCTCTCTTCATATTATCTTAACGATATGGAATTTCCTGTGACGCAAATAAAGCTGATTTAAACCTCAAAATGACGCATTCAGACATTCATTTTCTATCACCCTAGATTGATTACTTTAGGCGTTTTATATTTCTTCTAGCACTTGTTGTGCTAAAGATTTTTCTTGCAGAGTCAAAGTTTTCCGCCATACATTTGTAAGCGGTAAAATGTGCGCTCGCAGAACTCGGCATTAGAGGTTCGCTCTCCCTATAATTCATTTTCTCATTGTAGTGTATTTTCGTTTCCGAAATTATGGTGTGAGTAACATCAGATTGGATATTCATCATTTCCGAAAATCATGTGAGAAAAAGGATCAGAAATATTTTTAAGATTCGTAATTGTACAAGGAGTATCGTCCATCGGCTTCCCTGTCCGCTTGCAGCTTATCTATAAGCTTCAGTATCAGTTTCTTCAAAACCGGCCGCTTACTCTTAGAGCTAGCGCGTTCGCATCCTTGAAGCTTGGATGGCATCCTTGGCAACGAACTTCTCCCCTTTAGTACTTAGGTAGATTGAGAGAAACTACTAAACCTATTCATGAAGTCGTGATGTAGTGCAAGAAGAGTTGCCAAGGATGATGCAGCCGAAGATGCTCGTTTAGTTGCCTTAATGCTCTCGGTGATCAACGGCTCTTCGGATATTATCTGGGTTATTAGCACGTCCACGTCCGTCTCAGGTGTGAGATTGAGCAGATCAATACTCTTCGTCTCCACCTCGCCGCTCCGTCTCTGAAACTCCAGCACAACCCCAGAGGGGTAGTACCGCAATAAAAACCGTTTCAGCTTCATCCCTCCCTTCTAGTCAGAACGAGAATAGAACTGTCGGTGTCGCTTCCTCGTGAGTCGACGTCGAGTCTCCCGTCCGTACCACAACTAGGGCGGCTCGTTAGGTCGAGTTTACCGGTGAATAGATTGTGATTGTGGCGGCAGATAACTACCGGTGAGTAAGAAAAATGCGACCACCAGCCCTTCTTTTCGAGATTATATGTTTAGCACGAAAGAGCTATTTTTTTCCTGCGTCGGATTGTGGAGGTGAACCAGCGTTATTTTCCAGGTCGCCGCGAAGCCTCTGGGTCGTCGTGCCGATTCGTCTTGTCTGTCAGGGTGTGAACTGCAGAGGGGCGCCTGTCGTTATCCGAAATAATCAGCGCAACGCGAGCAGTCTTCGAGAAAGTCTCAGGCAACGAAACTTCTCCTAAGCGCTAGTCGAAGTCTTCTAACGAGAACTGCGGATCGGTATCGGTTAAAAGAATCAGTCGTGCAACCGCTGCCGGATCAAATCACAACGCCGTTATCCGAGTTGTTCTCGGTCGCAGAAAAAGCTCATCGTCAACTCGTCATTTGCACTTCCCTTCCGCCACGACCTCGATCCGCAGGTACCTGCAAAAGGATGTCCATCTTCTTGTCCATTGGTTCTCAAACATGAATTTGTATTTGAATTCCCGAGTCTGTTTATACTTAATCTATTAAAAATCTTCTTGTTGCTGTTTTGCTTGGAGTGCTCGTGTAGTACTGCATTATCCTTAGTCTCTCGCGTATCCACTTTCTCACACAAGGGCTCTCGGAAACTCCTCCCTCATCTTTCCACTTCAGTTTTCTTACTGGATGACCCCTCTTCTGGCTCTCATCTCATTTTTAAGTTTTTTGGTCATAATTTTCGGTCCATCTAAATCAGTAGTAAAAACTGCAAATTTCCACTAGCTCTTTCATGGCGAAGTCTTTCACCCACGCAAAAAATCACTTAACTCCCGCAGCCGATGGATTACCCTTCGCAGTGCACTAACGGCACGTATGCCAAACACACAACAAAGAAGCAGCACTTTGCCACCCTTTTTCTACTGTCGTCATGTTAATGCCACAATTTAACACTAGACCAACCAACGAAGTTCTTTGAGTCCTGATGATGTATCGGAAAAAGTACTCTCTCTCTCTCTCAGAGTATGTCAGAAAGATGCTGACAAACTGCATAACCAGGCTTACTCCGATTCCATATCATTACATACCATGCTTAAATGCTGTACTTACCAGAGCCCTTTACAATGAAATAAAAGGGATAAGAGCATCAACGTCTCATAAAGCGAGTCCGTTCAAATTTGCTTCTATCACTACAGCGGACCCACTCATGACTCCTCCTCCAGAGATATCAAACATAAAGCTCGCCCACCGATCGAATTAAGTCATTCATAAGTCCTGCTGCATGCATTTAGGTCGGTCCTCAAAGTTTACTGTCCTCAAAGTTACTGTCGTCAGTGAAATCTGTCGACCGACCTAATCAATAATGCCTGCATCAAGTATTAGTCGGTTGACAGATTTCACTGTCCTCAAAGTTTACTGTGAATTTCGAAAAGAAGAGTCGACTCTTCAACTTGGTTCGCCGGTGAAAAATATGCTGTCATGCTGTTAAACTTCAAAAATTGTTGTACGCCAACTAGAAGCATGCACATGTCTCATTATGTTGTCCACCAATGTTTCAGATCTATAATCCCAACAAACATATTATGAACTTCTAAAATGGGCAGATCCTTTTGTATCATGATCTCGGAAAATAAATAGTATCTCGTATAAGCTATATCGAATTGTGAGTTTCGCGAAGTTATGCATTCCTTGCCCGAGAGTCTGGCTTTTTTTTGAGCATGAAGACAGACGAAAGACGGACGCACGACGATGGTTTTTTTATGCTTGAGACGATGAGAGAGACAAAGAAGCCAGGCAAAGAACGTAGACGAAGAAGCGAGTCGATACATTTGATTACCGTCTTTTTGTTAACTTTCTCTTTGTTTTCGATCCGTCGGCACTTCGTCGCCTATGGCTGGCCTCTTTTCTGCTTTTTTAGGCGTTGCATCTACGTAAGGCGTAGAGTGACGCAAGGCCTTGCGTTACTCTGCTGATGGTCTGGCATGCGCATGCTCCCGCTTACGGCGTTGCGCTCTGCCTTTTTTTTCATAGGAAACAGAAAAAAAATCTCTGCTATCTTATCAAAAAACTAAAGTCGGCGCTTTCGTTAGTTTTCGTCTCCGCTCTGCGTCTCTGCGTCGTGTTTCTCTCTCGGTCGAAGCGCTTCCAGTTTCCATGGCCCAGCCCTCTAAGGCTCTCCCCCTTTCTTCAGGTCTACAATCTGCTGACGCAGTTGGTAGCCGCAGCACCCGCCAAGGAGTGCGCGACGTCAGCCACCACCCGCACCCACAAGGGTGGCGATGCCTCTGCGCTGAAACTCGTGCGCAGTATGGGCGAAAATGCATCGCAAGTCCATACTGATTCGCTCACGGAGGTGCCGGACGTGCTCCGCCGCGATTTTTTGGAGAAGTATGAAAGTGAAAAGCTGGTCGCTGCTGCGTACCAACCACCCCAAGCCCCTACGCAGCACCCCACGGATTTGCCTACTTCTGACCCCTCTGCGCTTGGCTTTCTTCGTCAGAGCTCCCAGCGAGCTCAAGCGGCTGCCGCCGGTAAGTGTCGAGCTCTTTGCGTGAGAGGTTACCCCATACGTAACCGAAAAGCTTGAACGAAGGGAATTCGTCACATTCATACCCCGCCGCGTTTCCATTCCCAGCAGGTTCTTCTTCTGATACCAACACCGACGCGGAAGCACTCAAGCAAAGAACAGAACAAACCAACTTCGCAATCAGCGAATCGCCCAAGGCTACCGACCACGACGAGGCGAAGCGCTAGCACGAGCAAAGCTATGAAGGCCCAAGGCGTTGGGGAAAAGCCTGCCCTTATGAAGAGAATGGCGAAAGTGGGCAACCCAATGAAAAAAAACACAAAGCAACCGAAACAAGCAACGGCGAAGGCTGCCAAAGAAAGCACCGAAGAAGGCGGCCAAAACACCGGGGAAGGCTGTCAAAAAAATGATGGCCATGGAAGCGGAGTAGCTTGCTACATAACTTCCCCACTGTGGCTCGCATCGCTTTCGAAAGCCAACGGTAGGCGCACTCACATCGGATTCAGACTTTAGAGCGCAAGGCATCACTGACTTCAGTAAAATAAAAGCAAATCGATCAAGTTCGACGAGAATCAAAGAGCGGCCGCCGGGTTGATGGCTTTTGTTTTCCATCCATCCAAGTAGAGGCCTCCAATTGAATATAGAAAAAGCACGCAGGTTATACGTACAGGAACAGGAAGCGAGTGCCTCGCTCGGTGATATATTAGAAAGAGCGCCAGTCAATCACTGCGGGCGTTATCCTTTAAGAATTGCATGGAGAGCCCCCAGACGGACCCAGATTCAATTATGGCGCCACAGTTGTGACGAACATCGCACACGGTTAAGAATCAAGACCAACACGAACGCCACAACAAAGCCACGGCAGGCCGGTGAGCTATCAGCCTAACCAGTCCACAGCATACCATACGCATGCCGTACGCTCCTGGCAGAAGCATCCAAATGACACGGCGCCAAATAGGGCCGCACAATCAAAGGAGAAGCCTGCTCACATCAGCGAGGCGGCATCTGCATCATCTGGCTAACGCGTCTAGCATTGCGCGCGTGCTCTCTTGCATTTTTTGCAAGCGACGCCATCGGCGTCGACAGTTCAGCCGATGCACTGCGCGCGACATGGGAGGAGCTAAACCGGACAAAAAAGCAAAATACTAAGGCCACAGAGTGCGCGAGAGTTGCGCGCTTCATTGTTATGCCATCGAGGTCAGGCCTGGTCTCTCTTTTGCTCTCTATGCATCGAACTCAAATGCTCCGCGTTTTCTTCTGCTTTCATTCTTGTCATGTCTTTGCTGCAAGTCATGCCATCAGCGTGCTTTTTCCGGGGCGAAAGATGCCGCACATGCGCCGGCGCTAGCTGAACGGGAACGACGACGGAGACACTTGCGGCAAGTTTCTTTTTGGAGTTGGATACTTACCAAAGAAAACAGAACACCAGTCCAGCAATGCTGCTGGGATGATCTTCACGGGCGCGAGCACTATCCACGCATGAGCACGAAGCACGGGAACACCATGGAAAGTGGGCACTACTGTGCTACCATCAACCACATCGCTCCAAGGTTTTTGCTGCTTCGTCAGTGTTAGCGTGTAGGATTCTCACCGCATCGGTCTACTTCTAACTCGCGAGCCAGCGAAGTCGTGCTTCTTAAGCACTCGCTTCGCTGATAGCAATCCTAAAACCAGTGGAACCAACCAGAACCGAGTCCGTCGCTCGCTTTGGACTATGCTACTGCTTAGCTTTAGCCGCTGCGGGATTCAATAAGCCACGGCCACGAACTCAAAGCGATAAGCGCAGCGCCTGTCTTACGGTAGAAGGCAGAAGGGAGCCTTGCAGCAGTGCAGCACTTTGGCCCCCCTTCAGGCTACCCCGTTGCGCGGTTTTTGTATCGTGGAGAAGCATGGCCAAGCTTCGTTCCCCGCGACGGTTTCGCCAATATCTGAAACAGCGCAACCCGCTACTTTCTCAATTCGTTTGGCGCAAGCCGGCCAAAGTGCTGGCTTATCGAATCCAGGCAGTCCGTACGTGCTACACGTTTGCTCCCTATTAATTCGCTAGCCAGGTCCCCTCCTTTAAGTGTTCCCTCTGTGTGAGGCGCTTTGGCAAGTTCTCACTCTCTCCCTCTCGATCGTGGGGCGGTCGCTGTTTTTGTTTTTCTGATTCGCTCGGCCTCCAAGATTGTTCCAATTCTTGCTGCCAGCAGGCTCTTCGAGGTTTTCACTGCATTGGACAAGCAACACAGTGGCAAGAGCTAGGCTGGGCCTCTCGCGTATAGATACTGGCCAAAATTTTCGAGCGGGTGCGCTGTCTCAATCTGGTGCGAATTATCTTGCGCGCAAGAGTTTGCAACCCCTTCAAAAATGCCGCACGCAGCAACTGTCTGCAGCAGCACCAGACCCGCCCGGTTCTGAACGTAGTGGCCTTTCTTCTGCTGTGTAGCAGTTTTCAACTTTTTCAGCAGTATAATTCTGGGGTTTCGGCTATTGCGTGGCTACTGTGTGACTGACTGAAGACGCGGCGCATATCTCTCACGCGCGTCGCGTGCAGTCAGGTCGTGTCGCCTGGGTTCTTTTCAGTTGATTCGTGTGAAGGCTCCCTGCTCTGACGCGTGCAGCCCTTTGGCGATACTTTCACGCGCGACGCTTGTCGCCAAAGCAGCGCACTTCTGTAAGTATAACTCCCTTCAGTTCGGACCCACGTTCTTGCTGCCAATCGTTGGCCGCTTCCAGAAAGTAGCGGGTAAGTTTATCCCTTCCTGTCTCTGCAGTATTTCCCTCCTCCCTCTTCTTCCCCTTTTTCCTTAAAGTCATGCAATTTGCCAGTATGTCAGAGCCTGGCGGCCTTGTTTTCTAAGTCTAGACCTTATACTTACACGAGACAGCCCGGAGTGACTTAATAAACTTAACAGCAGCGCAGGGATGTCGTCATCCCTGCGCTAGCCTGTGATAATAATCTATCATTAATCATGTAGTACCAACCACCTAATGTGTTAGTGTCCACTTAAAACAACTAAACTAGATGATATGTTGCGGAACATTTAAGTAAATGAATTAAGATATGTGGATGTGCCTGGCATAATCATGTGGACATAAATCTATTATGTACAACATTGTAGAAAAACCCCTAATTGTTCAGGAGGACAAACAACGGAAAAATGAAAAGCGAAGCACTCCCCTTTATCAGCGAACTGCTCCTTGCTCCCCCGCCCGGGCGCGCACCAGCCTCACCCAGAGCCAGCCTGTGACATTCCAGTCTCAACATAATTTGCAAGCATAATGATGGCCAAAATGCCGCATAAGAAGATCTGTCAGGAGGCTTCCCATTGTATTGATCAACGTTCCCGCCAACTCTAGTACTTATTCTAACCTATAAACTGCTATTACCATATAGCATTTTCAAACAGAAATGCAAATCGTGTTTCAATGATCCTATGATCATCAAATTGTGAAACTTCCTTGTCCTCTTATTCCACCGATCCAATGATCGTACAGGCATTTAGAAGTACTATGACTATCGCACTAGCAATGGTGGTCTATGAATTCCTTCCTTAAATTATACCACTTCTATGAGTATGAGTATGAGTATGACCACCAGCATCGTACTACTAATTAGCCTACTAATTACTAGTCTACTAATTACAGTCTAATTATAAATTCGTCCTCCAACGAACCTGCTCATTGGAAGATGCCATTTCCAGCTTGCAGGACTTGGTTCGGATCCAGCGTTCCGCGTATGGTATTGAGCAAGTCTGCCGCCTGTGGTGTGAAGACGTCCGATGCGAAATCTCGACGGATCTTGCCAATTCCATGATGGTGCGACAGGGAGCCACCGGCATCCAGGATACAGCGGCGACAACCCCTCTCCACGATCTCATAGTACTCAACCTTCGCTTGTATCTTAGAAGAAATAGAGTTCTCAAAAGATGAAAGATGAAAAAGTACGGAGTTTTTACAGACACTCTCACACGCAAGCGGAAACAACAATCACATGAGGAGCATGAGATGAGGAGGAATGAGCCGTGTCAAGCAGAGACAAGAATCAGACGAGGAGTATGAGATAGAGAAGACAAGGACTGATGATCCGGTAAAATAATGTTCTTAATAGTAGTGGTGGAGCCAACCTAGTTAGGATAAGACCGAAAAAAAACAAAAACGGGTGGTATAGTTATAGGTGAAGTATTCTAATAGTGTTTTGAGACTTAATGTTTATTTCCGCGGTTGGTCCGATGTATTTCGGCGGCACTGGTAACGCCATGTAGAAATAGATGCAGACGCCTTGCTTGTAGAGCTGGGAAACGCGGTAGCTGATCCAGTGTGAGTTTTCTACAAGTTTCGTCACCTTCTTATTGCCGTTCCGGCTGGTCCTTTCGTAGGCAGCCGCATCGACGAGCTGCTCTGGAGTATCCTCAAGCGAAAAACCCATGTCCTGGTAGCAGGGGTAGTTGGTTCCCTCGTACAGCGGCGCGCCGCTTTGCAGAAAGGCCTTCACGCTCTTGATCACAAACGGCACACGCGACCATGGCACACTCGTTTCGAACGACTCGCCCAAAATGCCCATCTGATCCGCAAGGTCGCGGATGTACGCAATCGCGTAGGTCAGTCGGTAGCCGTTTGCGCCGGCCTCACTGCCACCCCAGATGCCAAAGTACTGCTTGCGCAGCTCGTTCAAGTAGGCCTTCTGCATAGCGACTTCTTCCTTGCCCCCCTCAAACACCACCGTAGCCGCGCACATCACTGCCGGATCGAAGCCGAGAACCTTGGTCACCAATTGCCTCTTCATGAAATCCTTCGCTTTGCCCACAGCACTGGTCACTTCCGCTTTGCACGCTTGCCCAAATCTGAACTGCTGGTTGTCCACCAAGCGAATGCTCGCGGGAATGTACACATTAGAGCAAGGACGTAGTATCATGCATGCTCAGATGAAACATCAAAAACTTTAACTCTCCCTATCTGGATAAAAACAACTCTTCAGAATTAAGATAATTCGTTTGGAGTAGCTGTGGATGGTCATCCTATACTGTAGGTGACCTTCATCATTTGAAGCGTAACCAAAAAGGCTGGGCGAATAAATGTCATGAATTGATTATAAATATGTGTCGGAAAATCTGTAATTGATTAATATATGTTGATGAGGATAAAAACTTGGGGGCATAAATGCAGTGGACGGAGCTCTCGCGAGGCGCTCTAGCAATGCGATGCCGTGTTCCCAGTCGGGGAAGAGGATCGCTTCGTATTGGACGACTTCCGGCAGTGGATGGATAGCTAATTTCACGCTGGTGATGCACCCGAAGCACCCTTCGGAACCCAGGAAAAAATCGCGCAAGCCGATGTTCGTGCTGGTACGAGGACCACCATGCTCGTCCGATTTTTTGAGCGCCAGTACCTGGACTTGCTGTTGCTCCGGCGCCGAGGAGTCGTCGGGCTTCGCGGTGACTGCGGCGGGAGCAACGACGTTGACGCCCAAGCACATTTGCTCAATGTTTCCGTAGCGCTGCTGCTTCATCCCGCTCGCGCGCGTGGCCACCCAACCGCCGACGGAGGAAAACTCCTCACTGTCCGGGTGCATGCCGCAGGTGTAGCCGAGCTTGCGCAGTGCTTCATGCAGGTCTACACCGATGCAGCCAGCCTGCACTTGCACCCACCGGCTGTCCGTGTCCACCGCTAGCAACTGGTTCATCCTCGTCATGTCCATGGCCACGACAAAGGGAGCCATGCCTTCACTTTGTGCCTTGCTTTTTTCGTCGTCCTCCTTTGTAATCTTGGAACTCGCAGAAATCCATCACTTGATGAGCATCATCTCCGTGGTCGCTTTTCCTCGAAAAACGAAACTGAGATCATGCTGCTGAAGAAAATGAATTTCGTCCACGTCCTCAAGTAGTCTTAATAATCGTGATCGACTCAGTGACAGTGGTTCGCCCTCCCACAGGCACGATCTTTACCAGTGGCTGCGGGCCGTTCTGCTTCCTTTTTGCGTTCTGTTCGGCAGCGTACGCGAACGCCTCGCACACGTCTTGCTCGCTCTCTACGTGCAGAACCAGGTCGGCCAAGCGGAGCACGCCATGCAAAGCTCGCTGCATGTCGCCGATCGTTTGGCCGCGCGCGTAGATCTCCCGGGACACCCGATCCGTGTCCGCCTTACTCGGGCCAAATTTATCCAGGAAAAAAGCAACATACTGCGACTTGTACTTCATTTCCAGAGGAGAGATCTTTTCCTTCTGGTCCACGGACTCTTGCCTCTCTTTCGGATTCTTAGAGGACTCACCGCCCACGTCCTTCTGGACATTGTGTGGCACCACGTCACCCTCAAACATAGCCGTAGTTTGCTGTGCCTCGCTCTTGGCCAAGTTTGCCATGACGCGATCGCGCTCCGCGTCGGTCTGAAGCATATTGGCGAGCGTAAAAGGAACCAAATTCGGCACGTTACATCCCGAAATGGGGTACCGCTCACCCGCAAACCGGATCACGCCTTCTTTGCCAAAAAAACATTAGAGAAGAGGAAGAAGAGTAGACCACATCGAAGAAGTCTTATAGGACAAGTAGATAGGAGACCGAGAGGGCATTTTATCTACTTCTACGAGAGGCATGATCAGAAGTTGACGAGAGGGCAGGCTGTAAATCGAAAACATCTAAATGTAAGTCCTCTATAATCTATGGTAATGTCGAAAATCTTCCCTCTTTCATAAAAATAGCTGTCCCGGTATCCCCAGCCAAACCGCTTCTGTACCTTGGCAGAGCTTTGCGGCTCGACCCGTGGCAGGGCGTCTCCAGTTAACAACACCATTTTTGGGGAGAGGCTCTCCTTCGACTTTGTGGGAAAAAGTTATCAATTCTTATCGAAGAAGATTTCTGGGAAATAAAAAAAGACCATAGATATATGATCTGTCGCTCTCGGATACATATGATGAACAGACATGATTCTACATCCTGAAGTAGAGTCCAGCACAGCCAATCTCTCTCTCTCTCTAAAACATGATGCGCACTTCAAAAAGAACACAGACACGACTATGAGCACATACACTACTTGGAGATCAATAACGGTTTGGGCGTCAGGCTACTTGTGCTAGAGCTTTATTGATTTCACTTTTCTAAGCGCTTTTGGCTTCATCTTAAGTCCATCCTGACACCAGATGAGTTGACCTCGAAGCACAAAAAATCGCGCATGCGATAGTGACAAATCAATCCATCAGTCATCAACAGACAGCGAGCACTGTTGAGATCGTTCTAAATGTTGATGGAAGAGGAAGAGATGTACTAATTATAAATATTTGGGTTACAACTTTACACGTCTTGTTGCACTGAAGCAGAAGATGACCCTAGACTACGATCTTTGCGTGTTTGGCAACAGGCTCGCCTGGGTCTTTCTCCTCATCTGCGTCTACAAGGTCTGCTTCAGGCTCTACATCGTCCTCATCTTCGAGGTCGTCCAATTCGATTTCTCCTTCATCTTCATGGGTAAATTTCTTGCCATTCTTCTCGATATTCTGGAAAGGAGCCTCGACCTCGTGGTTGTCAGCAAGCAAGTGACGCTTATCTCGTCTGGTACTTAGTAGAACGCCACTAGAAGTTTCGTCGTCGTCTTCTTCTCTCACTTCTCTACCCGCCCTCCGATCTGGTTCATTTGTAACCTCGTCTCCCTCATCTCTTGCTAGTCGCTCGTTCTTCCCGTTCTCCTCTACGTGCCCCTCTAGTACTTCATCGCCTAAGGATAGTTTTTTTGGCGCTACTAAGGGGTTCCAGATGTCCGAGACTCCCAACAGCCTACTAACCTCTTGCCGCTGAATGTTGCCGTAGTTGAGGTTTTGCGCATTAGCAGCATCGAAAAGGATCGCGCCTTTCATGGTTGTAACTGAAGCCGAGGATGATGCTGAAGAGGAACTTGTGCTCAACGAAGTTGTTGCCGCACGATTAGTAGACGTAGTATTTTTCATCATGCTAGTACTAGTATGTTGATGTTGTCTCGGTTCTCGTACTCTCTTGTGAAACGCCGCGATGTCATCCCTTGTTGGTCTGTCTAGTGTGGGGGCTGGCTTAGCACGCGGATCCCGATCTGTTTTCGCGAAGTTCTCACGCTGCACTGCGAGCCACTCAGGAACATGCCGCAAAATTATTCTGCCTTGTGCTCGTTTTCTCGCCAAAAAAGCTTTCTCGTCCCCCACTGGCTCACACACACGAGGGTCAGTGCTCCCGTAAAAGACTCCGGGAGGCGGCGCTGAGGATTTAGCTGTTGCTGACCGAGCGAAGTCGGGTCGTCGCGAAACTACTACTGATTCCAAATGATTTGTTGATGTCGTGCCTCCATCTTCCATATAATTTTCAGCTGCAGCTGGAGGTCGAGGTTCGTAGTTTCCGTTAAAATCCGCATGGTCGTTTTGTTGCTCCACCTTCATAGCATGAGAATCAGCTTCCTCGTTACCCTCATCTTCATCATGGTCATCCTCATTACAAATCTCCAACACCTGAAGAAATTCTCGTCCAGGCAAACACTTGTCTAACGACAAGAAGCGAGTGATTCCGCCACTCTCGTGCTTCATCAACGACGCAAATTTGACATGGTGATGCGCCGCAAACCAAAACCTTGGCTGAACTGCGTCCAGCACTGGTCGAGTCAGCGGATTCGCAAAGACTCCTGAGCCGATGTCTCTGCGCATGACCCCTGTACGATCTTTCCGCCGCAGCAAACCCTCAAGGTCACCGCCTTCCCAGATGCCTCGTGGCCAGTCATGAGACAGAAATACGTCAACTCCCTTCCTTCTTCGTCCCTTGCTTGGTCTAGACGAGGTGGCTGGTTGGTGCTGTTCGAAAACTCCTGCCGCCTTTTGTTCTGAAGATCCCGCTACTGGTTCTCCAGGCTCCTCTCTTAGGATCTCACCCAGCATGGCCATCTTGTCGCACTCAAATTGCCTCACGTGGTATGCGGAACGCATGCTATCTTCTGTTAGTCGCACTTTCGCCTCTCCCGTATCGATGTCTCGCGTGACGGCCATGCGTTCGTACATCCCTATCAGAGAATTCCTATGGTTGTAAATCCCTGACATGCCAGCCAGCCGAACCACCTCTCGCTTGCCTAGTCTTGCGCCCGTGCTGTCGATAAAGTCAGGTCCTGGTCCTCTCTCAGCCACTAAATCGATACAACCGGCAATCCCGAGATAGTAAATGTTCTCGCACACCCAACCACCATAATACAGGTCTAATAAGAAATTTGACGCTTCGTGATTTCCGCCAACCTGATGTGAATTTTGTTTCATGTTGATGGTGTGCCAAGTAGTAGTGCAAATCAACGTTTTGATGAAAAGAGACCGAATACTTTCCGTGTATGTAGGAAGAACTACAAATCTAAATAAAACCAATTTCATTTAGACTGAGATTTAGAGGAGCTTCCGCTTCAGCCCTGCGCGTCAAGCACCGGAGAGCATGTTTTTTCAGGGATCTGCAGAAAAAAACTGAATCGTAGGAGGCACTGTGACGATTTCTATAAGCCAGAATAATGTCATTAAAACTGCGGCAGTACGAATATCGTCAAAACTGGCGCTTTCTTCTCCCCGCGCCAGTATTTCTCGAAGTCCGCCATCCTCCTATATTTCTGAGGACATGCCAGGTTCGACAAGTCTTCGGCATTTCGCACGCTCTGGAAATCGCCACAACATAAAAGGGCATCGATCGGTTCCCCAGAATGGCGCTCGAGTTCTACGATAGTATCGAAAATCTGATCCAGCTCACCATGAGCGCAACCCTCAACAACAAAACGCATCTTTTTGAAACCAACTGGACCTTTAGATCAAGAAAAGTGAGTAGAGTAGAGGGATACGCCTAGGTAAAACTTCGACGTGCTGCATTCACTCATGCGCCCCACGACCCTGGCCTTTTTCTATTTTTTTTTGTATGCCAAGACCGCCGGAAGGGTGATCCCAGTTTTAACTTTTATCCAGTTCGCAAACCGGCGGCAGGTGGAGTCCGAGTACCTGGGTCTACAATTCTCTACCTGGCCTTAGCTCGAAGCCGACGGGCAGTATTCAACCAGCTAACGTAAGTGGTGGGTTGATAAAAGACTAAGACAAAGACAAAACTATCAACTATAAGCCTCCAATGTGAAAAAGCGTGTTGCGGAATCGACAAAGATAGAGATCAGATACTCCTGTCAAGCTAAAAAAACGATAATTGCAGCGAGAAAGTAAATCTCAATGAATTGTAGGAAGGAAGAGACACTTCTACAAAAAGATGACCTCACACTCCCGCATAGTACCTCCTATCTAGTACCCAGACAAGATATTCCGTTTATCACGACCACGATCGGAGGGAAGCAAAATGACATAGTGGATATAAAATCAGAATGATAGAATTCGAAGGATAGAATCCAGAATGATAGAATTCGGAATTCAGAAATATTCACCAGCTCACCATCTGCGTGGATCCCGCCATGACACCGCAGGGCAGAAGTCAATGTCGCAGTACAACCAGGATCCCAACATACCAATCAATGATCAAAGCAAATACCTCTCCCACGAGGGGTTAAGATGATCATCAACGGCCTCTTCAGCGACAGATCCATCATTCAATTCACGATATCGAATCCAAATAAAAGGTCGTAATTGAATCAAGAAAGCCTTGTGACCACATGCAAGAACCAATCTACACGCAGTAAAGGCCGACTTGGCTCCAGCAATCGCTAACTGCAGAGCGGCGGGTAAGAAGTTGTACCTCCTGTTAGGACCAGTTTCTGGTGGACTCAACTGGATTTAGGAGTTGTACACGTAATTTATGGTAAGTACTTGTTCTGATGTTGTAGTCCCAGTGCCTATATCGAGAAAATGAGTAAAAAGTGATGAAGAGGTTCGTTGTGTGAGTGTCCTGCACATGCTCACGCGTGGCATGAAATCGTTCATCTCCGTTCAGTCTTTCTTCTAGGAACCTCATTCGTCAGTCAAACAAGGATAGGTTAGGCTGTGAATCCTGCACATCAACGCCCCCCGGCACCTGGCTTGACTCCGCAGATGAATAGGCGACCTGAATAAAGTCGACCACGAGCACCGAGGCATGTGAATTAACATTATTTCATTTCGATTCCGTACGTTTCATCATCAACACGACTCAATTAATCATAACAAGGTAAGATTTACATGTGCTCTTTGATGACCATGACATACTTCTTTATCTTTTCCATGCATCATCAACATTACGAATTAAGTAAGTATTCATTTCCCGGAAATTCTAAGATAAAAGAAAAACTATCAACAAGGTGCTCTAGTGTGAGCGAGGTGACTCAACTGAGGCTAATTGTGGTAACACTAGAGGATCGGCATTAATCAGGGTGAGTCAGTTCAACTTAAGGTGAACTCAAATCTTCAATTCAATCGACTTCTAAGAGACACTCAATCAATGGGCGCATAGGGTCTGTCAACTTCCAAAAAAAATTTGGTGCAAGAAATCATTTGTTCTACGCTTTCATAATGTCCACTTGTTCTTCACGACGTGATTAATATATACAGAAAATAAGATGTGGGAAGCTTTAGGCACAAGTAAACTTTTCGACAATAGATGTCCCCTGAAAAGAAAAATGTAGATGAGATCACAGCCACAGCCAGCAATTAGTGATCTGCTCCACGCAATTGATACAATCATTAAGAATGATGCCAAAATGAATACAGTTTTTGTATACAGATAGTAAGTCTCACATGAGCATCAATCCTTGAAAGAAATTAAGAAGATGTAGTAATTCCGACAACTTACAATTGAATCGATTTACATCTGAACTAGCACCACACCAGTATCTTGTTGTACTTGTATTCCTCATGAATTCTCCATACATTACATTGTCAGGCAAGTTATATTTGAAATAGAAAGAAGTAGGTACAAGCTGAAAAAATGTATTTAGGACATCGACATATTCACTCAGCTTCTTGTCCTGCATCATGGATGTGGGTAGATTCTTGATGTTAAGAAGTAGAAACGTGATTAACTTTTTTATATTTATCGATTTGGGACTACGTGCTTCAACCCTATTTCAACTAACTGCATCAGGTGGGTATCACTAGGCTCGACGGTGTACTAGCATTTAGTGTTTTATGAAAAAAACGGTCAACTAGCACTTTCAGTGTAGTACAAATGAAGATTACAAGACAACAGTCCAACTACTACACGTTCATCGAAAGTGTCCCCCGCCTTTGTAGCCTCCGCGGCCACCGTAAGGCCCCATCCCTGCGCGCAGTACCCAAACCGGTGCCGAACACTGTGGGGTACCCGTCGCATTCACATGCACGTTAAAGCGTAAACGATCGCCGCTGCCAAGTTTGCATCGGTCCATCACCTTTTTATGCACAAAAACATCCGTGTCGTGGAAGGAGTAGGAACTGACGAATCCGTGCCCATGCGAATTGACGTTTTTGATGTAGCCCTCGTGGTCCCCAATCCTATCCGGGTACCTAGCCTCGTCGCTGCCTGGCAAAGCGCCTGCGAATTCCCAGACACGACCAAAACTACGCTTGTTAGAAGAAAGAAGAAGAAGAAGAAGAAGAAGAAGAAGAAGAAGAAGAAGGAGAAGAAGGAGAAGAAGTACTTGCACGTGTTAACGAGCTTCAATTTCTAGAGCGTTGAGGATGACTATGGGGTTCGCAGATGAACGCCTTCGTGTTTTAAATGAAGCACTGAGCTCTAAGCAAGACTGTAAGTATCCCAATGAGCAGTACGACAAAAGAGATGAAAGGGTTTTAGTTTTTTATATCGATAGATCTGTCCTAACTTTGCCCCCCGCAGGGCCGTAGTGACCGTGGCTTGCGCCTAGCAATGGCGATCCAGTTCCTGCGCCATAGGAACCACCAGACTTTCCCTTTTCTCCACTCTTTCCCTGTTGCCCTGCTAATGCTGTCGGAGCACCGCTACTCTGCTGCGCCCCGCCGCCGCCGCCCTGCTGTGCAGCGCCATTACCGCCGGAAGCTGCCGTACCCGGGTCAGGAAAATTAGAAGCAGAAAATTAAAAAAAAAATTGCAAGAAAACTTGATGAACAAGTACTTAAACTCGTGTATGGAAAACCACCCAAGCCACATTCATCACTACGTACACGATGAAAGGGCTGAAACTCACAATCAGATTCGATTTCAATTTCTTAATAGACGCATTCGATGAGTTGCTTCCTGCGCTCGTTTGGTCGCCTGCACCGCCCGCGGCCGCACTCGCTGCATAAGTGGTTCCGCCTTTCTCTCCGTAACTACCGTGTTTACCGTATTTTCCACGCATTTTGCCACCCTTCTTCCCTCCATAGGGTCCGCCGTAATAGTTGCCGCTTCCGAATAAAACATGAAAGGAATGGGTCGAATTCATTTTTCTACTGAGGACCATGTGACATTTAGTTACATCAAGAGGACTCATTATCGTCAAGTACAGCCTGCTAAAAAGGATCAGAAACGAACTTAATATGCGGAAAAATGGAAACGTGGAACATCTTCAACCTTTATCGTCGTTTAAGTACGTAAGTGTAAGTCTTAATCATGGTATCCTCCGAAGGCGCCGTACTCGTGGTAAGCGGAGACAAGGCCCTTCCCGCCCCCACTGTGGTAGCCGATACGTAGTCGTCGGCTCTCCTCGCACCTCCGCCACACAGGCGCAGAAACTTGCGGCGTGCCACTCGAATTTATGTGTACGGTAAAATTAATCATGTCGCCTAAGTGGATATCGCACAACCGCATAATCTTTTGATGGACAAAGGGGTCATGATGATACTGCTGCTTCAACGCCTCACAGTCCACAAAGCCGTTGCCATGCGATGACAAGTTAATAACGCGACCAAAATACTGGCCAAAGAACGGCGTTTGCTCCTCTTTAAACGGAGTCGAAAGCTCCCACAAAGGTCGGGAACTGTCCACCTGCGAGAAGGTTGACGGAAGGATGTAGTATGAGAAGATCCACCTCAGGGTCTGATTCCACACATGAGAAGATGTTTTACGGATGGCACACGAAACATCAGTTTTATTCATTCCTTCTCCTTGTCATCAATCATTCAATCAAAAGACAATTCATCTTTGAAAGTAATACCAAAGGATGTCCATCCTCGTTCGTAAAAATGCTGCAGGCAACATCCATCCCCGCGACTAACCGGAACTTATTCAGAATCGCTGTCTCTGCAAATATCATTTCTCTGTCGCCCGTTAAAATCACAGTGTGGTCACCTGAACATTGTGATTGCTTGCTATTATCCATTGTTGAAGAGGGACAAAGTACTAGTTAATTACTTTCTTCATCACAACAGAAAGATTTTGAAATAGCGTTGACGCTACGACAGGCTCCTCGCTTACAGACCATCCAACAGTCCACGACCTTGCAAAGAAAATCTCTATACCGTCTGGCGTAATAGTAGCGGTAATAGTTCCCATCCGAATATTCTCCAAATTCGTGTCAATATCGTCGTCATCCGGTAAGTTGATTGCTCGTCCGTTCCGAATAATCGGTCCCGAGCTACAAGAGCCACCTGAGTCTATCTTAAAGGTATGACTTTACCCTTGAATTTCTTGGTGAGTTTCTTGACTTCGTGATTCTTTAGTAAGAGCGAACACCTCCGGCCTAGTAACCAAGTTCAGCTACAACTAGAACTACAGGATGTAGCAGCTGCTCCTACTTACATCTTTTCTAAAAATACCCGCACTTGGTGAACCGGCTGGAGCGCCTCCACTTCCTGCCACCGCAGCTGCCACTGAGCCCTGCGCTAACCATGCCGGCGCCTTTGTGGACGATGAGCTCGGTGTCGGCGGACCGCCAAATAACGAGGAGGAAGCGGGATCATCGATTGCGACTCCGCAAGAACCTTCTAGTAGCTTTTTCCAAATCGGACCAACAACTTCCGCTCGCCCTTCAGCGCAAGCCCGCACATCGCAGGCCACAATGCTCCCGACTGGAAGCGCATCAGGAACACTTTTTTGTCGTGGTAGAAAGAAGTTCTCAGTGTGTCGAGTCAGTCCTGGTCCTTCCTGTGGCTCATCTATTTTCCTACTTTTCGAAGGACCTATTTTTCTGGTTCTCCCACGACAGAGAATCTTCTACCTTCTAATTGAATTCTGCCCATTCATCTTCTATCCTACCACAACTGTATAAGTATTAGTATGGATCAAATTCAAGAACTACCTATCTGCCACGTGCTTGGGTATTTCGATCGTTGTGTTTTCTATCTGCGGTGAGTGGAGAAAAAGTCTACCAGGTGCGGCCAGCGCATCCGCACAAACGCGACCGAAAAACTTCGGAAAATTCGTGTCGGGACCGACCCAAATATCCTGGCAAGGATCTACTTTCTGCCCACTAGGTGGCAGTAATTCACGTAATGCCTCATCTGCATCGTTCGCTAAGGCCGTAAAAGCTACGTGGAGCCCCGGTCGTGCGACTGTAATGAGCGAATTGATTCATACAGTGACTGAGTGAGTGATTTTCCTTTTGGTTACCTGGGTCAACAATATTCGTTTTGCTTCCCCGCGATCGTGATTCTGAATGAGTTCTTGTTGATTTCGGTACTTAGTAGTTTGTAAAAACACAGTATAAGTACACACGTCCTCCTCGAGGCATGAAAAGAGAACAAGCGAAGAAGTCTTCATGTGTTCACGTCAAGGAATAGCTGTAGTACATTTTCCTTCAGGTATCGGTATGCGAATTTCGGATCCGTCCGATAGGCTTTCGGCAAGTGCATAGTCTTCGCCCAGAAGCTTGAGCTTCGCTATCTGCAGTGACATCGGCTTTTTTGATATGGATAGTTGATGTACTATCTCTCTGTGTTGATGGGAGGTCTTGATTTCAGCTGATGTCTATTGTAGCAGCTGGGTGCAGCTGCAGTTCTCGACGATAGCGCGATAGTTTGCAATGTACTTAGTATAGCGATTCAATTATACAGGAAAGACAGGCTAGTGTCTGAAGTGGGAGTGTAGACGCGTCTCCGTGTCCTCCTCGACGTCATCTAGGAGGTAGTGAGAATTTCAATTTTCGTTTGGAGGGGTTCACAGAAACTTTTTGTTATATATATCCATGATCTTATTGTGTACTTACTGTTAGAATTGGAGGAAACTGTAGTGCTTTTACGCGTTTTCTCATATTATTTATCGTCCAGTCCACTTCAGAGCCGGTTACTGATATACATCAGTAGTTCTTGCTTCATGTCTAGTGATCACATCCACAACAACATTTGTCAACGAATCTCGAAGACCGTCTGCGGTGACCCATTCTTTGTGAAACTCAAAGTTTGAACTCGATGTCTCGGTGTTGAAATTCGCTCTCGTTTTTTCTTTCGCATAAAAACTAACTTTACGCGGGCCGAAGCATATATATTACAATCTAATACAGCACCCTTATCCATGTTCTGCACTACTTTCTCATTCCATGTTCACTGCACGAAAACATCCTGTGCAGAAATTAACAGAACATGCAATTTTTTTCCGCGTGTCTAGTTGCCTCGCTTTTCTGTATCGCCAATAAGAGGTATCTTCACATCAAACACAGCCATTTTCTATTTGCTTTTCGCGCCGTCCTTCGAAAGCACCAAAGCAAACTTTTCTAAATCCAAACTCGAGCTCATTTGCAAGAAGAATGCTTTTGTTGTGCTCTCATGATCACGCTGGACCGATCAAGTTTTTTGTTCATTTTGATTACCTTAGTAGTTAGTTACGATAAGAGGCAGTTGAAAAAGCGCCGTTCTTTTCCTCTATATGCTCCTAGCTAAGACCAACCTTTCAAATTCAATGTGTCATTACAAAACCTAGCTGCACCCAACACAGCTCTCGAACCTAACATATTTTGACTTCTAAAATTTTCTACGGCTACCAAATAAAAGCCACACTCGACTATGCTGACGGAAGTTTGCTGACCGGTCGCACGTAGAACACAGACGAAGCTGCGCGCAGCACTAGATAGATACCTGCTGCGCCTGCGCTTGAAACTTCTACTGCTGCAGAAGTCATGCTAGAAACATCTAGCCTAGTAAATGTGTGTACGTGTCTCCAGCTTTTTCAAAGCAAGCTCACTTTCTTTGGACGTCACTTCCTCATGATATGCGAGAGTATCATGACGTTTCCCGGCTTATAAGGAAGACGATCGATGGGGACGATCTTAATACATGACCTTCACTTACAAAGTCGTTAATCTTAGATCTATTTAGTCGGTTGTACTCCTGTGTAGCACTTAACTATTCAGTAAAGTGATCTTCTGTGTAAGTAGCTATAGTCGTGGGATGTTCTTAGAATGAACCGGTAAAGGGTAGGAAAATTTTTGGCTCTTTCTACGGGTCCGGGATTCTTGGAACGGGCAAATGGGATCAAATTCCAAAAAATTTACAACAGCTTGAAATCTATGCTGATTGCTGGGTGCTAAGTGTCGGACTCCTAGGTAGGGGGAGGGTGTGGTCTGACTCTGGCAGGGTGAGGGTGTACTACGTACTTCTACTTGGTACCTAGTTGAAAAAGTACTCCCGAGTCGGGGATTTCAACATTTTTTGGGCTCCATAGATTAAGTGGTTATGTTTGTCATCTTCGGTCTGTCTGTCTCCGTAGATAAAGTGGTTATGGTCTACTTGCTATCTATACTGTTGATAACCTCCACCCTGACGCCGTCCAGACGCGGCTTTCTGGTTGTACGTACCTGCTCGACCGTTCGTGGTGGACGATTGCTTTTTTCTTGAATCACTGCTAAAGGTGGACGACTTCGTTTTCCCAGATGAAGAGGCACTACTAGGGTCATCTGGATGGTTATTCTCCCGATACCTTTCAAAAAAATTAACCCACTTGCTCCCTATTGTCTCGGCAAAGTCTGACCATGTGGCGTCACTGCTCCCATGGTGACCCTGAATTTTGTAGTCGAAATAGAGCCACACCTTATAACTTCAAACTAACTTTTTCATGTTACAACGATCTACGAGAACGTTTACGTTCTTTCAATATTCCAGCATACCTACTTATACAATACAGGAAGATTATAGAGTCTATTGTTCGTATGGTAGTTTACAACTCGAAATAACGAACGATAGAACAACCATAGAGCACGAACACAACTAAATGTGAGGTTCTAGCTAAATCATACCTTTTTAAGTGAGTCCATGGCAGCGTTTACTTTCGACATCATCTTTTTGTCGCCGCCTAGGTCTGGGTGGTGTTTTTTCGACAGCGCTTTGAACGCTGTTCTTGCTGTCTCGAAGTCGCTGTTGCGAGGTATTCCCAAAACGTCGAAGGGATTCGCATCCCCCGGTGAGCCGCTTAGGTTCTCCCCTGTTACCTGCTCGTAGAAACTTGGACCGCCGAAAACAACGAGGAGGAGGAGGACTAGGAGGATGAGAATCACCTGTCCTAGTCTCCGGAAAATGCGTGTGCAGGACACGTCCACTTTGGAGTCCTGGTGACATCGCCGGTTGTGTCGCGATACGTAGCATGGGAGCAGGAAGAAATCCATCACTGTGCCCATAAAAAAATAACCACCGGTCAGAAGATGCGAAGTCGCATACCTCATTGAAGATTTGTTGAGCAGATATAAAGGTGAGATTCATTTCATACGTTTTTCATTCTGCTTTTTTTTAGATGACTTTCCTTCGCAGTTCACGAGTCACAAGAGCTCTGTAAACACGAAACAATACAGAACTGGTCTCTCCGGCTAGTGTCTTCGAAGGCACGAGATCTTCCAAAAAAACGAAGTTTGGATTCCTTATATGCCCGCAAGCAACCAAGACTGACAACTGTTACAACAAGGTAAAAAGGTGTAGTACTCGTAGCTCTCCAGGTACATGTGGTGGGTGCCCGTGATGAAACCACCCAGGAAGAAGAACGCGTAGGCCATTAGTATGGACTTTTTAGGCCGTAGATGTCTTTGTTCCACCACATCCTCGACTTCCCGAGTTTCTTCTAGAGACTGAGTAGCACAGAAGTTGTCCGGCGAATCAATGGAGGACTCCTGGTCGTCCCCAGATGCAGTATCATCTTTTCCACTACCTCCCTCTTTTTTCTTCGACTTCTTCGACACCTTCGAATTCGATCGACTAGTAGAAGGTGTTTTGCTGTTTCCCCGCTTGTTTTTCTGGCTTTTCGGAGGTGAATTTGCATTGTTCCACCACCTGGCAACGAGGAAAATCACTGTGAAGGTGATCCCTCCGACCAAGAGCTCAGGGTACTCCTCCACCTCCTCGAAGTACTCCAGATATTCCCACAATATCTCCCAAAGTTCGTTCCGCACTAGCCGAACCGCTTCCCAATAATCCTCGCTCAGGGACCACAACATTTTGATAATGGAAATAATGGAACAAGTGTTCAAATGTTCTCTACTTTTTAGCAAAAGGAAAAGTTGTACTAGATCTAAGAAAGTGAGCAATATTTATATATAGAAGTTGTGTTCTCCTATTTCTAGAATGTGCTCTTAGAACCTACTACAACTGTACACTAACACTTGTACTTACACACAAGTTCTTGTTCCTATTGATGTACGACTCATAAAAATAGCTAGCACCTATTCAATGAAGAAACAAGAACTCCTCTTCTTTCTCTTTCATTAATCTTCTAAGTACCATCGAGTTTACAGGTTCTTATGAGGATACATATTGATATCAAGTCAAGTTCTACTTTCATCCTTCGTGTTCCACCTAAAAAGGATCCAAAGCCTGTCAATTATTACGAAAGAGGAAAGGAGGAGTTGAAGTGGGGTAGGAGGTTATTGGGAAGATGCATAGGGAGAATTTTAGCAATAGTGCGAAGACCCCTCGTCTTAGCATCAACCGACTCATGTCAGTACCATAGTAGAATTCCGAGAACCTTGTGCACGTTGACCCATGTGAGGATCTCACAGGTCCTACACTTTGACTCACCTGAAGGTGAGTATCTCACACCGTTCTCAATTCAGAGGACTCATCTGCAGATCTCAGTCCTTGCTTAAGAGCGGTGGAGATTCTTCTAAAGATCATCTCGTCGCACTTTTGTGATGAGAGTGCAAAATATCACATCCGAGACCGATCGGTGCGATTAAGTACTTAGAATGAAGTGAGGATCTTGATCAAGATGCCTGTCTGTTGAGCTCGTGTGGATCCATGTTGGAAATGAGATCTCCTCTTCGGAACACGGACTTTACAACGAAGGACAATGTGGATGAGATTTTCAGTGGTGGGGTGGGTGTAGCTGAAAAACGTACTTATACGGAACCGGTGGACTAGTGCCTGCCGCTATTGACTAAGAGACGACTCGCCTTCCTTTGTTCTTGCTCTTCTCGATAAAGCCGCTCGGCCTTCAGCTCCTTATGCGACTTGACTCTTGACAGGTCAATGCCTTTCGGTATGATGCTGCTACTAGAAGAGGGTGCAGCTTTCAACGAACCACTATGTTTCGCAGTTGAAGATTTGTCCTTTTTCAGTTTCTTGTCTTGGTCCTTCTTTCGTCTCTTCTTGTTCTTACGACTGGTCACCTCCTCAGCCTCGTCAGAGGAAGAGGACGACTCGCGATGTCGCTTCCTTTTTCGTTGTTCCTTCATCCTCTTTGAGGGTTTCACATTGCGGCCGTCCTCGTCGCCTTCCTCCTCCGAGTCGTCATTCGAACCATTGTTCTCCAAAGCCACCCAGTCGGACTCATCCTTTCTCTTGCGTTTCTTTGGTGGCTTTTCATCGTCTTCCAACTCGTTTGGCAGTGTCATGATACTTCGGCTAGAAGGAGCCGCGCCGGTGATGGACTTCAATTTAATTGTGCTATTTTTAGTAGAAGTACCATCCTCCAGACCCAGAGCAGAAGTAGGAGGCCGTTCAGAAATACTAGGAGGTCCACGTTTATTATCTAGTATTGACGTAGTCGTAGATGAAGATGATGAGTTCTTTCCCGCGGCCATGTACCACGGCAATGGTCCTTTCTTGAAATCTGCGAGGTTCGCAGTTGCTTTTTCGCCAATGACGGACCCTTGCAAGGTTCCCTTTTTTGAAAGTATGCTCCCACGGGCTTGCATATTCACCTTTTTCGCGCGCGCTGCCTCGGCTTCGTTCCAGGCGTCTTCTTCCTCCTGAAAAAGATTCACGTAACGACCACCAGCATTATTAGTGGAAGAAGACGTAGCTCCACCTCCTCGGGATGAAGATTTTTGTACGAAAGAGGAACTGATTCCCGGTAATGAAGATTTCTGATCTTGTAGTTGAGATTTGCTCATTCTTGGTCGCGGTTTCAGGAGCTCTTCTTCCTTCCGTCGTCCAGCTCGAGTGTCAGGATTATACGTGCCCAGAACTTGCTTTCCGGCATGAAAAGCTCGAGAGCTACTACTTGCTCCTCCAATCTGCTCTCGCTGTTGTGCACCTACTTGACCTTGAGCACCTTTGTCCTCACTGTGGTCGTTACTGGAGGCATCATCCGCATCCTCGATAGAAGCTGCACCGCCTTCTACCGCACGATTTTTCCGTTTCAAGTCTCTGACTTTATGGCGGAACTCTCGCTGCCTCACTTGCCTATCGGCATTTTCCTGCTGCTCTCGCGCCCGTCTCTCATCCCGTTCGACACGCAAGCGATTGTCCATGCGCCAAACGTGCCATGACTTCTCTCCAAGAATGTTGATGCCGCCGCGTCCGCCCATTTTGCCTCTCCTCTAGGACCAAGATCAAAACACTACTGACGATGTGAATCTATTTGGCAGTCAGCCTAAGATTTCCCCTAGGATCCAAAAACTACTAGAAGTAAACGTGCCTAAACGAAGACTATTGATTCTACGGGAACCTCACTCGAAGTCGGATAATCGCAAATTGGAGACAAACAAATTTGAAGAAAAATAATTCAATATGCTCAATCTGACGAGAAATCAAAAAACATCAGACATATTCACAAGTCAAGAGAAAACACGGGAAAGAAGGAAAGGCGCAACCAGAGAGGAGAAGGGGTCGTGGGAATGGGATAAAAGGGAAGAATAAAATAACTGGTGGAGAATTTCATCAGCGAAATGGCTGATATTAACGTAGCAATAGCAATACCAGGCAAAGATCATATTGATTGTGTGATCTTCGTCAGGCAAAGTTTTGTAAGTAGGCAGCGAAGAACCGACGATTAAGTTTATACCATATCAACGTTTGTCGGTTAAGTCTATACCATATCAACGCTTGGTACAATCGTTCGACTGTATTCCAGCTGAAAAGAAACACAAAACCACAACCTTACCATCCTGAAGAGCCAACTTCTCGTTTGGTATCGAGAACGAGAACATCCTATGAGTTCGGCAATCGCCATCTAGCTCGCTGTGCTCGTCACTTTAGATAACATTGATTACGATTCATTTCCTCATCTAAGCATTTGTCTATTCACTGAAAAGGAGGCATAGTACGCCATTCACTATTCACACAGCCTCATCACTCCCAGGCGCTTGGCCCGATGATTGCCTTTTTGTCATCATTGATCTACTTATACACACGATAGGATGATTGAAGATGGTCACAACAAATCCGTATCGCGGCTGTTTTTGATCAGTCAGTCTTTGTTCTTGTGATTTGCCCAGATAACAAAACTTATCCTTATTTGCTAACTTTGGTATCAAACATTCAACTAAAGTAAACGCTTTCTCGTGTTGAAATTGCTTGGCAGAGACATCCGCGACGACTGCAAAACGCAGCACGAATTTGTTCTCTAGACATCCTCCTTGCCGAAGATGATAGGTCTAGATTGATACTGTTGCTGCTCAAATTGCTAGTCCGCTTGTGTGTAAGTATGACAACTATGTGGATTTCCTCGTCCACCAATTTACCTCTTGGTTTTTTGCATGGATTTGAAGAGTCTGCAATAGCTAATCCTGATTTTGCACTACAACTGAAAACGAAACAAAGCCATGAGTCGAAGCATTAGCAAAGTAATTACTTCTATGTGAGCAGTACGAAAGGCACTGTACAAAACAGCCGGCAGTTCTGTGGGAACGCTGCGACAGCGCAAACAAGAGTTCGTGATCATATGAGAGATCGTAACGATTAGCAAACGGAAATGCTTTCCTGGCCATGGCAAGACCATGAATTATGCACCTACTGAAAACGAGAGAGACGCGTCATATTAAATCTTGGTACTTCCTCAGTTCACCTGTAGCAAGATGAAACGAAGATTGTCTTCCCATCCTAGGTCCCATCCTCAGGTCACAGCGAGCCGCATTTCTTCCCGCTACTGCCGAAAGGCTTGCGTTCTCGCTGCTCCGCTCGCTTCATAGAAAGGACCTTTTCTATGACTATGATCGGTGCTGCGGCGCTATGATCTCCCTCCTTGTTTGGGAGCGGAACGTCTCCGGTGCGGCTCACCTCAGCTAAACCTACAGCCTCTCCGGATGAGGACGTTGAGGTCATTGAGGATCCGGAATCCGACTCTAACGGTGGTATCTGTTCACCACCGATACCTGACTCCAAATGATCATCCAGCGGCTGTCTTGCAACAGCTTCAACAACGCTTCTCTTAGACACCCTTTAGCCAATTGCATCGACCGCTAAGCGCATTCTTGGCCAATGCCAGTTGCAGTTTCCTTTACTTATAATTATATTTGAAACCTACTGGCGTCAAGAATTGCCCTCGTCTTGGATGCAAATTATGTGCGACACTTAATATTCCTGTTTTTTGCGTTAAAGCCTCCTCCCGAGTCTCTAGGATGATTCATGTTCTCTTGTTCAGCGTAGTCGATTAAAGCTGCCAGGCCCGAAGAGCGATCGTTTTCAGAAGCAGGGAAAGCCACAGAGCCTCCGCCCGATGCAGGGAAAGCCACAGAGCCTCCGCCCGATGCAGGAAAAGCCATAGAGCCTCCGCCTGAAGCACGAAAAGCCATAGAGTCTCCGCCTGAAGCACGAAAAGCCAAAGAGCCTCCGCTCGCTGCTGGAAAAGCCATAGAGCCTCCGCCCGATGCAGGGAAACCGACGGAGCCTGCGCCCGAAGCAGGAAAAGCGACGGAGCCTGCGCCCGAAGCAGGAAAAGCCAGATTAGAGCCTCCGCCGGGAGCACCAGATGCGCCAGGGCCGCTTGCAGGAACAGGGTACGCGCCAAACCCGTCATCAGAGGCGGGAAATGCAGCTGAGCCTGCGCCCGATGCAGGAAAAGCCATAGAGCCTCCGCCTGAAGCACGAAAAGCCATAGAGTCTCCGCTCGATGCTGGAAGAGCCATAGAGCCTCCGCTCGCTGCTGGAAAAGCCATAGAGCCTCCGCCCGAAGCAGGAAAAGCGACGGAGCCTGCGCCCGAAGCAGGAAAAGCCATATTAGAGCCTCCGCCGGGAGCACCAGATGCGCCAGGGCCGCTTGCAGGAACAGGGTACGCGCCAAACCCGTCATCAGAGGCGGGAAATGCAGCTGAGCCTGCGCCCGATGCAGGAAAAGCCATAGAGCCTCCGCCTGAAGCACGAAAAGCCATAGAGTCTCCGCTCGATGCTGGAAGAGCCATAGAGCCTCCGCTCGCTGCTGGAAAAGCCATAGAGCCTCCGCCCGAAGCAGGAAAAGCGACGGAGCCTGCGCCCGAAGCAGGAAAAGCCATATTAGAGCCTCCGCCGGGAGCACCAGATGCGCCAGGGCCGCTTGCAGGAACAGGGTACGCGCCAAACCCGTCATCAGAGGCGGGAAATGCAGCTGAGCCTGCGCCCGATGCAGGAAAAGCCATAGAGCCTCCGCCTGAAGCACGAAAAGCCATAGAGTCTCCGCTCGATGCTGGAAGAGCCATAGAGCCTCCGCTCGCTGCTGGAAAAGCCATAGAGCCTCCGCCCGAAGCAGGAAAAGCGACGGAGCCTGCGCCCGAAGCAGGAAAAGCCATATTAGAGCCTCCGCCGGGAGCACCAGATGCGCCAGGGCCGCTTGCAGGAACAGGGTACGCGCCAAACCCGTCATCAGAGGCGGGAAATGCAGCTGAGCCTGCACCCGAGGCAGGAAAAGGGATAGAAGTGCCCCGCGAAGCAGAAACCGCGACAGAGCCGCTGCTAGTACCGGCGAAGTTCACGCTTTCATTTTGCGAAACCTTGCGAGAAGCACTCAGCGTCGCGAGCAGCTCGTTCACCTCCGCATGAGATTCCGCAGGAGACAGTACGGCCCCAGACCCGCGACTAGCACGCGCACGTAAATTCATCTGGGACGTTGAAATTCGCCGCATCACGGCTACCTCTTCGTGATTCCCTTCCCTAACCGCGCCAGCGCTTGGCCTTCGTATCGACCCGCGAGCACGCGATGGGGCGTCGGATCGTCGTGTAGAAGAATCATTATCGTCGGCAGCAGCCAGCGGTGCAGGTACGGGAATGGAGCTACGAGGCGGGCTGTCGGTCGTCGAATTCACAACCACAGGCCCGCCAGCTCCTGCATCTTTCGCAGTAGCCTGATCGCTTTGAAGTTGCGCTGCTTGATCAGTCGCCGTCGCGCGCCGTCTCGTGCGTCGCTCAGGAGAGGGCGTGCCTACAACACTCTCAGCCGCTTCGCCAGCTCCAGAGGACTTGCCCCTATCGCCTCTTACTTCAGCTTGTTGAGCGGTTTGAGAGGGTCCCTCCGGTCCGTTCTGGTCTGGCGACCTCCCCAAGGCCTCTGCCATCTTTTTACTACTCTTCCTAGTGGATGCCACAGGACTACGTTCGCTGTCCACGACCTTTGATGAGGCCCTACTGGATGCAGCGTTGCGACTTCCTGAGCCCGATGAGCTTTTGCGCGCTTCGGTTGTTGGCGAGGTAGACGTCCTAAGGGCTACTTCTGATCCTCTCTTTGGTGCAACAGCCTGTGTCGTAGAGGCGCGCACACTGTTTCGCTCTTGCTCCAGCTGATCGCTGCGATCCACCACGCTCACTGAGCTTTTGCGCGCGTCGGTTGCTGAGGACTTGTTCGAGCCTCCTTGAGAACCCCGCTTTGGTGCAGCACCCTCTGTAGAACGTGAGACTCGACCACTAGGGCTTCTAGCCTTCCCTTCTAGTTCTGGTGACGGTGATCCTTCTTTGACTGCAATCTTCACACTCTTCTTTGAGGATACTCGCGATCCACTGAGCGTATCCGTCGCAGCACCTCCAGAAGAGCCTACAACTCCTTGTTTACTAGAGAGTTGTGGCTCGGGTGGGCGCAAGGTATCCGGAGCCGGCGGCCAGTAAGAAACTGGACGAATCGTCGGCGAAAACGCGAACTTCCCGATGCTTTTTGCGCCACCACGCACTAATTGCTGCTGATTTCGTGCTCTCGCGCTTTTTGCCGCACCTGCGGTTCGCAAGAGAAACTTAGCTCTCGCATCCCCACCAAGCTCGGACTCTTGGAAGAAGTTCGCCTGTGAATCCTGCAGCGGAGGTGCGGTCGCCGTTCCTCCAGGAGTCATTGCCGCTGAGAGTCCTCGGACTTTTTCGAGGTACATTCGGTTTTCTCGCGAGGAACTTCGAGTTGCTGCACCCATTATCTTAGCAGAAGTAGATGGATCGAAGTTCTTATATTTACTCCCAGATGAGATATGGCCTCTGGTCTGAAGCATTGCCCGGCCTCCTGCATCTACCGTCCTCGTAGATCCCGACAGAGCGGAATAAAACGTCGCACTTTGGCCTGGCGAGGGACTTCTGGCCGAGGACAATGGGGAGCTGCTCGCCACGCGCAACTGTTGTTGTCCTCGCTGCAGTAGTTGTGGCGACCCTGGCACCTTGAGCATCTGTCCAACTCCCGAACTCATCAAGTTCATGGTCAAACCTTGCGCCTGAACAGCACCTCCAATTGCAACGCCTGTGCTTCTTCCGACTGTATCTTCATAAGCAGCTGAGGAGGCGGCCTCGTTCGCCTCTTCGCCTGCGTTCACGGAGCCTAGAACGACGCCGCCATCGACAATCTCATTGTGAAGACTGTTCGCGAGCGCAGCCACAACCGCGGAACGCGAGTAGCCCTCATTTGCTTTGCAAACCTCTCCCACTGACACCGCTGTGAGGCCGGTGCTCGCTCGTTTGTGCGGCTTCACGCCCGTCGCGAGCGCACTAGTCATGTTGAAGATCCCGCCACTTCCGGCTGTGAACAGTCTTTGCTGCGCAGGACTCGACGAGCCTTGCTCTGGACTTCGTGGTGTTGGCGGACTCAAAGCCGTCAAATCAACGAGAGCTTGACGCACATCATCCGGGCTTCCTTCTCGTAGAGAGTGTCTCGTCGTCGTCCCATGTGGTAGCGAAGCTGCACTAGTCAAATTGGTCCTCACTATTTCTCGTCCCTCCGGAACGAATGCCCCCTGCGACATCTGACTCTGCCTTGTGTCAGCTTGAACTTGTTGAGATACCGACGAAGATGTGTTTTCCGCACCTTGATCTTCAACTGCATGGATCTTAGAGGATTTATCTACGTTTCGTCCATTTGCCGCGCCTCCAGTCTCGACCGTGGCATCATCAACTACAGGAGCGTCCTCCATTGACATCATGGATGCCCTCATTTCTGTTAAGTTGCCTGTTGATATCGCCTCCAAAGGGATGCTCAGACCCTGCTTTGCAGAAGGACGGACCGCCAAAGTCGATGTCAAAGACATACTGCGCGGGATCGAGTGAACCGCTTGTGCGAGCCGGTCGACATAAAACTCATCGAGACTCAGAAACTCTTCTCTTGTTCCCTGGAAAGCACTAGGCGAGGATGTTTCTTGGGCAGCACCCTTAGAAGCGCCTGCCCGTCGCAGCTCGTCCTCACTTGCGGCCGCGACCGAAGCACCAGCGGACGCGGAGCGCCTTCTTGAAGTAGAAATCCCCTCTTCATGGAGCCGCTGCGCCAGCAGATACTCCAGCAAATTCTCTGGGACACTCGGAAAAGCCACCTTCACTTGCTCCCGACCACTGTAGCTCCTAACCTGGCCGCCGCCTGATAAAAATGCATTAGCAAAACCGCTCACTTCATCTGGTGAGCCCGCATTGCTACTTCTTGCCCCTTCCACTTGCAGCGCTTCGCTACTACCTCCTAAGAAAGGAGCTACGATTCTACTACTTCTGCTTGCAGAAAGTTGATCGTCTCTCTCTCCAGGTCCAACCCGTAGCTGCCCACTTTGCAACGACGAGGCAATCTCAGCCAAGTTTCGTTTGAACAGGTCGCTCTGGCGCATCCGCAACCGGTCGATGTAATCCATCCTTTTTTCTTGTTCCGCCACACGCCTCTGGTGCTGACCGACGCGCCACCAGTAGAAACCCTGACCGAAGGCGTCCTCGAGATCGTCCAACACCTCATACTCACACCGCCGTGAGGTCGGAGACTGCTGTCCGATCCGACCACCGTTCTTCTCTAGCAGAACTTGCTGCAAATACTTCCGCTGCAGGCTGAGAGGATAGGTGTAGAAAACATAAACATCACTCATGGGACTATTATTAAGCAAGAAAGAGAATGCTTAAGTGATAGTGCAATTACGGAATCGATAGTCAGACTTTTTGCGTGATTCCTACATATGTGGCACGGCCCCCTTCCAGCTGCCTGGCTGTTCTCTACAGGCCTCCGATATAGGTGGGAGACTTCAAAAGGGGCCCAAGGGAGCGCCTGCGCCCCCGTCCAGGTGCCTGCCTGTGCCCTAAGTCCATCCCTTAGGCTTCGCCGCCGCAGCAGTGCGCCGGCAGCGGAAGGCCTCCGAAGGTGGCAAAAGGCGAGGGGCTGGACCCCCTGAGCCGTGCCGCCTGTACCCTCCGGGCCCTTGGTCATCGGCTTGCTTGCTCTTGCGACCATGGCCGCCTTCGGCGGCCCTTTACCCCGGAGGCCTCCCGCCTGCGAGGGTCAGTAGAGGCCAGGAGGTCCCTCAGGAACACGCTGAGAGGCCCAAGGGGAGGCCCGCGCCAAGTTTTGACGCCTTCCACCACTAGAATCAGCGAAAAACCCGCGCGGAAAAGCGCGCGCGCGCGCCACCACAGACCAGACCACAGGGGGGGGAAGGGGGGGCACCGTCCGGCCCTGAATCATATATATTATAAATGTAGATGATCGGCAATATTCAACATGTTGCCTGTCATTGATCGTAGACTCAAAAGATGAATGAGAATCTTCTACTTCAAAGACCAAAATTCAAAGTCGAGAATCAAGAACAGTAGTACTCTTTGCTAAAGCCCAGTTTTTGCACTGTATCCAGGTCTAACTCTCGGACTCTCCGATTCAGCTCTGTTTTGATCGCTTCCTCCAGAGTCGCTAGTCTGGATGCCTCGTCCTCCCGTTTCGCCTTCAACTCCTTTTTCCGCACTCGTTCGTACCCAGACTGCAACATCCGCTCAAATTCTGACTTCACTGTCGGAGCTGCTTCTTCATCGCCCCCTTTACTTGTTCTAGATGTTGACCGACGAGGGAGAACCTCCCCCATCGAGGACCTTGACCTTCGAGAACTGGACACTCGACTTGTCGTGGACGCACGACTTGCCATCGCCATGGCGCTCGCTCCACCGCCAATAATAATTTGTGCTGTAGAGGAAGTTCCCCTTCCATCTTCAGTACAAGCGGATGAACGTCGAAGGGCTGGATACTCTGCACTGTCTATCTCATCAGTATCTTCGTCGTCCACTGTGCCCGTAGATTGCTGGCGCTTGGAACTACCTCGTCGACTAGCCTTGACTTGTGACGTTCTCCTCGCTAGGCTGGATGAAGCACCTCCTATACTAAAGCTGTTCTCCTCTCCAACAGGGTAGTCCGCGACTTCGTCTCCCATACTTTTTCCAAAACTTAGAAGTAGTTTTTCGCTATCCCTGGTCGAGAGAGTTGCCCTCTTTGCCCCATATTTTCCCCTACAGCTCAGGGGGGATTTCACTCAGTATAGTCCACTTGGAAAGTGATAAACTAACCTTAAAAAACTACTAGGATAGTCGTCAACTGCATCAAGTTCGGGATCGAAATCTGGGACTTCCGGGTACTCGCTTCGATTACTCTCTCGCCTAGTGCGCCGTTCGGCAGACGCTGTGGACGCTAGCTGTGGTGCTGCACCCATTGGCGTCGCTGATGTGCTACCTTGTTCCCGACTGCCGTCCAGCACCGGTGCAGATATATTATTAGAGCTCAAAGCGATTCACTTCTTCCCCCCATTTCTTCGGAATCCTAAAAGGGAAACAGCAAGAAATGACCACTTGTAGAAATCAATTCAATTGAGCATTCATTGAGCCTTAATATTAGCGCTATCTCGAAGACTTGCCTCCCGCACGCTGCCACCTCGTAGACTAGACTCCCGCGTACGATTCGATTCTCGACTTGAAGCGCGCACTATACTGGGCTGCCGTAGTTTGCTGCCCCTTGTTGTTACGGAGGCTCTGCTTTTCTCCGGAGAAACCGAGGGTGCTGAAACTGAGTCGTCAGGTCCTGCTCCTGCAGAGCTCTTGCTTGGCCGCGCTGCACTTGAGCGTCGTTCCTTGTGGTAGTCGAGTGCACGCTGGCGTGAGGTTCTTTTATCGGGCGAGGTGGATACGGACATCGCCACCGCGCTGTCCACACTTGCTCCGAGATCCTGTCCAGCACCATTTGTCACTCTTCTACTGCTTGTCGAACTAGAAGATGAAGCCTTGGCAACTCCAGCTCCTATACTAACTCCACTACTTGCTCCTCGCGAACTACGCCGTGCGGCAGCATCGGTCTGCTTGCTCGAAGCAGCAGGTCGGTAGGCAGTCGTGCTCGCAACTTTCCTCTTTCGAGCGACGAGAAGCGACGACGACGCCGAACTTCTTCGTTGATTTTCTAGTGCGAGATTCTGGAAGCCGTCACGGTTTTTTGCCAAGCGCAAGCGAAAAACTGACGATGATTCAGCCTTTTTTCTGTCCTCCAGCGATCGAGGGCTTAGACCCATACCTAACACTTTAGGACTGCCGTCCACAGCTGCTTTGCTCGCCGGGTCACGCTGCTGCGTCGACCTCGACACTACACCTGCACCATCTCTGCCTTGGTCCTCCTCCCCTGTGGCCGACTGCTCGTCGTCCCCCGTGAGAGCAATAGAAACGTTCTGCTTTATTGACGACGCGCCTGAGGCGGTTGTGGAGCGCCGAGTCGCCCTAAAAGCACTTGCAATCGAACTAACCATCGAGCCTCCGAGAATAACGCGAGCTCCCTTGTCTCCGGGAGTTTCAGCATCTTGAAAAGCGAGGTCCTCCAGACCGGAAATATCACTGCCCGACGAAGGCGTAACCTGATCATGATAGTAGATGTAAACATTGTTTGTGTTTCAATCAACATCTGAAGTTATCAAGAAATGCTAAAAGTTGTAGATTCACGATAACTTTACCATATCACTATCTAATATTGTTCTCTTTTTGAAAGCATCATGCATGAGCATGATCTCAAAAAAAAAAGTGGAAAAATACAAGTTGTACCTGCAGTCCGTCTTTTCCTTGTTGAGACATAATTGCGGCTGTGTGTTTTAGCGCTTCGTTGAGTCGTGCTGTGTTCTTTCCATGCATCGCGACGCCCGGACTTGTTGTTTCGATTTCTTTTATGCTACGAAAATTGCTGCTGCGTGCTTGTCGTTTTTGGAATGCTTCTGACGTTCTGTTCACAACAGGCGATGTTGGAGACCGCAATCCGTAAGGGCTCGGAGCAGCACCGCTTATTCGAGTCGGTGTGGTAGTCGACCTGTAAGAGGAAAAAAAGAACAAAATTAAAGTCCTATAATTTATTAAGGTGAACTCCTGGTGATGGGGCGACTGTTATTTGTTGCCAGAGCAGGCATCCCCTAATTTGATGGTATACTTGGAACTAAAAGAAATCATACTCATACATCACGTATCTGCACAACATTCAATGTTCCTGATCTGCAAAAGTACCCTTCCTCCCTTGCTGCAGGCTTTACTTGTGGCGGTACTACTGCTGACTCAGCAACTGCATCACTCTTGGCCTCGCGACCCATGGCTGCGAACTGCAGTGGCGGAACTAACGTTCGTCCTCCAGCATTTGGTACGGGAATGGCTGCACTACCTTTAAATGATTAAGGCACAAACGACTATTAAGATGGAGATCAGTAGCTTGTATAAAAAAAAAACGAAGTTGTATCAATGTCGTAAAGCTAAACGCGTATCAAACTGTAGTTCTTACTTGGTACTAGTAGATCAATATGGAACGGTTCGTTGTTGATTGTACCATTGTGAAATGGACTCCCCAAAATTTCCACAAAGATACCTTTGACATCATAGATTCGCAAGTACCTTGGTCGTCCTCTGGCTCTGCTGCTGCGTGGACGCTCTCTCGAAAGCGCAAAGCATGGCGCGACGCAAAAGCTTGCGAAGCTGCATCGGGCAACTCGTTTCTCCCTACAACTAGCGATGCTGATGGTTGTACATCAGCACCTGTCTCTCGATAATTAATGTCAGAAGTTGTCATCTTGTCGTCTGGAAATAGTTCGCTGTCTGTCACGGGGGTTTCCTGGTCACTTCGCATCGAAGGTATTTCTCCGGTTGCACAAGCTGTTGCACGGTGTAGTGGTGGCGCTGAGAGTACGTGGTCGTCCAACAATGCAGAAAGTGCGTCAGTTTCAGGTCCTGCAGACGCAGATTCGGTGGCGTCTCCTTCCGCCGGTGGTGGCACGTCGCTGCCCACACTGTCCACACCGCTGACACTCTGCTCATCCATCTTCAGCAAGGCATCCAACATCGCGGAAGGACTTTCATCTGCTTCTTGTCCTGCATTGACGAGGTCCTTGGCATGGTTTGCTTCTCCTCCTGCTTCTTTAATAAGGTTGTTGTCCTCGTGTTCTGCGTCCTTGATAGAGGTCTCTTCAGGGACACCTCCTGCGTCCTCTTCCTCGGAACGGCGTGTTCTCCTCTTCAGGGACACCTCCTGCGCGTTCTCCTCTTCAGGAATGGATTTGTCCGGTGTACTCGGATCATCCCACTCGTGAAATTCCTCATCCCCGTAATCCCCCATCTTCCCTGCGTACTAAAAGTCTCCCAAAAAGAACTCTGATCCTTCGACTCAGTGAGTTGCAAGGTGCGACGAGGACAGAATTCGCATGGTAGTCGTCGTTGTACGCATGGTAGTCGTCGTTGTACGCAGGGTAGTGGTCGCTGTAACAAAACCAAAAACAAAAGTGATTTCGCTTGAAGGGTTTGAAGTAGTTGTGTGCAGTTGCTGTAGTCGCCAAAGAAAACTGGACGTGATCAGCAGTTGAAAAGAATCGAAAACGGAGAAATTCTATCCGTATTATAGGACTAGATGATACTGATAGTAGAATAAGTTGTATAATCTTGCGGATTAGGATAAACATTGTGTAGTATTAGACACTAGTGGTTAAACAGGACAGGGGACATCACTAGGGATTTATACTTGACAATGACTACAGTTCTCTCTTATCTCCGAGTAAGCATATTCTGCTACAACCGAGTTCACGCGCCAGACAAAAGACTTGTTTTCTCTTATCAAGAATAGCCCGATGGCTGCACCACTGACCGATTTCTGCATGCTTTCAGATCATCCTTCTTGTTATGTTTTTTGGATACTAGTCGTGGATCTACATGTCGTGGATCTAGTAATACCGATTTTCCAAGACCAGGCGTCTAAAGATGCACAGCATATCGCGACAAATATATGCTGTGCATCGCAGTCCTACGATATGATCATGTTATTGACCGACACAGCTCTCTTATTTCCATCTTACGACAGACGTTTGCTTCTTTCGCAGCATAAGATGACTCTGAAAACAGACAAAGAAAACTCAAACTCTTTTAATCACTTAAACTTTGTAAGTTCTCCTACAATCATTTGGCTCTGCAACTCATCCTGTTTCTAATCTCAGAATGAGTTCAAGACGTTGATCTTAGAAAAAGACTAGAAGTGCAGCTCTAGGTCAACGTCCTCAACAGTCACGTGCAGGAGGCTGAGGGATGTTGGAGGTGAAATAGATATCATTGGAGCAGATTCATCTTATCAAGAAAAAGAGCGTTCTGGAAGATCAAAGATAGTTCACTTTGGGGGCTCACCTGGTTCGGTGTGAGTGTGAGTGAAGTCAACATGATTTGCGGACCTGCAAATGTTCAGCCCAAGGTGAATGTCGTTGTCGAACTAAGGTGTGGACGAGAATAGTAGCACTAAGACTGACTACTTAAACGATAGTAATATCCTGCAAGGACGATAGCAGAACAGTCTGGACGAGAATAATAGGAATAAGACTGATTACTTCTTGAACGATACCGATAGGAATAGTATCTATAGAAATCACGCCCCCGTCGCTGACTTGATTACCTGGTTCAGTAGTCCGGAACCGAGCTGAATTTTGGCCTTGTCCCATTCAGTGTCCTTCGGACCGGCATTTAGCTCCACAAGCAGCGCTGCCGCTTTCTCCTTATCCAGCATGTCTGTGGGCACGATCTCAAATCCGCTTACCTCTACTGTGCAGCATCCACTCCCGTCTGACGGCTGGTTGAAGAACAGGAAACCGTCGCTGGCATATGAAGAGCAAGAGAAAAAGAAGGTGTGATGTTTTCTACTACATCTACACTACCTAATAGTAGTGGAAGTACACTTGTATACTATACGTACTTGATTCATAATGATAGTTGCAGTTTTTCTACACAAGAAATATACGAGTGGCAAAACGTCCCAAGCACTAGTCGCTGCTTACGGGATCTCTACAACTTCAACTATTGAACATCATTCACATTCACTGTGCCATCATTGCCATCACATAAGATGAAGTATGTGCTGCTTTCTCCGCCGTCCCCGGCCTTTACTGTAATGGGTCCGGGTTGCAGTTGAGAGACTAGCTGCGAGTGGTTATTTGTGACTGTGAAGGATCCCTCTCGACCGGGTACCGTCAGACTTTCAATCGGCTTTTTCAGGAAAATGCTCTCGTATGGCGATCCCATTGTAAGAAGCAGCCTGTTTGTGTGCTCATGCGTTGCCTCGGCCCCAGCGGCAAACAAACGACGAAACGAGTGCCGCAACATTTTCTTTCTTGCACCTTAGGAGCAGGACCTAGACTCTCTAACGGTGTTGACAGAGATAGCAATAGCACTTTGTAACAGAGATGCTTCTGTGATGTAACTGAATAGCAAATAGGAATACTGTGATAGCAAAAAGACAGCATCAGATGGAACTTCTTATTTGGAAAAGCGTGCCTTGTATTCTCAGATCTGCATGCGTTCTCGACACAAATCTCCCACTCCAGCTTCTGCCTTCTCAGAAACTCTAATATTCAACGTTCGCTCAAACACTACTTCTATGGCATAAAAAGTCCTCACTCGTTATTTGACGACGAAGATGAGAAAACGACGGCAGTCACGTAAAAATAGAAAATATCCGTGTAGTACCTGCAAACCTCATGGCGTCTCCACCTCCACCTCCGCCTCACCCTCAACCTCTCCATATTTCGGACTCAGGACCCTATCTTTGTTCTGTGGAGCAGCCTCTTTCTGTGCTCATGCGTTGCCTCAGCCTGGTTGCATGCTAGTCAACTTTCACCCGAACACTCATTATGGCATACCTCGTTAATTGATGAGAAAACGCCTTCATCACAAGGATTAGATCGTGTGCCTGCAGCCTGCACTTGCCAATTCATCCAAGAAGACTTTCTGTCGTCCAGTGATGTCTCAGGATTAGCCAAGAAAGACTAAAAGCGTGTGTGACCTTTCTCAGGCAATACAAGTATTCGTCAAGTTGTACTTAGGCTAGAAACTTCCTTTCATTTAACATGTCATGTGAGTGTTCCTGGCGACCTCTATCAAATATCAGAACCCCTCGAAAGGGTCCTTTTCATTCGATTCTCGACGAGCAAGCGTGTGGCCCAATTGACGTTGCCTGTGTCGGCTTTGCTCAGCCGGCGTAGTTTTCGAACTCGAGACAAAAAAACCGATTTCCGTAGAAAAAGTTTGGCCAGAACTAGCGGTTGCAATTGGAGTGGACTGCTTCGTAGATGAAGTAGTACCATCTCCAGCGTCTGTGCCATCTCCTTCTCCAAGTGTTGCCCCAGACGTATTTGTCGATGGCGAGGAGAGAAGAGCAGCACACTCTGGTCCCTCTCTCTCTACATTCCCAAGTACATCTAGGAGAGCTAAAGCGTTCGCCGGCCGGCTGCTCGGCTCACGTCGAACCGTCAGCTTCAAAAAGTCCCACAGCAAGTGATATCTCTCTCGCTCAGCAGAGTCTGCTACTAAGGGACGCTGGTGCTGTGTCTTCTTTGCCGCTGCAGTGGAGCTTGATGTACCTGAAAACAGGGTACTTAGTCACAGACGGAAATGAGCAACCTTATGATCATCACAGACTTGAAGAAAAGAACAAACTTAAATAAACTGCACTCATATTCCTATTTTCGGCACAGAGACATAATAGATCTGTCTTATCAACATCAAATGAAGCTGACTGCAATCCCAATCGAGTAGTTCTAATTTCATCTAATGATCTCTAATCGAATAGTTATTGTTACTGGTACCTTGTTCTCCTTCACGAGAAGCAACTACGTCCAGAAAAGAGAAAGCGCGCTCCATTGCTCGTAGATAGTTGTAATTGTCAATCTCGAGGTCCTCAAAGTATCCCTCCAGGAGTGGTTTCCCGAGTGAGAAAATTTCGTACACCGTGGCTCCTAGCGCCCACACGTCTGCACGAAATGCGTCAGCCTCTTAAAGCGATCAAACTTATTCTTGCAGCTAGTAGATGAGGCTAGTTCCAAAAACTAGAACTAGTACCATAATTTTGTTGGAATTTTTGGAGCGTTGAACTACTGGAGTTCTCACACTACTTGTCCACCTAGATGTTATAGTACATCTACTATCGTTCCTAGTTCGATTAAGGAAGATAGGCGAGCAAAACTAGTAATCGCTTATCTCATTATAAATATTCAAGTGCTTTCGACGAATTAGAACGCGAAAGACCACGCCGCCCTAATATGTTTGGCCGGATGCCAGGGTCACAACTTCTGGCGCCATCGTCCTCATTGTGCCCACAGCGCGTGATGCTGACGTCGCCTCACTGCCTTGCACGGCGAACCCCATATCAACTAGCACAAGACGCCACGTCACGCCACAACCACTGACCGCGCTTAAAGTGAGCTTTTATTCATCTCGGCCCTCCTCATCTTGACACCTGAGCAAGATGCCGAGACAGGGCATCGAAGGTATCAACATGCCGAGAAAGATGGATAAAAGCTGACCATAACGTACTATCCGTCATAGGTGGAGGAGTTGGCGGGGTCGTCACCAGCGTCGTCACGGGCGTGACCATCACATTTGTCAGCTTTAAGTCGCGGTAGGCAACACACCTGCTGTGCGAAAAATGAACGAGCATAGAGGTGGTGCGGCTTGTCAAGAACGATTGGAAATATCACAACAGCATAGTTGCCGCGACGTGAAAAATGAGTCTTCTCTGCTCATAAAGAAAAGACAGCCCTGCGTGGATCTGCTGCGTACAAAACTGTGCTTTCTCGAAGGAGAACTCCCAATCTGAGTAAGTAGTATTATAAAGAGCCAGGATCAAGGTTCAAGGCTTAAGGTTCAAGGTCCGCGGCTCTGCGGCCAGGATCAAGCAAACCGAAGTCGACACGATAAAAAAATATAGACATATTTACGAACAAGCCTGCTGCTATCATATTGGACTGCCGAATAAAGTTCCAATGAATTACCTGGCGCGCCCGCCCGACTCAGGTCGTCCGTGCAGCACCAGCGAGTCTCCTGCGATTCGTTCCTGCGATTCGGATTCATTTCTTCCGCAATCCTCTGTCGCTGTTCTGCGCACAAGCGTATGTGATCCCACAAGGTTGCGCCCTCCAGTAGCTCTAACACAAAGCAAATGTTTGCTGGTGTTGCAAACGCATCAAAAAGACGCACAACACAGGAAGCGCGAGGGCGACCCTGTAGTTTTTGTTCCTGGTCAGAATTCCACTCCAGTGCATTTCGTGGCAGAGGAGCATCGGAGCACTTCCCAGCGTCATCTGCGATTTTATCGTCCTCGTCCGACGTGGAAGAGAGCTTTAACAGGACATTGCGTTCGTTCCAGATATTCTCGATACTGTATTCGGACATCTCAGCCCGCATTCGAGGTATCTCCTTCAATGCGCGATGATCTCCGGACTCTGGGTCTCGAGAATGCCACACATTGGCATACCCCCCGCTACCCAGAAGGCGCAACCGCGCATATTCTTTCCTTCCTCGATGTTGTTCATGTTCCACTGCCTTTTTTGTCTTAGAATGTGGTAGACGCGAATGCATGGCTAGTTCTTTCATGGAAAGAGCACCGAGTTGAGTGATGTCCTTGTTGTTGTCCTCTCGCAGTCACTTTTACTAATTTCCAATATATCATTTTTTAACCCTTAAGATGCTTCTTGTCAGCCTCTGAGTCAGTTTTTTCGCCCATATTTTCGGTCGCAAGCAAATCGCGGCGAACCTCGGACGCGTCGTGCACTGGCGAGGAACAATTCGAGTTCTGCTCTGTCGAAACGTCACTATCAGAACTCTGGGATGTCCGACGCTTTTCGCGCCGAGCCTTCTTGCCACCAAACAGACTGCGTAGCCAGGGTCGCATCACACAACAAATACGAGTCCCGTTTAACGGGACCAGCCTGTCCGTTACTCGTCGGAGCTAGCTGCGTCAGCCTGCTTCATCCGAGGGAGAGGAGTGCTCAAATAGACAACATCTTTTTTGTGTCCTCTTCTACTGAAGTATGGTTTTGGATTTGATTCGTCTAGTATCGCATACTCAAGTTACTAACCCCTTCATAATTTCTATCTTCGAACCATGCCTCGTAAAAAGTCACAACATTTCCATGTATCGGGAGAATTTCTCACCTAACAACTCTCTCTCGCACGCCATCATCGTCAGGCCAAATTTTGAGAACCATTGCAAGAATGTCCTTGTTCGATGCTTTGGTCACAGTGGGCAAATGTATTTCTCATATCGATCTGCGCGCAAATGTAGCTCTCAACAGTGTGTTTGGTCCAAACAAAACCAGTCATCAGTACCGCGTTCGCGTCTTGGGAATCGTGCATATTCTTCTAGTATAACATATTCGAGCAACAGCGAATGTGAAAAGATCGATGTAGATAAAGCAATTGCCTGTATCACGAAGAAACTTCTTGAATCAAGGACCAACATTATGCTCCTTTATTCTGCATGTCAGTTTAGAGCCCCTACCAAGAATCTCCCATCAATAGCCCCGTCTTCTCTATGTTGAGTCCCTACACCAGTATAAAATTTAGCGCCATGATCTCATCTCTATTCAGTCATCCACTAGCCCATCTGCCCACTAGCCCACCTAGTGTGGAATCTTCCATCGATACAAAACCCGCACGTATCCCACATTCTTGATTGAATTTCACCGGGTCCGTCTAGTGCGTCTTGTCCTGCCCAACGCGCATCCACCAGCAGTAATCGGAGTCCATGAAAATGGTACTATTCGCATAGCGGTGCCCGAAGGCATTGTACGGCATCGTTCCAGGCACACGGGAATGCAATAGGGACAATCCAATTCCTGGAAAATTTCCGATATTGAAGTCGTGTCCGCTGGCATAATGCTGAGTTTTTGCCGCATAAGCGTACATATCCTGCAGAAAACCCGCTGGATGAAGAAGAGAAAGAAACGCTGAGCACCGTAGTCATTGTCATCTTCACGATCTTCAGAGAAACATTCCTAAAACATTCTCAGCTTGTCTGCTCTGTACGTTCTGTTAGTACTCTGAGAGCTCGAGCTCTACCGTTGAAAAACAAGGGACAAAAATCGTGTGATGAAATACGTACTAGAAGTTGAGAACAAGTTATCAACAAGTTCAAACTTTTGAAAGCAATTCGAATTGCTGCAGACACAGCTGCTGCTGCGGCCCATCTACTTACCAAATTCAAATCAAATTAGAACAAAAATCCTAGTTGTCATAATGTAGTGAGTGGTCGCCGTCGAGAAAGACGATGTCCAAATCCTCCATGTTGTGTGTCGCTTTGAGGCTGTTTCTACGGTGGACGAAGAGTCCCTTCGCATCTCTCGGAACTCTTTGGAACTCCGAGATGACGAACGGGCCTTTCACGTGCTTTCCATACTGCTGTCGATTACGCCGCAGCAACTCCGATGGCGTCACTATGTAGTTACGATTATTACGCTGGTCGTGGTTAGGTGGAATAGGATTCTTGTTGGGGTGAGGATGATGGACTTTTTTAGAAGTAGGAGTTCTGCTTGGATGCGTTGAAGATGGCCTCGCCTGCTCGGGAGTCGGAGCACCGGCTGCTCCTTCTGCAGTAGAAGGAGAAATAGAAGATGCACCTAGACGTACACTATCGGTAGACCCTAGCTCAATGTTGTTTTCTTTCTCTTCTGCTGTGGTAAACTGGACAAATTTCTGTATCACCTCACGAAACACCGTGTCCGCGTCTGATTCCACGTCCACTACCTCTGCCATCAGTCGAAACTCGTTCATTTCGTCGATTAGAGCTTACCCGAATCCATCCTGAGAAGCATCCCGCTCCCCTTTTCTTTGCAGGTGCTGTGTTCCAGGTCATTTGGTATTTCTGCTCGAGCTACACACGAAACTGACACTCTCCAGGATGCTTCAGAGGATGGATTAGGGGAAGCCCTAAGTCGAGCCAAGGATCGACCGCATGATACTGGAGACTGATCCAACCAGGTAAGCCACATTTCTCCAGGAAAGCTAGGGTCGTTTTCGCCTGAAAAATACCGATTTCTGCAATCCGAAGAGAATAGGCTTCCTCTTTCAGCCGCTTCTGGAGCTGCAAAAATAAAAGACGTCGTAATAGCAGAGAAGAAGCTTCAAACTGCTCATTATTATCTTTATGACTCTCCTCTAATTCACCTGAGAGCCCCTGTTCAACACCTTCACCTTGTTGTTGACCATTTCTGCTACGTCGTTGTTCCTCGATAACTTCGTCGAGTCGCGCTACAACACGCATCAATGCTTCTTCGTACTGTTCCGCGATAGAGGGATTAGAGTTCACCCAGAGGGATTAGACCATCTTGGGACTCTCATGAATCTTGTTGGACTCTCATCAATGCTTAATATCTGTGAGAACGGCAGCCCCTCCTCCAAGATGTGCATGTATTGAGTGAGTGGGTGAGAGTGGGTGAGAGTGGGTGAGAGTGGGTGAGAGTGGGTGAGAGTGGGTGAGAGTGGGTGAGAGTGGGTGAGAGTGGGTGAGAGTGGGTGAGAGTGGGTGAGAGTGGGTGAGAGTGGGTGAGAGTGGGTGAGAGTGGGTGAGAGTGGGCGAGAGTGGGCGAGAGTGGGCGAGAGTGGGCGAGAGTGGGCGAGAGTGGGTGAGTGAATGCGCCTCACTTGAGGTATTGCAATTTGTCTGACTAAAATTTTAATTGCATAGCACGACTAAGCAGAAGCGATAAATTAGAAGGTTGACCAGCCGATAAACTGCATTTCTAGGAATTGTTAATTAAGAAGCGGCTTTTGGATGGTAAAGAAACACTTGAAAAAAGTTCACCAGCGAAAAAATGGATTTACAGAAATTGATACTTGCGAAGCGTTCATTAGCTGCAACGAAACCCTTGAGAAATTTAGCCAGCGACAGATTGAATTTCTGTGTTTTGCTACTTATTTCAGAAGCACTAATCAGTTGGCAAATGAGCCCATATAAGTATTCATTGAACGAATAAGTCGAAGAAAAACGTAACCGGTGATTTTCCTCCAAGATGTAAGTGCAATCTGAAAATCGATGGACCATTAAGGCACGATGAGTTATTATGATTGTGCAATGAGATCACATTTGTAGTAAGGTAGTACATGAACAAGAGTCGATTGTAAAAAGCCGTAAAGGGAGCATCGTGCCACCACTCGAGAGGAACATGCTCTACCACCTCGTCCGCCTCTGTGGCAGGCCCACGCAAAACCTGAAACTCTCGCATAAGCGTCTCCACTAGTTCTCGTGCATGAACTAATGTACTCTTGTCGTCTTCTGATGTCCAATCCTCAGTACTACGTGATCCAGTGCTTCTGCCACTTTCCTCACCGGTCCTACCACTGGGGTCTTGTTCTGCTAGGTAGAAGCTACGTAACGCTGCAGATCCAGCGGCCCCTTCAGCGTCTTCATCCTCGTTTAGCAAAGCAAAATTTGCAACCTCGACACCATGATCTTTCCCTCTCGTCCGTAAGCTGCCTTCTCCAGAAGTCTTTGCGCCACCTCCGCAATCTTCTTCTAAAAACAAAGTTTCCCATGCAATCTCTTCCAGTCTAGCGTAAGCTTTAGACCCAAATTTTGACCCAAATTCATCTTGCAACTCAAATCTGGTGCGACCTTGACAGTCAAATATGTGACCTGACTATCTTCCCTGGAAAAGTAAACAAGCGTGACCAGAAAAATGCATCTTGATCATGTGATGCCAGTCGACTCGGATTTGACCGACAACTCCCTGAATGAATCTCTAAGATGAATTTGCGCAAGCAGCCTTAAAAATTTTTCGTTTTTCCGCGACTGTGCGCTGTGCGAGATGGCACAGAACTTCTGCAGCCTTCGTCGGTCTGCGATCTGTCGCGCCTCTCATTCGGTCTCGTGGAAAATCGAAATGATCGAACGCACTTTTTATCTTCCCATTTGGTCCGGCGGCCCCTGTCTTCCCTACGCCCAGCACGTAGGAGGAAGGTTGCATCTGCTCGTATCGCCTCCGCGAATAAGACAACAGATTTACTGCTTGGCTCATCGATGTTGTGCTCGCGGCTGTTGACGACAGATTCCGATTCCTTCTTTTAGTCGGGGTCGACGATGCTCCTTCATCTGTATCAATATAATTCCTCTCTGTAGAAGATGTTGTCCTCGACGCTTCAACACTCTCTGTAGAAGATGTAGTCGACTCTGTATTGGAAGTCCTCGACGCTTCAACATCATCCCTGTTGTCATCTTCTCCGGCGGGAGTAGGCGCTTTCACAAGAATAGCTGGCTTCGCGGACAGGTACCCGAATGTTTCCTCTGCGTAATGTCGAAGTTCCAGCGTCTCTACCAAGTGATCCCAGTGGGAGAGAAAATTTGACGACCAAGCGTGCCATATGTCATGCACAGAGTAGATACCAGTCCGAGTATAGCCTGAAACGGCGCTCCCAGCGAGGTCAACGAATGGCACATCCTTATCGCTCAACGCCTGCACAGTTCCGCCAAGACTAGACATGTCCTGCATGAAGCTCGATCCCTGTTCTCCAGGCAGCTTCCCTGTTTGCTGGCTTTGATGGGCGTCGAAAATGTATGAAAGGGGTCCGATGGGTCTTAAAGAAAAAGGTACGATCAATCATTGTGTTCTTTAGTATATAAAGACAGTCAGTCTTCAAGAAAAAGTTACTAACTTGGAATCTTGTTCCGAAATGAGAAAATTATTGGGTACGTGCTGGTGGAAGAAGCAGTTAAGTATTAACTTGGAGTCAAATAATATGTTGGCACTTCTAGAAAGCTCCAAATCGGAGTTAGAAACATTTATCAGTCTTCATCAAAACAACTATCACGCAGTATTAACTTTACATGCATAAACTCGAGCCACCAGGAGCTTGTTGATCCACACTTCTTTGCGAGTGATACCGTGACGCAGTTGTGCTTGTTCCGCCTACGCTTACGGCAATTTTGAGGCGCTCCGAACCATCACCGCCAAAGACGCCGCGTTGGGTCCGACGAGAGGCCCGAAGAGTCGCGGGAGGAAAGCCGAGCTCTAATGCAGATAAAACCTGTGCTCGAGAGTCTCTCACACTAGCGTCTACCATACGTTGTTGAGCCGGTGAAAAATCAGCCATCACTTGCCTATGCTCGAGAAACGAACTGGGCTTAGAACGAGAAGAAGTGTTGTGGAATTCTCACTTTAAGAATCAAAATTACAAAACGTAAACGACCTACTTTTCAACTCTATCTTGTTGAAGGAAAGCGAAGCGACAAGAAGGAAGAATCTGATGTACACATTCAAAGTGCATTTCTCAATAACTAAAATAAGTAGAAGATCAATGTCTAAGGCCCCGCCTTCTCAACGATGGGACTTTGCACAATAAGAGCAATAGATTGTCCGAAACCTACAATAGGTTATGATGATGTGAATCTATTCGTCAAGTTGCTGGAACCTACAGCACGCTATAAGTGCTTTGAAATGAGAGAATGAGATGTCATCCTACGGTCATACTGTTATCCGAGAAAACCACGGCTTCGTAAGGATCCTCGTGTTCTTCGAGTAGGTAATGAAAGCCTGTTCGTTTCGCACGTGAGAGCTGGTCAGAAAGCGGTGGCGCCACCGCTTGTGCTGGTACTATTTTGTCTAAGGAGCCTTCAGGAGTACCAGAGCGCATCGTTCCCATCTTTCCTTGTCCTTGTCCATGATTAGAGCTCGAAATACTTCATTTCTTTCCGACTTCCTAAGAGGAAACAAAGATAGAAAAATGACACGTGGAAATGCAATCAGCACTTTGATGGTGAGCCTTAACGCCATCTATGGCCTCTTCCCCTTGTGCTGGTCCGCGAGGAGCCTCTTCTTCTTGTTTCTCTATTTCCCGGTCCTCACGCCACTGCTCCCAAGCTTTTATGTGTTCATTGACCCATAGTAGTGCCGTTTGCCGCTCGATACTGCGGTGGACGCTATATTTGAAGGCTGCACCATTGCACTATTGCACTAACCTTTTTCCTTTTCCCAATTTAGAAAAAGTCCAGGAAAAATGTCGGTTGGGCGGGATGCAATTGGCTTCTTCTATCAATCTTCCCTTAATATACGTGCAGTTTTCCGGCAAAAAAACGGGCTCAGGTAATACATTCGAGATGTTCTGCTTCGGGAAATGCTTGTGCTCCCACAAGAAGTACCACTCGTCCTTTCCAAACAAGTCGTAACGCCCGTTGTCAAACTTCTCCTCATCCTCGTCTTCGCTTTCTGTTTGCGTTGTTGAATTCCCCCCATTTTCTAGAAGCACTCCACCTGCCACCGAAGAAGTGCCAGCACTATAATTGGGACTCGTGGTACTAGTTGTTCTCTCAGGAGTTGTATCTTCAGGTTCATCAAGTGCAGCAAAACTTGTGTAGTGCGCCTGATTTATCTTTACATCCGTTCTAGATCTACGATCTGCTCCTTTGTCCAACAGTATTCCCGCATTCCCTAGAAACTCTTCGTCACCGAACTGAGCCTCCTGCCAGAGGCGGTTCCAGAGCTGATCCGCACTGCACCGACTCCTGCCGTGGCCGACACTGGGCCAGAACTTTGGCTCACAGCTGTCGTACAGCTGCTGCATTAGAGAGGCAGCTGCTTGGCTCCATCTTCTCGGTCCCCCCCCTGACGACGTCGGCACCTTTTCGTCCCTTGATGCATGGGAAAAGGGTACCTCCAAAATGCTCAGCACATTACGTGGAGAACAAGGAGATCATTCTCCACATCTAATCGGACTTTTGTACTACAGAAAGCCGACCATAACTGTAAATCCGTGAATATGATTCGGTGGAAACGCTCACACAACGATTTCAGTGCCAGCGCCTCCCGCATAGCGCACCAGGCAAAGTTGCGAGAACCATCGGTGGAATTAGGGGACTCAACGGGCCATACTAAGGCAAACAAACTAGGTCTTCATAGAGAGGCAAAGGAGACTGACTGTATACGAAGCGAACAAACTAGGTCGTCATAGAGAGGCAAAGGAGACTATATACAAAGCGAACGAACTAGGTCTTCATAGAGCGTTAGCATTATCAACATGAATATCATTGAACAGGGACAAGTCACTCTGTCATATTCTTCATATAGACACTCTTGTATATACCAAGTGACACCTCAAAAATCCAATTTTTGAGACGATCACTACCATTAGGCTTACACCATGATCATGATGAAATCGTTTTACGTAATTGAAATGTCTTACAGTCTTATAGATACTGTACAACCTCCGTCTGTCATAAGCGAGACCCATTTCTGGCTGCCATGGATATCTTTGCCCCAATGCCTTTGATGCGTCCGAATCCAGAATCGAAATGACGACACTACCTCTTCACACTGCGGAATCACAAATTCAGAGCCGTCATTTCGTACATGATCAACCGCATCATCTTGTTCGGTGGCACCAATAACTCCAAGAACAAGGTGGGAAGAAGATATTAGCTGGCACCATAGAAATGTTGTCCAGGAGAGCAAGGCCAATTTCGATGTTGAATGAAGGCCTTTCCGCGACACGGCTCCGCGATTGCGTGGCTTCTGGAAAAGAAAAATGGGGGGACGAAAAGCGATGAAGCCTTTCGGCGTTGTGAATCGAAGCGGCATTCTTACGACCGCGTCGTCTTTACTGAAGGCACCTCTGGTACAGGAACATGAACCGGAAATCGTGAGGATCCACCACGGTAAGGCGTGAGGTAAAGCACTTCATTTTTTTGTTGCTGAAAACGGAGGTAGTTCTACTTTCACGAGTAGTTGCTCAAGATACTTCGCGGGCTCCTCTCTATAACCTAGCCACAAGAGGCAATGCTCTACTTTCTTGCACTCGCTCGTTTAGACTTGACAAAAAACAAATCACAGCCAAAAGTCTTCGAAAAAGGTCAAACCGCACTGAAGATGCGGTGACGAACACTCGCAACCATGATCCTGCACATGACAGCCTGCGCTTCTCGCAAGATCCTCGAATCCCTGAGGACCACAAATATCAATGTATATTCCCAAGTAGAATCTTATTGCGCATCCTTTCCGAAATCGAAACGCACTGCTTTGAAATCTATGATAGATTTTCCGGAGAATTCATGTCCTTCTGCTTGCAGTTTCTGTTTTTGCAGTAGAGCTGCGCTGTGGAGGTGACGGTCAGCAGCGATCCTTCTCTCCTCTGCCTCCCCCTCCTCCCCGTCTGAAGGTGGACTCACAAGTTCCTTCCTTCTTCTCTTCATGGCAACAGCTTTCCCTGTTGATGGAGTATCTTCATTCTGGTCGTCACGATTAGGTCTCTTTTTCCCAGATGTAAGCGAGGCTGCAGACGCCTGGTCGTCACTATTTTTGGCTTCTGTCTTTTTGTCATGCGCAGGCTGCAAACGCCTGGTCATTTTGTCAGGCGCAGAGGCCCCTGCGGACGCAGCAACATTTGCATCTGCTGCAGCTTCAGCAGCTCTTTCAACATTAGAATTTGCTACATTTCATTCTGTCGACTCCAGAGATTCTGAAGATATAGTACACTGGGAAGTAGCACCAGAGAGATAGAGAGAGGAGAAGAGGGTGAAAGAAAAAGAAAAACTGATACTCGCTTCGCGAAATAGTACCCTTAAAAATCAAACTACATTCGCACGCTAGGGTAAAAAGAAGCCCACGCTGTAGGATCTTCGCTCCTATACCTGTAGAAACATTAAGTCAGAATACTCTACTAAATGTACTGAATGAACCCAAATCCGGACCATAACAACAAGAGCTGTGCCTTTCAGGGAGATTCCGCCAGCGCTGTTGACGCACCGCCACCAGGGTACATCATGCGTGTTGCAATCTCGCATCGCGAATCCGACATGGCGCGCATGCCTCGGACAGTTCATCGCGACAGCAACGTCTTTGTATGTAGTCACGCTTCCATACGTTAGACCTACCGCAAGTCCATGCTCAGCAGCATCCTCGTGCCCCTTCTCCCTTTAAAAACGGGACCACGGTGCACGTAAAGATGGATTGCTTGTAGCCTTAAATACGGCACTTGCTTCACTAGGTCGTACACCTGCGCGTTGAAAATCTTGTTGGGCCTTGCAAGAAGAGCATTCGTCTTCTGCTTTTTTGCAACAGCGGACGACGTGGTCCCGTCATCTGTCTTGGTCGTGGCACAAGCAGGCTGTCTCGTCGATGACGACGAGGCTTTCTTTCGTTCCTCCTGTTGTTGAGTCGGAACAGCTTTCTTCATCTTTTCAAGGCAACAACTACTTCTCGTGGGTAAGAGTAATCCTAATCTTACTTTCTTACCAGCATGACAGAACAAGTACATAAACGATCGAGAGCAGGTTTTAGCAAATCAATCGCAATCAAGAACGGGATGTCTTGTTCGAGAACCTAGCTCGTTCACGATCAAGCAAACGCCCTGGTCAAACCCTTTCTGAGAAATCACACCGCTCAAGTCATCTTGATCCTATGACTAGGAAATAGACCATAAAAACGTTACTGTCTGTCAACCTCCCACAGTTGATAAAACGCAGTTCTGAGTTTGTGTTTTTCTTCGAGGTCCGATTGAACGTTCTTCGATCGATTCAATGATATTTCAATGAGCTATTAATATATTGTGGACGATGAAGATACCACGCACTAAGTAGGAGGCGGGCAACAAGAAGAAAAGTTAATAGCCGTCTTATGTTATGCTGCTCTCTTCATGTAGTACAACATTGGGCATGCTCTTTTCGGTGTCTCCATTCAAATTTCCGATATTCTGGGCCGCCTGAAGGCTTACGACGTGGTCTCTCACGGAAATGATCGTCGTGGACGCAAGTTTCTTCCCCGACCTGCACAACGGCAGAGAATCTTCTACAGGCATGGATGATGTGATAGAAAATCCAGTGTAGTAGTACTCATTTGTCGGTCCTTTTTCCTCGCACCTTGCAGGCAACCAGAAGAAGGTAAAGCCTAGGTCCGATGAAGACAACTTCATATTGACGCAGACCTGATGTCCTTGATCATCATGATGATGATGCACCACCCAGCATGGGGCCGCCATCAATGTGGTTATCCGTCAATCGATTAGCTTCGCAAGAGTTCCGGAAGTGCAGTTCGGGATAACATTACGAAACAATAGCATGGCAAAAGCAAGTTCTCGCATTTATGGCGACGACTACCGAATGACACGGCGCATCGTTTCACTGAATCTTATCTTCCTTTGGTCCCTGAACTCATGCTCGGAAATGCAGCACCGGTGACGAGAACACTCACGCACCAATATTACCTGTGCAGGACACCACTCACTCAGCTAAGGAGGTAAGCAGAGTTGCACGTCTATTTTTTTTCAAGTCATATTTTCCAACAAATGCAGCTTGGTGTGTCCTCTTGGATGAATGCTCAAAACCTGCTCAAATACAACGCAGTTGTTGGGGTGGAGGCGGGTCATGGGTTCGTTCCTCTTCTTAGTAATTACTTGGGTACATCAGGAAATACTAGCCTATAATGTCCTTCTTCTTAGCAGCACCCGCATATGAAAGCTTTTGTATTTATGTTGGGCGCAAGATTCTTATACTTGAACATTGTAATGAGCCAAAGGTTCTTCTTGTTGCCGTATAACACCACAAGTTTCTTGTGGAAGTTCTCTTGCCCTCTACACCTGTATCTGAGCTTGGCTCGATTACCCGCTAATACACTTGATCTCGGCTCTCTGTCCGTTAGTACAACTGATTCCCCATTGATTACTCCTGTAATCCTGTGCACGGCTATCATGAGTTGACTCAGCTTGCAGCTTCATCAACATGAGAGAATGATGTTGATATTTCGACTATGGATACAAGATAGTCTTTTCTTTATGCTGCAACCATACAAGATATGTGGATGTGTGAATGTCTACTTGATACAAGATCCACGTAGCTCCATGAAATCCAGGTAGGTGCTTCGTTTTGTCTCGCTTTCCCGCTGAAAGAACTAGAGATGCAGATTGCACAAAAAGGCAGAACAAGTAAATAACTATGTTATTGAAGGACTATAATGTACCCTTATATGCGCCGACAAAGAAACAAGAACGCCTTCTTTTCCATGAAGTGTAACACTGTCTAGCATCTTTGTTCTAAAAGCCATACTGACAAGTGAGTACATTTTCGTTGATCATTATCGTCATCCCCGACTAAAGCAGGCGCGACCGTGTCACTGCTCATTAGATATCACGAATTATGAAATTTTTCTCGTGCCAAACCGGTTCATTCTATGCCAAACAAATGTAGTGCTTAGTTCTCATGGGTAGAAAGCGCCTCTCCATCCTGAGGAAACGACGGGGAAGGTGACTAAAACTTCTCGTAACAGAGAGTCGAGGTGCCAAATAATGCATATTCTATCAATCTACTAGTTGTACACTATGTACTACTTAGCACATGCATAAGCATCTTGGCTTTGGTTTCCATATTGCCATTCTAAGAACAGGTTCACAGCGACGACCTAAAGAGAAAATCAAAAAATTATCATTAGATATGGTATGTCACTCACTCAGTATCATTATTATCATTAGATATGGTGTGGCGGTATTCGCTTTACGGGGAAGGGGATGGGTGAATACGTACTTAAACTTACCACGGCTTTGGCTTTGGAGAATAGGAATAAGTTTTTGTTGTTTTAGTAGCCACGTCAATGTCTTAGAAGACACTTAGTAGACACTCCGACTGTTCCATTTCAATAGCGCGAAGCCCGCTAGCCTGAAGAAGAAGAGCAGGCCGAATGCGACAAGGGGCCATGCCCAAACTCGCCACGGCTGGAGCATTCTCGGCTCTGCAAATTCTTTCCTGACGTCTTGGAAGTTCTTGCTCGCCTCCGGTGTCAAATTTTGCGGCTGAAAGGTTGCCTGGCTGCCACCCGAGTTGTTGACGAACTCGAGATACTGGGCTACGTTGGCGGTGTACGCCACTGGAATGACGTAAGCCACCCAGCTCAAAAAACCGGGCACGTTCGACAAAGGCCTGAAGATGCCACTCAGTGCGTTGGGGAACGTACCGAGTACTAGTGGCGCCCACATCACTGGAACCGTGGCGTTCGCGGGTGTGAGGCACGCCATGAAAATCCCCATCGCCGCGCCGGACACTGCGCCAACGGTGTTCAGCAACAGGTACAACGCGATGCTCCCGTTGAGTCCGAACAAGAAGTAGGGACCGATCAGCACTGCCAGCACGGTTAACAGCTGGAGCGGCAAGTCGGAGAGCAGCTGCGCCAGGAGATAGGCGGAGACGCCGTAGTAATTACTCGTGTACTCCCGCAGAAACACTGGCCGTTCTTGCGGCAAGGTCGTGATCTGCGCGAAACCGGTGGCGATGTACGTTACAAATAAGATGTTGCACACTGCGTTGTTGACCTCCCCGATCTTGCCGTTGAAAGCGCTAGGCGAATTCAGCGGGTTTCCATCCGAGTCTAGGCCTGTGCGCAGGTGGCGGCCGCAACTGAGAAACGCCAAGCCCTGGATCAAAATCTGCATCACGGGGACTAAAAGGCGGTTGAAGATCTGGCCCCACGGGTCCCGCAGCTTGCTGCGCACGTTCCGTCGCACCAGCGTGCACACCTGGGTGCACCATGGCGGAACGTCGATCAGGTGCAGCGCTAACTGAGTGGCGTCCTCCTGCTCCTGCGTGTGCTCGAATTTCATGTGCATGATCTTCAGGCAATTGGGGGACACACCGAAAGCTTTGTTGCACTTGATTTCGGACCACTCGTTGCCGTGAAGCAGAGTCGGCACTGCCTGAAACTTCTCGCCGCTATCCTCCCTACTCAATGCGTCGCCCCCAGGAGGGGCAAGTGTCTCCTGACTAACAAGATTTTGTTGTTCCTGTGCAGCAGAGACTTGAGCCTGCAATCTGCTGCTACCTTGTTGCGGACTTGCTACTAGAACGGCACTAGACCTGTTGTTAGGGGACGGCGCGCCCCCGGCAAACGACCGCGCTACTGATGCCGCTCTGTCTAGTCCAATTGTTGACGCCGAAGATGACAGGCTGGCGCTAGCAGCTGCGTCGCCTGGCGAAATACCGGGAAAGGCTGCGGTGGCCACACTGCTTCTTTGGTCGGATGAATGATGTATTTCTCTACTAGGACTATAGTCCGATGCCAGTCCACCACCCGCAGTAGATGCATTGCTCTGTTCTTCTGCTATAGTCCGCAAGAGGTTTTCGGTCCTCTCCTTCTCCACGTCGCCCGCTAGATCAAACGCAGCAATCAGCGGCGTCCGCTTCGAGCCGTAGCCTGGATTCTGCATTTCATAGATTCGCGCAGTCTGCTCTTTCGCTTCCACTAGTTCTTTGTCGTTCAAGCCTCCGCTCGCCAGCAGCATCAGCCAGTCGCACTGATTGTAGCCTGCTGGCGTCGGCTTGTCCACGATTTTCTCCAGAAACTCGCTCACAATCTGCAGTTTCGCTACTTGATTTTTCCGAGTAGTCTCCGGGGAACTGCTGCCAGGAGCCATGTTGTCCTGTTGCCCGTCGGCAGCACTGGTGTTGAACCTGTTTTCGAGGACGTCTTGTGCGCGGTCGCCCACCATACCCTGGAAGAGCACCTCGCCGTACCGCATAGTGATCACGCGATCAAATTTCGAGAAGAGCTCAGAGCTAGGCTGGTGAATAGTCGCGGTGATAATGCAGTTCTGTTCGAGTGCAATCTTTTTCAGCATCGTGATCAGCCGCATCGAGGAGTAACTATCGAGACCTGACGTTGGCTCATCCAGAAACACGATTGAAGGCCGGGTTAGCAGCTCGATACCAACCTGATGCGAGTCAGTTGTGCTTACTTGTGATTTTTCAAATAATCTAAAGCTTCAAGGAATTCATCGCTATTGAAAAGGAAACCAATATAGCGTCCAGAAATTTTATTTTTTGCAACGCTAACCAAACTTCTACCACGCGAAAACTATACTGAAGGATCTTAATATCAATTTCTTGTACCGCCACTCGTTTTTTCTGTCCGCCAGATATTCCTTTCACTAGGGCGTTTCCGATCGGCGCATCGCGCACGTGGTACAAATCCAATGCGTGGAGCATTTCCTCAATGTTGCGTTCTCTTTCTTCCGGTGTCGCGTCCGGCAGTCTGAGTTTCGCCGCAAATTGAAAGGTCTCGAGCACCGAGTCACTGCCTACCAGTTCTTCGTGCTGCATCACATAGGAAATGCTCTGTTTTAGAATTTGGTCATCCACTGGTTTTCCACCGTAGCGCACCTCTCCCGTAATGGTGATCCCTTTGCCTGACCAGCGCTGTCTTGCCGCCAACAAGTTGAGCAGTGTGCTCTTGCCAGCTCCACTGGGACCGATCAGAGCGGTGACCTCACCGGGACACAGTTTGCCGTACACGTTGTCAAGGATACGTCCCGCGCCCTCGACATCGAAACAGAGGTTTCGCCACTCAAGGGAGAGCTTTTTTTCGGGTACAGAGGTGGCGAGCTTTTCCACTTCTTCCGCTTCCAGGATAGCACGCTGCAAATCATGGTAGCCCGCTGCTCGCATACTGCCAGCTGCTCCGTGCCCGCCGCTACGAGCAGATTCTAAGTCCACCTGTAGGATTTCGCTGTCCAAGCGGCCGTGCTGGTCCTTCTTAGCAGCGTCGTCGTCCTCACTACCTAGTTGAAAGCCACTTCTTCTGGCGGGTCCCCCTAAAAGGAACTCAGGCTCCGACTCTGTTCCAGGCAAACTGTGCTCGTCTGCTTCCTCGAACACCTCAGCGCAGATTTCTGGCACGATGCCCGCTTTGTTGAAAATGTCAGCCAAAGCCGTTCGTGAAGGCGCCCCACCTCCGCGCTGACTGCCCGTGAACCAGCTTGTTTGGTGGCACGGTCTCAGTAAACTCATGGTGTTTTGGTTCACGTCCGAGGAGTGCCGACTGCTCTGGCTCACCCGGGAAAGGCTTGCCTGAGTCCGCAGTGCGCCTCCACCTCCTGCGACTCGGAAGGAGCCGTCATGCTGCAAGTCACCACCTGGAGGCGCACCCCGGTAACCGCCACCAGGATTCAGTAAAGGGCTTTCCTCGTCGTCCAACGGCCGTCGCCGCCCGTCGCCACGCCGACCCGAGTGAGCCATTGTCCTCGCAGAGGAAGAGGGCGAGACCGGTAAAGGTGGAAACCTCCCAAACAGCGAAAACGAGAACTATGCTTGTTCTGTCTGTGTGTATAATTTTTTCGTATACTTATTTCTTCCTAGTAACTGAAATAAACTTAAACATGCACAGTGTGTATGAAAATTCGACTAAATACTACTTGCAAGAACTTACTAGCTACTTGTACTCGACTCAGTAGTTTTTACTATCCCTACTAGCAAATCAGTTGAATAACGCAGTTCGACTCTATGTGGGCATCTACATCTGACGATTGCACCTTGCGCAAAAATGTCAGAGAAGTACCAAAGAGGCGATGTAGAAAAGCTAACTAATCATGTTCTTTTAGTTTCTCGATATCTTTGAGGTCTGGAAAAATTTATTATGTAGTTCTTGCACAAACATCAAGCGCCGAAGGAACAATTACTAGATGTAGCCCAAAACTAAGATCAGATATTCGTTATTCCTCCAAGAAGGACAGACCGAAGAACTACGTGTCATTCAAGTGATTGTTTAGGAAGTCGTAAAGCATATGTAGTTGGACGAGGTCACAAGAAAAGCTTCAAAAAAGAACGAGTACGTATCTTCTCTCGTCGCTCTACAACTACTACCTAGAAAATTTACGCTCTCACTACCCAGAGCAAGCCTTCTACCTGTGAATGTTCGAGAGAAAAAGAAAACGGTATTAGCATAAAAGCGACTACACTTTTTGTCATGCAAGTATTCCAAACAACAGGTAGGTATGGAGGAAGAATATGGAAGTGACGCGGATCCCATAAGTACCCTAGCAGATCGCTAAGAGTAGATCACATTCGGATCCCAACATTTTCAAACTGAAGATCATTTTCAGATCCATTTGTTTCTCTTTTGACAGACGGGAGCACATTTGCATTCACAACTCGACACAGATCTGATGGCGTGCATGTCTACTTATATATCTACCTCCTTCAAGTTCAACAGAGATCAAAATCCACTCAGATACAAATATCAAAATCCTCCACTTTCAATGATCAAAGTTCTTTGTCAACATTGTCCAAGGATCTTGTGACTACATTTCGATTTGCAATATCTTGATTTTGCTGCCGCAGGACTACTTTTATTCAACCTACATGTTAAACGCAGAAGTTTCCCTCCACGACAATTCTGAAGTATGGCCAGCATCAAAGAGGTTATGCACCAAAAGATATAAATCCACATTTTTGATTTTCTAAGGCGTTAAAGTAGCTACTTCACTAGGTGGCTTAAGTAGATAGGTTGGCTGTGGCAGTCTAGTGTAATAGGCTGCTGGGGCAAGAGGGTCAGGGGTGGAGTGTGGGAAGGCCCACGGCTGTCTCATGCTTGAGCAGCTGTCCGCAGAGGCCTCAAGCTCATGGAGCAGCCCTTGATCTTTGCTCTCTTCAAGCTCCGGAACCTTCCGGAACTTTTTGCAAAAAGAGGCGCCTCTTTTTTGGTTCAGAAAATTTGTGTCTTTTTATAGTTTTAACCTTGAAACACCATAAAGATCCGAAAAACTGCCTCCCGAAAAAAGTGCCACTTTTTTGCTCCACCACAATGCTGCTTTTTTTGCGAAACATTGGAGAAGCTTCCGAAGCTTTGAAGAAGCCGAGGCCCAAGGTTTGTCCCCTCAGCTTGAGGCCTTTGCGCTCAGAGCTCCAGAAGGGGTGACGGCGGGCCTCCTCATGCTGCACTCGTGACCCTGTTGGCAGCGTCCGCCCACACAGCAGCCTACTAGACTGCCACAACCAACCTATCTATTCAAACTACCTCGTTAAGTACCTACTTTAACGCCTTAGAATTTCAAAATGGGGATTTCTATCTTTATGTGCTTAACCTCTTTTATGCTGGCCATATGAAGACTGTCGTGCGTACAGAACCACATAAAAACGCAAACAGTTTCGCGAGATAGACATCATACGGAGCAACGATTTTCAGAATCTAAATTCTCTGGCACTATTGCGGTGCAATCCTGACCATAATAGATTAACAAATCTGTTCATATGGGAGACAACTAGTTGTAGTTTCAATTCACTATATTTCTAATACCCGACACAATGTTGGACGTCTCAACTTAACGAAGCTTCAGTGTTTCGTCCAATATCCTTTGTTCCGTAGACGGAAAGCTAGCGTTACTAGTACATTCTTCCCCCGTAAGCATTGACGCCAGCATTTTGGTCGACAACAGGCGGAGGATACGCCGACTGCACCGGCATGCCACCAGGACCATACGCAGGCGGGGCAGCAGGATACATACCAGGATACATACCAGCCGCGTTGTTGTCGTTCCAACTTTTGTTGAAATGGATAAGTTTTGATTATTTATGGATAGAAGGACATAAGTCCTCACACTTGAATGTTGTATATCCTACCGTCTTCTATCCATGGACGAGACTACATTGGTGTATTTTTCGCAGTAGTTGTGGTTCTAGTTCTAATTCTACTTAGCCAATAAGCGTTATAGTTCTAGTTGTTCACTGTAACATTGTAAATGAAAGTGGAAAAGAACAAAGGAAAGCAGAGATGCAGTACTGGTCCTCCCGTTTCGCTTTCCGGCAAAAGCAAAAGCAAAGCACAACGCTTACAAGCACGTTCATCCCTATAATGAGAATGTAGAGGAGGTATTTATTGTCTTCATCGTCCTCGCTTCCCGAATCAGTTGTTGTTGCCGTTTCCGTGCTCCGTTCTATCTGCTGTACATTCGCAAGCGGTTTTCCTCTGTCCGGTACAGCACGGATGTGTTTTGCCCGTTTCGCGTCACTTGGTGAACCCCTATCGTCGATTTCGATACCAAGATCGTGATCGTGAAGATCATCATCCCTGGCGTGGTCATTACCACGAATTACGTCTACTTCGCCTTCCTGTCTTCGGACTGTTCTCTGCTGAGTGGGGTTCCTTTTAGTTAGATCATCTTCTACTTCTTCTTTGCGGTCGATGTCCTCTTGTCTGCTGTGATCATGACCTAGATCGTCCTCTTGTTCGTGTTCGTCTTGATCATTTTCTGCTTCTTCTAGGAAGAATCCACTGCCGCGATGAAGTCGCTGCTGTCGGAACCTCGAGCGCTGGTAGCTCTGCTCTGCCGTAGGTCTTGGTTGCGGTATGACCCCTTCGGGCAACTGGTTATCCGCGTATGATCCGGAACATACCAGAGGTAAAAAGACGACCGCAGTGAAGCAGAAGGCAGCTCGGATCCGACCTGCCGAGCGGAGGCCGACGGATGAAACGTTCATCTTCGTTGCTGGAGATTCATGGCCCTCATGATCCTCTTCTCCATCTAGGTAAATTGTATTTACTGTTGTTTACAACGAAGATCAACATCTCGTTTCCGTCGCTGCTCCAATCCCGCAAGCCATTTTTAGCTACGGAAATTTTTTTAGTTACATTTTTGTGCTGGGACGACAGTTTCTTGTGTTATTGCGAGTGAAATGTTTTTACTTGGTCGTTGGGTGTATACAATCCCATGATACAAGTAGGCATCGGCATGAAACAGGTTTTGTTCCATACTAAAACGATATTGATAAACTATTTTTCGGTTTTTTTTGCTGATTTCCTGCACTCTCTCTTTTTCAAAGCTGCCACGCACCTCATCGAGATATACACTCCGCTCTTGACCGGACCGAAAAGTAGTTTTAAAGGCATTTCTTATCAAAAAAATAAGAGTAGTTAATCTACTATTCGCGAGGTCCAACGTCTAGTCGCAGTTTGGGAGGGAAGGGGTAGAACAATCTTTCATTTCGTTACCAATCGGTTATGCATTCGCCAGAATGCACCAGCGACTGCACGACTACTGTCCATGTATATTTTCGTTACAAGAACGATGTGTTTCTCTATTGGACAGGCACAAAGACAATCCACTACACATGTTGTAATGACGACACTAGGTCGTCATTAAATCCAGGACAGCTGACGCCCTAGCAAGTTGTTCATGGTCGCTGCAATATTTTGTTGCGCGACATTTTGAGTAGATATCACATCAAATCTGCACACAAGGACTGCTACTCTAGGATGATGTTAGCTAGTCTAGAATTACGATCCAAGAAATGAATCGTTTCCTACATTGTTAAAGATAGAACCTCTTCTTCAACATAGGTCCAATCTCATGACTGTATCACTTTAGTCTCTACTTTTCACTTACTGTTGTTTTCTATGCACACCATAAATATGGGTCCAAACAACTTCTACACACAATTTTTTGAAGGCCTCACTAGAGTAGCGCTTAGGCCTAGCTAGTTTTCGTAGATGTGATCATACTTGAGAGCGATTCTCATCGTAGTAGGCGACATTTGCTTGTTATAAACATTACGAAAAATACAACTTCTACTACTTAAACCCAAGAAGTTCTGAAGAAACCTCGTCTCCGTCCAAAACCCAAGAACGAAGGTATCCTTACTGAAAAGGATTCCCCTGTGCAACTGCGTGACATCGTAAGAAACTGCGCAACAACATTGGTTCAAGACCGTCCAAACCTCGAAGACCCGCTCAAACCTTTTGCTCTACCGCTTCTTTCGCTTCTCCCTCTTTCGTTTCACCATTCTCCACCAAAGGCTCAAACAAATGCTGCGCCAAACCGTACGTTGTCTGCATCCGGAGGTACCTTTTTGGTTATTTTGGGATAAAAGTAGAAGGAGATAAATGATAAATCTATGACATAGATATCCCTTGTGACGAGCAGCACTTCACTTTCTTAACTTCTTAGACAAGAACCATTGTGATAGCGATACTAAAAGCAACTTCCTAGAGTCTACAAACAGTTCTGTCGGCGACATCGGCAGCCTCTTATGTGGAATATCGTAGCCGTGTCAGTAGTAGTAAAAATACCAGACGCAGTAGAGGAAGAGGAAGAGTGCTCCTAGGCTGACCGCTCCCTGGATGACGAAATAGATTGCCATGAGCATAAGCAGAACCTGGACACCGAGATCACGGAAGCATCCTACGCTAACGTCCGACAACACTCCTCGTGGAGCGGGTGTTGCGCTAGTTGAGGCTGACATATTGTGTTGTTGATAGGAAAAATCGGTATATCTTGAAACAATAGATACTACCTAGAGTCGATTTAGATTTAGCGATACGACAAATGCAGTTTTCAATCTTGAAACAGCAATGTCAACAGCGAAAGCAACTCTATCTACCTTCAAATCAAGCAACTTTGCAAGCCTATCAATAATCAAACTAGATGACTAGCTAGTTCTGAAAATCTAAAGTGGCAAGAACAGGACAACATCAAGGCAAAAAATAGTACAGCCTCCTCGTTCAAAAGACGGGATGTGCCTAAAAAGGACGAGGAGGAAAGGGGCGAGAAAATACTGATCTGCAGATTTGACAGACTCTTTTTCACCGAAACATATTGATGTCTGACACATCAGGAGTCTGACACAACGATGTATTGAAGATGCTTTCTCCTACTACTTTTTAATCATGATACCATCTTCTTCACTCGTTATTCCTGAAAGGACTCTGCATGTACAACACTAATAGCATCGTCCGGATATCTATCTTATTTGACTCAACAATAGAAGAGATCAATCTCGATCTTAAGATTAAGATTAAGAGATTTCTGGCTTGCGACAGGCAGCGGCCAGGGCTCCTTGTTACGAACAAACACACTCTCGTCAAAAAAACTCTTCTTGTTCCTTGTAGGTTAGGTTAGGTGTGGGTCCACTAGGAAAACTAGCAGACATCAGCGGCTGCTGAAGATGTTTGATGATGATTTCGAAGATATTTTTTCCAACAGGTGGTATCGGGACGTGGAGCTCCACAGTTTTCTTCTATTCTTGGTTATTACAATAACCATCTACACAGTTTTGAACAGATACTTTCTGCTTGGTTCTTAGACTGTGATGCTAGAACCCACGACTCGGCGGCACATCATGCTCTATACAACATAGCCAAAAACGCGGTCTCTTTCAAATTAGGTAGTACAAACAATTAGCAAAGGATTCTTCAGGAATCAGCTACAAACAATTAGCAAAGGATTCTTCAGGAATCAGCTGCATAAATAGAAAAAGCAAAGTAAGAATCAAAGGAAAGCGGAACTATCTAACAACTTGCTAAATCTACACCCTGAGTTGTAGATAAGACTATTGTGTATTATTGTTGGTTCGTTTTCAATTCAAAAAAGACGCAATCGAGAAAATAAGGGTAGTTGGTTCACAGAATCCACCCACGGCAAAACAAAAAACTCAATCTTCATAAAGAAACAAAGTACTCAGGCAGTGTCGAATCAACATATGTCCTTGAAGAGTGATTCCAGTTAGAGGAATTCAGCTAAAACGAAATCCATTTGAAATCCTACCTTACTTTGACGACAGGAGTTATCACAAAAAATCAAAATCTAGTTTACCTATGCGCGTGAAACAAAAAGCCACAACACATGGATGGTCTTCAACTAGTTCACAGCGAACGCGAAAGGTCAAATAACTTTTGGATATTTTCTAGCAGAAAAAATCAAGTTTCTTGAAATTATGTTGAGCATACCAATTCTAATCCAATGAAAAGGATCCACTGAAAAGAAAATAATCCAATACATGCAGCTGGAGGAATAAAGTCGAAAAATTCTCTATGTGGTCCAAGGTAGGGTCCAATTCCAGAATTTTGTTGAGGTATAAATATATCTTGTCAATCTTCATAAAATCAGTTTATACTCTACACATGCACACGATACGCGACCGGTTTATTCTTGTAGGTCGAATGGTAAAAAAAAGTACAACTTAATGTACTGGGTGTCCAAACTCTAGGAGCTAAAAAAAGCAAGAATTACCAGCCTCCTTCTTCTCAAGAAGTTCTGCTTCTAAGTTGTAAGTTCAGAGGACAATCACCCTTTTCTGGTTGGGATAATTCTTCAACATTCAAGCGAAAGTGTGGTCCCGCCTCTTCTGAAGATGGGCTGCGACTGCTGACTGGGTGCGACGTCCTACTCCAATTCCGCAGAACGAATGGTGTCTCAAGTTGAACTCTGGAATTCTGAACAGGTCGTGGGCTCTTCTTGCATTCGATACCTCCAATTGGACCTCCTAAAGATGTTTGTGATGCTCGTTTTGAAGATGCTCGTCCGGCATGACCGGAGAATAGGCAGTCTGGAGCACTCGTAATCGAGACTCCGCTTCCAATGGAAGCGCCAACGTCGAGACTCGCAGAAGCAGAAGAATAAGGCTCCCCGCGAGGACTGGTGGCCGCGGAACTTCGAGGACTCATGGCGCTGGAGCTGACGGCGTCACGCGGACTGTGCTGAATGAAGAATCCCTCACTGGCATAGGATGGAGTTGCAAAATGCCCTTGTTGTGAAGGTTGAGGTGCATGGGGCATCGCGCTACTGGATGATGCTCCCCGCTCCAAGTCAGGCCGTGCGTCGAGCAATGGCGTCGACAAGGTGTTCCAAGCATTACCAGAAGCAGCATTTACAGTTTGACCCTGCTCAGCAGAAGCTGCGTTATTATCACCCGCTGCATTCTGTGTCGGACCATTGTTTACACGGTTGCGAAAGAGGTGTTGGGCCAAGCCGTACCTGCACTGCAAAACCAAATACCTGATGTGTTACGATTCAATTGTTCTATGTTGAAGATTTGTTTACATTCAGTTCTGTTGTGCTTACATTGAACTTTTTATTCCAGCATTTCGTCATCGTGCTACAGGTACAGCTGTACTTGTTCGCACAAAGAATTTGAAACTATAAAAACTCAAACTGGAATAGTTGTGCCAGATGAGTGGTACCCCACGGGGGGCCATAGAATTTGAAACTATAAAAAGTCAAACCGAAATAGATGTACCAGACATAGTATCCAATGAGGCATACGAGCGCGTAACTCATCTGATTGTTGAGCACAAAGACCAGGCCAGCGACCAAGAGAAAGAATTGGACTAGCACGTCTCTTAGCATCGCATGACTCAGACCCATGAAGCGCAATAGGACTTGAAAAAGCTGGTCCGGACTAAAGGTTGGCATTGCCACATTCCTAAAAGGATTAGGCAGTGAACCTGCTTGCGCGTCCGCGGTTCTGCGCATAGACTCCTGCTGTATCTCTTCTGGAGAGAGAAACGACTCGCGTCGGCTATCGGGAGGCATCATGGCGCTATGGCGAGGCACGCCGTTAGCGTAAAAGTTCTGCTCTTGTTCACGGAACATCTTGTGGTCGTTCTGTAGTTTGGTTCAGCTCTCAGATTCTAACTAGAAGCTATTATTTCGTGCTCTTTGAGGAGGTGGTAGAGGTTGGGGTCAAGACCGTAGAGGTGACCTTCGATGGTGACTTTCCGTCCGACTTTCCGCTCGAAGTAGTCCTCGCTGCAGGAGATGCCATACTAGAAGTCTCTATTCCTTGAAACAACTTCTCGCGATCTTGGGCTAGCTTCTTCAGGGTTTTCTTCCGCGCAATACCGTCAAAGTAAGCGTATTCCCTTCGAATGATATCGTCGATTTGCTGCCGAAATTCCGCTTTCACCTCGCGACCCCGTCTACTTTCTTTCGCACCCCACTCGCCTAGATTCGTTACACCCGTAATCTCAGTCTTGACTTCACTCGTAGAAGAAGAGGAAGCACGATTCGCAGAGGACAATGATGTTAGTTGTTGTCCAGCAAGCGGGAAGTTGGGACCCTCCTGGTAGAGATATCCTACTGAAGAACTCGGAGATCTGGAAGGAGGCGCACTTTTTTCTTCCGCAGTCAGCAGCACGGATCGATGTTGTAGGCAATGCGGCTTGAAATCCGGAGACCAGCGATGTCGCTCCCGGGATAGCGGATGCTTTGCTTTGAACCTACGCTCTGCTTCAGCCCGTTGTCGCTCGGCTTCTGCCGCAGCTCGTTGTTCCTTCCGTCTCTCCAGCTCCTCTTCTTCACCCGAACTAAGCGGCAAATCCAAACCAAGGATGTTCTGGGCTGGATTTTCCTCCGTCAACGCCAAGATTTTTTCTGCCTTCTTCACGTTTTGCCTGGCAGTTCTTGCAGTTGGGGATGGAGACTTGGGGTTCTTTGAAGAGTCAATATGATTCTTCTTCTTGCCGTCAAGCAACGAGCCTAGGATAGCTCCGCTGCTTCCTTCCATCGAAAACGCATAAGGATAAAGAGTGAACTTCTCTTTGTGCTCCAGCTTCTCGTCGTGCCATCCCTTTTTCCGATCAGAATCTCTTACTTAGTAGTACTTATTTGTTCTTTCTGTGTTGAGAGAGAAAATTAGATGAAAAAACACTCTGCTAATACAGGTATGAAAATTTGAATGGTAATATCACTGGATGATTTTTCTTCACAAATTGATGGCACCAATCAACAAAAATCGTTCTTTGCTTGTGTCTCGAAAAACGGTTCAGTAAATATGAAATCTCGAATATGCAGCGACGAGAGAAAGCGTCTTCCTCAATTGCGCGACAACCTCATGAAAATCGAATCCAGTACTGGAATATTCACAACCTTTACAAGTCGTATAGTTGCAACAGCCAGAATATTCCAGTTGGCGATATTTGCTACTTGGTACAAAACAAAAAATGATCACATTGCAAGGAACATGCAAGTAGAGGCTCTCTTAACACGCAATCCTTTTAAACAAAAAAATTGTCATTCAAGGGTAAAGTAAGTGACAAACAATGTTTGCAGAAAGACCTTATGAATGTAATCTCATTTACGTAATCCTGGAAGAACCTACCGTTGGGGTGTTGGTTCAGGTCAAAAAGGGGACGTAATTCGGGTCTTAGGGGACTCTATCTGCGACGACCCGCCTGCGACAACGGAAGACAAAGACAAATACACACTACTAACACTACTAATCACCACGACAACAAACATTGAGCGGCCAAGTGCTGAACACCGAAGACCGAAACGAGATGGGGAAGGAGAGTGGAGTTTTGAACGAGCTACCGAGTAAACCGCACTTTCCTTATCTCTAGTATTGATTCGTCTGTTACGAAACCCTAAAAAACGACAAGTTGTCCGACTTGGATTTCAGAACAACTTTCTCTTTAACAACTCGTCGATTTGAGACATCGCTCACAACCAACATCAATCACCTTTATGCAACTTTCTGGAGAGGGAACACAGGATACTACATCTACAGGATACTTACTACAGCTTGCGGCTCTTTTCTTCAGAGCGCTCTCTCATTGTAGAAATTAACTCCAGTTTCAGGATATTCCTCCTTGTTCCAAAGAATCGTATATTCAAGACCTACGATGATCCACAGCTGAAGTATTCATTGAATTTCGCTTTTGTTGCGGGTTAAAGAAGTTTTGGGTGAAGGAAAGGTGAGGAGCTTACGATCTTCACAGTTTAGGGAGTTTGCCAGTTTAGGGAGTTTTTCTCATGGCTCATCAGGGGGCGCTGAAATACGGCGAGTCTCCAAGCGAGTGAAGCTGTAGTAGACGACTTTAAACAGGAAGTAACTTGTACAAGGAATCATTGTACTAATTTTTACCACTGTCAATGTTCGTGCTTTTGCGAAGTTTTTTCCCTCGACTCTTTTTTTTGGTACACTGTGACACTGGCGATCTATTACCATAAAGGCATCTTCGTCTGTAGCGGAATTCAAAAATTGCCTGGATAAACGTCCTTATCTCAAGTCCCTAGCTTGTTTTCTAGAATCATTCAAAATTACGAAAGGTTCAAGATGTTTTATTTTCGCATGGCTGCTGTTTTCAGGACCTTTTGGGCGATCTTTTCAGGCGTAAAACCGAATTCTTCCTTCAGCTTTCCCCCTGGAGCACTCGCGCCGAAGCTCTCCATGCAAATCGCTAAATCAGCATACTTGCACAGGCCGAAAGACGTGCTGCAGCTCTCGACGTAGACTCGCGTGAGTTAGAGGCATTCATAACTTCTTGTAAGGCTTCTACCACCGGTTATTGATACGGTATCTATATTGCTGCCTCAAGTTCAAAACAGTTGTGGTCGTGTATTACTACTCATCTTCATTGCGGTATAGTATCACTTGAAAAACTGTCCTTAAGTGAGACCCTTCTTCGGTGCTGGGATGACGCTTTCCTGGTAGGCGGTAGACTGTTCTGCGAATAGCTCCCAACACGGAAAACTAACCACTCGCACTCGATGTCCAGCATCGTTCAAAATTTTCTTCGCTTTCACACAGGCATCGACCTCTTGGCCTGCATCGAAGTTTAATGTGAAAAACGTGTGATGAAGATAGATAGCTCTGTGTGTGTACGCATTTATTGCGTAAGTCAAAAATGAATATCAAACAAAGCAGTCTCATTTAATGACGCTCAAAAATTGATTTCCCAGCTGCTACCTAGTCGAATCCTCAATTTATGAAATACCGCTTGCTGAAAGCACGATGTCAAAATTTGCGTCTTCTGTTATCACGTAAGCTCCCTTCGCTACCTTGTCTCGAGATGAGCCGGCTACGTGCGGTGCTGTTGACCGACTCAAAATTATCGCAGATGGCCTTGTCTTATTCTCCAAGTAGACGCAATATGCACCAGAAGTTTCGTTACCTTGTTCGTCGAGTCTTTTTATTCGTATGAGAATACGAGGAATGTGCGTTACGAAAATAGTCCTCTAGAAGGTGTCACATCATGCTCTGAAAACTTATCTTGATGATTGAAAGACAAAGATGTTGAAATACAAGTTCTTGCCGAGGCTTGGCTTTAGAATAGACTTTTTGAGTAGAACTTGTAGAAGAATGTAATAGTACCATCTGCAGGTCGGATGGTGAGGAAGTTTGGGGTTGATCTTAGCAGCTGCATCATTTCAATCGGCTGATGCGTTGGTCCGTCTTCCCCGAGGTCGATTGAATCGTGTGTGCCGATGTACAGCACCGGAAATTTCGAGAGAGCTGATAACCGCGCACTGCCCCAAGCGTAGCCGATGAAGACTGCAAAAGTCGCGCAGTAGGGTAAGATAAGCGATGACCCAGTGTCGTACGGCGCGCTGTAGGCCATCATGCCATTGCAGATCCCGGCCATGGCGTGTTCGCGGACGCCAAAGCGGATGTAGCGACCTAGCGGGTTTGAAGCTTGGTAATCGTCCACGTGCTTGGTGTTGCAACTGGGCGCTAAGTCGGCGCACCCGCCAACCATTTCCGGTAGCAGATTCACCATCGCCTTGAGACATTCGCCACCGTAGACGCGCGTTGCGGCCGCCTTGCTGTTCGCGTCGTACTTCGGAAGGGCATCCTTCCAATTTGGCGGCAACTTGCCACTAATTCGGCGCTGCAATTCGCCACCGAGTTCCGGAAATTGCCCAACATACTGCTTCAGCATCGCGTTCCAAGCATGACACTTTGCGTTGCCCGCTGCTGCGTGGCCTTCAAACCTAGTTTGGCAGGTTGAACAAAAGTCCTGTCAATTATGTATCACTTTGTGCCTACACTGAACATTATCAGCTTGTTCTGTCACCATTCTAAAATTAATAATACATGTCCCGCACTGCCTGTGGCACTTGGAAATGTTTCTCTGGATCGAATCCGAACTTTGATTTCAGAGCTTTGATAGAGTCCGCGCCCAAAGGCGCCCCGTGCGTTTTTTCACTGCCTGCCTTGTCGCAGCCAAAGCCGATAGTCGTGCGCATCATTAGAGCTCACCCCAGTCCATCCCGGGGTTCGCCTTGGAACCGCTTTTCCCTTACGGGACAGCTTTAAGATGCTTCCGCAGATGGATTAGGGAAAGCCTTAACATCATCACGAAGGTGGGTTTGGCACTGCTCTTCGCCATGCGCGTTGCTGCTTCGAATTGCGACAAGTCCTCTAGGTCTCCCGTCTCTAAGCGGATCACGTTCCATCCGTAGCTATCGAACCGCTTGCCAACATCTTCTGTGAAGGCCAAATCCGTGGAGCCATCGATGGAGATTTTGTTGTCGTCGTAGAAAACGATCATTAGAACAGGATACAAATGCGGAAAAAGGTCGTATAGGTACAAATAGGGAAAAAGGTATCTGGAAAAAACTACAACTTATCAAGAACAGTTCCTTCACTCTAGTACCTGGTGAAACTTCATTTTCATCGTCTTCGTTTTTCCAGTTAGTACTCACATATATTTCGATGATTGCTCTACTATCAAATTCTGATTTCATGTATGAGCAGGATGAAAATTTCATCTTCAAAGTGGGTCATAAGATGAGTTTGTTCAGTTTCAGGTGTCCCGCTAAGGAGCACGCTTCGCTGGCTACGCCTTCCATCATGCAGCCGTCGCCGGTCAAAACATAGGTATAGTGGTCGAACAGAGGAAAGCCCGGTTTGTTGAAGCGAGCAGCCAGGTGGCTTTCCGCGAGTGCCATTCCCACCGCATTTGTGATGCCCTGTCCGAGGGGACCCGTGCACACCTCGACGCCCGGAGTACAGAAGTTCTCGGGATGGCCAGGTGTCTTACTGTGCAACTGCCGAAATTGCTTCAAGTCGTCCATAGAAACTCCGTACCTTAATTTTATATTCGACTATCTCCATCGAGAACAAGAAAAGCATGCTCCCACTAAAAAGATGAACCTCGCGTCGAATTCAGATTTGACATCAATAACGGATTAGACATTTAAGTGCGTATTCGGTATTCTCCGCAGCAGTACCCAGAAAGATGCAGCATGATGTATTGCAGTGCACAGGCATGGCCGTTGGAGAGAACGAATCGGTCGCGATTGATCCAATTCGGGTCCTTCGGTGAAATGTTCATAATTCGACTGAAAAGAGCGCAAGCCAGGGGGGCGCATCCCATAGGGGCCCCGGGATGCCCAGAATTCGCCTTTTGCACTACATCAGCCGCCAGACACCGGACAACATCCACACACGCTTTTTCATTCGCCGTGGGGGCTGTTCAGTTTGAAATTACTAATACAAGCACACTGAAAAAGTACATGATAGATTGGATCATTAATAACTAGTCATACGATTGTTCTTGCACCAGAAAGATATAAGACATAGGTTGCAAAATGTCGTCCATGCGATGACATAATTGATGAAAAAGATGTTCACTATCACGGTCAAAAAATAATATAAAATACCAATGGCGCGACGTTTGGCCGCCGGCTCGCCCTCGTGGTGACTCCCGTTTGCCGTCTTCACCATGTTGCTGAACTAAAATTAATACTTGTTTTATAGGGTTAAAAACAAGGAAGCAAAGTATGCTCTTTCAAATGAGAAAAAAGATTGAAATCTAATATCTTCAATAAAGCTTCTTCTACATCCTGTGCTACGTGTGATTCGAGGTTTGGATAGATGAACCAGGACAGTGATATAATGCTGTTGACAGAAACCACTTTTATCAGGCCTCGTTCAAACTTTGTGTGGTTTTTGTTTTCCAACCTCACCAAAACCGTTTTGACTTGGCAGGACACCGCATGTCTACTCGTCGACACAACGCAAGAATACTACACGAACCTCTTGGTTTGACACCGCACAACGTTAGAAGCCCCTTTTTAGTGAGATCAAACGTGTTTCCACCATACGTGCTACAGCTCCTATACTCCGAATGCACTGCCGCAGCATCATCTTTGCAGATGCTTTTGTTGAGAGGTATGAACCTCAATTCCTATCGGTATTGCCATATCCAAATTGCAATCTCGCATTAGCGCGGTTGAATATGCGGACAAAGCTGTGGTTGGAAAATATGCGTTTGCTTACGCCATGCAGAAGAGTGCGACGTCTAAAATCTTCAAAAGACACTGAATGCGACAGGCACACTCAACATGCAGGACGAGCGAGTGCGAGGAAAATTGATAAGACGGTTTATGTCAGAGAAATCTTAGGCAACCCGCCCAATAGATTTATATCATCATGTTAGGTATCAAAATTTCAAACGTTGAGTCTAAATGCCTTCGACAATACTTCTGAAAATTCATAGCACAATCATAGATATTCTCGAAAAAGAGTTCGCCAATATCATTATTATGCAGAGAGGCCCTGTATTCTATTGGCGCACTCCTGGCAGGAACTACTCGAGGAGAAGGCACGCATGCCGACGACCGAATGATCGCGCTCCCAAAGTTGTACGTCTGCCTACTCTTAACAGTTCGTCACGTTAGTCTATCTTCAAGTGAGAGCGGCACTGTGGTTGCGGTCTGTTCAAGATTGTAGCAGACGAGTTACCATCTTGCAGCATACGAGCAGTTGACATGGTAACAGTGTAGAAGCTTCTTCTGTGGACGACATTTGTTTGTACTAGCTACGTCATTCAAATTTATTATGTACTTAGCTGATCATGGGAGGCATTTTATGTGTCTACGACTACATGGGTAGGCGAGGGCAATAGTTGAAGGTGTTATGCAGAGTCGTAGGTGGTGGAATGGGTCGCGAATGAGGAATTTATGAAAATGCATGTTTTTCATGTCTATGACGGGCACATGAGAGGCAACAAGGTCTTCCCTTCTGACGGACTTTGCAGTCGATACGAAAGTCAGGCAGCCATCGATATATCAGACATAGGGTTAGGGAGCCAGCAATACCGCTACTATTTTCTCTCGTATTTGTTCACCCTTAACCTTCGTCCTCCTGCCGCTTCACTAGAATGGCACAAGTTCCAGTGGAGCTCCCAGCCCTGACTAGAACGGCATGAACATAGTCGTGAGTGTGAGGCCCAATTCCGTCTGTAGTGCAGTACAGCGCGAAAATTGCATCGCGTCAACCTCGGACTTTGGCACGCCGCATAGTAATAGCACTTGTTTGGCGACTGGATTTTCACCCCGAAGTGGGTATTCTACGATACTCTTCGTGTGCGTATCGTATACATCCGACAAAATCAAATCCACTTTTCGCGGATTCAAAGCAAGCTGCAGCGCATCGGAACTTTTGGAACCTTTTATGGGAATAAGTACTAGCATATTGCATATGATTTGTCAGGATGATCATGAAATGCAAGGATATTACAGGAAATAATCGAGGAGATAAATTTGCAGACTCTTCTTGCTCAGTACCTCCAGTATCACCACCGGCTGCGGCCGCGAAAGAGGAAAATTCCGAAGCATCATCGATCTCTACGTACGAACCTCGGATTAGAGCAGTTCAGGGTGTCACAACATCTTCGCGAAGCTTGTAAGCGAAACCACCATGTAAAAATTACACATCAAAATAGCACCTTCACCTCTTGACAACTACAGACACACGCAGATACTCGTCCAGCACAGCACTCGGGTGTCTAATTGAAGCATGATCTCCTTAAATCCAAGAGTGACGGTGATGACGGTTCCGCAAAGTTCTGTGCAAAAGAGTATCTTCTTTGCAGGTTCGCAGTCAGGTGGTTCTCTCGAAGCCGGTGTCTCAGCAATTCTGCCAAATAGACGGATTGAGCATCGGGACTAGTGGTATCCCGCATGCCATGAAACAGGCGAATGCGCTTTCGCGGTAGCTTCTCGAACAGGAGAGGATGCTTGGCGAGAAGCTGCCTGTCGTGGTACGTTGTAAGAATTTAGTTTTAGGGAGACCATTCATTGATTATGGAGAAGGGAATCATACTATTGTCGGAATGAAAATCATCGCGTGCGGTAATTTTCCAAGCAGGGGTCAAAATTGCTTCTAGCGGTTGTGCTAATGAACCAGATAACACGTTCATTTCTTTGAGAAAGGGAGAAAATAATCAAAGCATCAAATCACTTCCACATCACGTTAATACAATGGACTCCAATCCTCCAATGACCCGGCCGCACGATCGCCAGCGAAAACATCCAGTAGTTCTGAAGGATAGCCTGAGGCCTTCATATGATCATGCATACCTGGCAAATCGTACACTCCAGACCAACCAAAAAAGTTCTGAAACCTTTGTTGAGTAGAGTGAAAGCTTCATGCAGTTCTTCGGCTGATTGATTGATTGATTGATGTACCCAACAATTCGCATTGTGGGCCTCTTTGATTGATTTGTTCTATGATCTGCACGTAGGAGTCTGGATGTAGAAACTGTATTCATTATGCCAGAGACACATACTTTTTTTCGTCGAATCACATTTTTTGTCGCCTCCAACAAAAATTTTACATGTAGTTCTCGAGTGGTACTTAAGATCTTACCGAAAATCTTCCCGCAAAATCGCCAACAATGCCAGCATCGAACCGCACGATTGTCCTACAATCGTAATATCGTTTGGGTCTCCGCGAAACTCGGGATTTCCAATATTCTGCTTCACCCACCTAAGGCCGTCTCGCACATCCTCTACCATCTCTGGGAAGGTGGCAGCTGGATAGTTTTGATAGTCCAACGCGACAGTGAGGACTTTGCCGCACTCATTAGAATTGTTGCCGTGTCTACCACAACGAGTTCTCCCTGAGTACTGGTTGTAGGGATTATAATCTAGGATTTATGAGGGAAAACTGACCGGTAGAATCCGTTTGGTTATACTCGAAGACTCGACGAGAAGGCCACGACGAGAAGGCCACTCGGTCGGTCATCCTTTGTAATCAGTAAGACATAAAAAACCAACTAGCCATAATTTCAGCAAGGTGCTGTCCGAGCGAGGTGCCGAATATCCTGTGGCCAATAAGCCACGCTCCGCCAGTGACGACGACCACAACCGGATGAAATATGAAAGTGGAATAAAAGGCTGAACTACAATAAGTGTTCACCGTCCAAAACAACTTACATGAAAAAATAGTAGAAATTCTACATAGTACACCTTCACCTACTTCAGCGAGATAGCATTCCTCTGTAGGCCGTACATAGTTGTCCAGGATTTTGCTGTGAATTTCCTGGTGCTGATCCTGGTCCACCGCTAGAAGGCGAGTAGCGTGCTCTGGGCGGGCCAAGACCACGTAACTGGGCACCAAACTTTCCCTCGGGGCTACCATAGTTGCTTTGAAACTTGATGACGCCCGATGAGCACTGAGATCCTGCCTGCCTGCTTTCGATGTGGTCGAAAAATCCACGCGGAAAATACACATCAACAGTCTGCCTAGGCCCAGGACCATAGCTGTCATTAGAGAATGACCGACAGTAACTGTCAGAAAATCAGCCCTTGGAGAAGTATAGGAAAGGTCATCTTCGACGAGGAGCAAGAAGACTCAAACCAGACACGAATGATTAGTGTCTAACACTTGAGCAAACTACCTGAACAACACCAACAACAACAACAGGTTGTGAAGATTCATAAGATAAGTCCGCACTTCACGCCACCATCGGCACATCAAATCCAGTACGCCAGGCGCAACAGCGAAGGCCACAGGGAAGCATCCACCGACAAATTTGACTATGGTGTACCCTAGTTGAATCCAGAATCGCGGATTGATGCACAGCCACGCAAAAAACAGAACCCGAGGGTTCAAATAACGCATTGCCATGGTATGAAGATTGTCAATTGACTACGTGCTTGTGCCTTGGTAAGTTGTGTGACAAATACTTGGGCAGGTTACGTATCCAAACGAAACAGATTACGTTCGCCTATCGAAGTCAATAAATTTCTTTCATCGAATAAAACAACTGCCCCAGTAGAAGTACTAAACCTTCACAAAAACACAATGAGGAGCTGTAAAACTACCCCCAACATAAAACTCCAAAAGCATAATGCGGCGTTCCTTGACCTGCAGCTGCTGCGTTGGCATTGTACAGAGACTTGCTGCCACGCAGGTAGGATCTGTCATAGTCCTTTCGAGCGGCAAAAGGCGATATCTTTCGCCACGTCTTTCGTATCTCTTGGCGTAGTAGCGTCCACGTTTCCACTACGATGGTCCACACGATGAACGGCGGCTATGAAATTTTCAAACCACTCGACTAAGATGTAGTAATGGTTTTTTTCATAGAATAAAAAATATATGAGGTTCTTCTCTTTGCACAGGAGATCCACGTTCTCTGCAGATATCGATTCTTGTTCTTTGTAGATGTCATCTTTCTGTTTTTCTTTACCTGACCCAAGTTCAGAGGAAAGACTTAGTACAACTACCTAGTTGTAATATCTACTTTCAAGAATTGTACACTGAGATAGAGGTCAAAATAGTAGCATCCATCAAAATAGTTCCATAAACAGTAGGTGATGAAGAAATAAACCGACTGTAGCAACATCCACACGAGTCCAGGTGGGGGTGGCGTAGACTTCGTGCTCTTTCCACTGCTATCACTTCCTACGCTCCTGCTCGTGTCTAGGGCGGGCTGGCGGGGGACTGAAATTTTCGATACAAAAATCCAAGGTGTTGGTTGAGTAAGAAATATGTCTGAAAATGTGACTACATCGCCTTCCCCTTTATGTTGGTGAAATCCCTGCCTACTACTACTAACCTTGCCTTTCTGTTGTACGGGTGCACAAGTATCTATAGGTTGTCAACACAAGGCCTTGTTGCTGTGAAGGTTGATGTTGTAAACACAAAAATTAGGATAGTACTATACCTTGCCCTGTCAGTCCCGCCGATTCTTTGCTGGCACCAACGGGCTCCTCTTCGGGCGATAAGTCTCCGCCACTTCCTTGGCTTACTTAGAGGTAGCTTTTCACTATCCCCGGTTCAGTGAGTTACCACTATGATCGCCCCTATTTTCTTCTTGATTTCGAAGGGGAATCCACTCAGCATAGTCCACATGGGATAGTCAAAAACTAGTCTTACCTTACGGTGTAGAGGCTGTTGACGTCGCTGAAATCGCTAGGAGCGTAATTCCAACTTCTCAATAGAGCCTCCATGCGGTTTTTGTCGACATAAGTGAAGCGATCCGAAGTCCAGTAGTCTTCGAAGGCCCAGTGATCGCCGTTATATACGTTCAACATGCCGTGGTCCGAGGACACGGCCTCGGGACGCCGAAGCGACCACATGGTTCTAAATGCTTGTTAGGATGGTGTACGTGTAGACAGCAAGTAGTTCTTGTTCATGTCATCTGGTCGCTCCATGTTATAGTTGAAGCTGAACTATCGAAGTTGCTTTACTTATTCATTATGCGTGAAGTTCACTATTTTTCTGTTGTAGAAAACCTTCTAATACAACTTTTGCAGCGCATCAAATCGCGCTGACATTCTTCTACTACTGACGTATATAGTTCTGTACTTTTTTGGTACTGTAGTTGAAATTTTTCGTGTTCCAGGTTGCGTTGCTAATAGTCTAATTTTCTTTTAGAAACTAAAGCTAGTTGTCCGATGTTTTATTTTCCACTCTGAGGTAAGGAGGCCTGCTAATTTACAACGAGTCGAGAAGAGAAAGAATTGCAAGGTTCTCTTAGTGAGTTCGCCTCTATCACCTTTGATGAAATTAGGCGAACGCACTCCGCGGACTCGATTTCGTGAAGTCACCATCCCGTTCGTTCGTCGTGTCGAATATCTTATCACATCTGTCACATCACACTGTGTCGGAAATCAAGAAGTATTCATTGCGCAAGTTCTGTTCGCCATCATATCTGGGTCCATTATGGTAAGTGAAAAAAGAAGGAGTATTACAGCTAGGATGAGAGGAAAATCGTTTGTCTTCAGCTTCATGTCATGTGTGCGCCAGTCCTGATATGGCCACTCGTGACCACCGTAGAAGTAGGCTATGAACTACTTCAGGTTCGGAAGAAGACACTACTTCGTTGGCGGAATGTAGGCATTGGTGTACAAATGCCTGCCCTTCTTCAGCATGGCCATTTTATTGTCCTTTCGCTCAATGTAATCACCCGTGCTTCCAACATCACCGAAGAAGAACAGCGAGCTTGATGGCGAGTCAATGCCGTTATCCGGGAACGTCTTCGTGTCCGGACTGTCGCGACCATACGGCATCATATTGAACCTGGACGAGAGATAATATGATAGCTACAAGAACTCCTATGGAAAAATCAAAGTGAGTTCGTGCACTGAAATCACAGTCAAACAGACACGACAATCACGACTACTTACTCTGACATCAATCTTTTACTTATGTATCTCCTCCACAAAGCAATATTACCGCCAGCTAAGGGGTTCCATCAGGGGTTCCACTGGGCAGGCTTCAGGCTGCAGCTTTTCTAATAGCTTACTGAAATCTCGCGTCTGCGTCGCCTCTGCCAGTGCCTCTTCCCAGAGAGCTTCGAGCTCAATTACTTTCCTGTATTTTGAAATAGTTGATATAATAGTTGCCAGTGTCAGTTCAGAAGGAAAAGAACAGCTGAGGCCGTCATTCTCATTCCCAGAAGAGATGTGAATCATATTATCATACATGCTACAATACATCCACGCATCCATCATGTATTAGAGCGAAAGAGAGGACATCCTCCACCTAGCACTATTTGATCAGAGGTACCGGCAACCCATCTGTTAGAACATCTTTTAGCCTATTCCAAGAAGGAATTGGCTGAAAGATTGTGTAAAAGATGGGTTGACGGTACCCATAATTTGATAGTCAAACAAAGTACAGGTTATATTTCTGGAGGCGCGCTTCCTGGTCCTCGCTTTCTGATGCAAAGAATCCGCTAGCCCACATTTTTTGGGACATTTCATGAACCTTCAGCTTCTCCAATGTCATATAACTTTCTGTTTGGCCGACGACATACCTTTGTGATGGGGATGGGTTGCCTCTTGAGATTAAACCGAAACTACACAGTAGAGTCTACGTGAGTTAGTGGCGACAATCCAGGAGACTTCGCAAGGCGCATCATCTTATCATTTCCAAATCCGACTACGTAAACAAGTTGAAAAGCATCTTCTGACAAAGCAACATAAAAAGCATTCTAAACTTCTACACCGTAAGCGTAAACTGTAATACGACACGAAGATGTTGTAGCCGAGAAGCGCGCCCAGTACTCCGAGACATTTGAGGCCAAAACCTGGTAAATTCCTGTCGCACTCCTCGACCACTATCCGCAAACTGCTATCGTACATCTTTACTACCGTTTTGTACATACTTCCCATCACGAGCTCCATCGTTGGTCGTTTTGATCGCAGCCATAACCTGAGGTTGCATATCGACAGGTTGTCCCCTCAGATCTAGTTGTGTGTTCAATTATATCATAATTGTTTTTTTCACGACTTGGTATGAAACTACATTGCAGAATCAAGACGGAGTGCAACTGAAACCTGTAGAAAGATCATCAGTAGCGTACTACGTTATTGGCGCGTAGTTGTAGTGGCCAATGTAGAAGTGTTTGTCTGGAATGGTTGGCTGGTAGGTGTATTTGTGGTAGTCCTTTTCTGGTATGCTCCACCCGGGATGTAATTCGCCGCCCCCACCAGCAAAAAATCGCTTCTGTCCCATTACCGCGGCGCCAGTGAATGGCGATGATACTCTTCTAGAAGTGGTCCGAGTTGCAGGACTAGAACCAAGCCTGAAAATTCGGGAGCCCGTGCTCCCTACAGCTGGACATGACATCTTCTCGGAGGCAGAAGATGTGTAGTTGCACTTGCAGAGTCGTGTACTATAACTATTTAGCTTCTGAAGATTATAAAGCAAATTAGTAGAAGTGAGATATTCCGAGAGTACTGATAGATATGATCTTCGGAAAAACAAGAAAAAATTGAAACTATTCAGTTAATCTCTTAGTAATAAAACTTCTCAGCGTCGTGTAGCAACGACTACGTAGTGGAAAGGCATTTGCTTTCAACTATCTGATGGCGTGTGGAGGTCCTTGTGGTCGTGTACATCTTTCTTCTGTGCGCAGAGACTAATGTAGAAATTGTCTGACATTCTTCGGACACCAGCTACATCTCTTCTTCTCACGCAAAACGTCCTTGCACTCTGCTCCGCAATAAAAGGGTTTGTTGTGGTTTTCGTTTCTACTGAAAATCCCAATGTAGTAAAGCTTCCCTTCTGGCGCGTTGGGAATGAGAATCTCATCAAAATTGCGAATCGGTTAAGGAAAAGCACTTTGCTAAGACGTGACCATGTTTTGTTTATGTTCAGCGAATAATATCGCAAATGCAGTTGCGATGACTTTTCTACCTAGAAAAGACAACTGATGTTTGCCCATGTATACTCAACATCAAATTACAAGAACCACGAAGAACCACGCCACTCATCAGTCGGGCAACCGCCTACCGTGCGGACTGTCGGGTCTACGCACTTTTAGTGCGTAGTCGCTGTTCCGCCACAGCCAGCCTCCACACTTGCGCCGCATCGGCCTTCCGCCATAGCGTAGTAGCTTCTTGTATTGCGGTACAAAGGGCTCCCATGGTTTGGCATCCCTCAAAAACCTCAGTTGGTGTCTGGCCTCCTCTACCAAGTGCGGTTGTTTCTGCTGTAGAGCTAAAAACAAATTCTCTAGTAAAGCGTCCGGGACCTCGCTGCGCCCGTTCGCGTTGATGGGCTTCAACTCGGCAAAGGCTGATGGAAGAGGGGGAATGCAGTAGAATAAGTCACAATACAACTGTAAAGAATTGTTTGAGCACAACATCAGTTCGTTTTCATTCAATGACTAGAAGAGAAAAACGTACTTACAAGTGGTACCGATGCGCCTTCCGTGTTTACTCCAAATCGCGCCTATTGGTGATCTCGCCTGCGTCTCCAGAGACGACAACAGTCTAACTTTACCGCTTCTGCCACAACCTAACGAGCGAAAGGCCCATCGTCGCGAGGCTGCGTCGAAGTCTAGAACTACTCCGGATATCGTAGGAGGTGAGGCAGATCTACTTCTACTTCCTACGGACGAACAACTTGAACTAGCAGAACTACTAGGTTTCCAGTTTATGCCATTGACTAGGTGATGTCCCTGTTTCGAGGGTTGTGTTTCCCGCTTGATAAAAGACGGGAGCCGCAGTGTCTGCGAAAGACACTCAAAATCGTAGAGACCATGAATGTGCGTGCTCAAATTGTTTGACATATCAGGTGACGAGCGCCTTGCTTGGTTCTGTGCATCGAGAGGACGCCGGCGTCGCGGTCGAACCGTAAAAACAGCTAATGCAGGGATACTGTGGTACGCCAAGCCGAGTTGAAGCGTCCTCTGCATCTGCTCTCTCAGGGCTCCACCGCCTCCTCTGCTATTTTTTTCCATAGGCCGCTTGAAGAAAGAGTCTAGAACAGAGACTCGCTGTTGTAGGACCTGGAGGCGCGCTGTGATCGCACTGAGCCGCAGCTGTGCGCTTTTCCGACTGCAAAAGACCACCGATCGCCACCTACGATGACAATAACGAACTCTTCTTCTATTGATAGAATGAGCACGCCCCTGGTCTTGGCTATTTGAAGACAGTCCTTGCGTTCTGGTTCCCTGCTTCTCCACCATCGACGATGACGACGACGACTGTCCCATGCTTAGCAGCAATTTTTGATTTACTCTCAGGCGCGAAGACCATGAAGAGTCGTGTTGCTTCTCGTTCTCTACTGCACCACCACAAGGCACTAACCGCTTCTGCCAGAACGCTTGTATCGGAAGCAAATGTCGTATTTCGTGTTGTGCACAACGTCGAGAGACCAACAACCTTGCTGTGCTTAACAAAGGCAAAATCTTCGTGGCACAGTCTTCAGGATATCTAGACTCCAAAGCGCTCAAAAGTGAAGCCGTCGCTCCTGCATTTCGCGCTTCGATTGCAGACTCTAACTGGAGCCGGAGTGAGTTGAACCGACTCGTTCTGGAGAATGCAGTTGCCTTAGGGGAAGATTGTGCTGGGACACTTTTACTATTGCCCAGCGAAGAAGGTGCAGACAGCGCAGAAGGCGAGGATAACACTTTCTTCCCGTCAAAAGTATCGCTAATCCCTGCCCCTCCTGTTCCCGCCGCCGGTACAACCGTATTATTCGATACGCCTACTTCTAGGTGCCCTTTTTCTGTGAGAAAGCGTTGCAGGGCTTTCCACGACAGCGCACGGTAGAGAACTTCCCCAGTTTCCTGCGCGAAACACACATATTGCGCATCCGTTGCCGGGATCTGCCAGGTTGTGTCCATCTCAAAGTCGGCACTTCTCAACAGAAATGGCGGTCTCACACGTCGCCTGCCGCCTCTCGAGGTCCTACGCCGCATTGGAGAGCTCATGGACAATCCTCCTTCTGCTGCTAAACGTGAACTTGAGCTAGAACAACTTGTGGAGCAGGAAGAAGAAGAGCCCTGCAACGTCTCCTGCCCACTTTGGTCGACGTTCCCCTTGCTCATACCACTAGAAGTCGACGTTCCGTGTCGTGCTACGGCCTTTGCGACTTTTGCGCCTAGTGCAGTGGCCAAAGCGGAGTCGATTGCGCTGCTTGCGAGTGCTTCCCGTGCCGAATCGCTGCGAATCATCTTGACGACCACTGGTACCTTCGCACGACGCGCGAGTAGTTTGGCTCCCGGCAAGGAGATCGGACCAGGAAGCGACCTGGAGGACATCCTCGTCGCTGGCTGCATCGTTGTCGGCAAGGATCCGGTAATCGATAGAAAAAAGAGGTGCTGGTACGAATCAGACAATCAACATCTTTTTGTGTTGGCTGATAAGTAACGCGAACTACAAGAGAAATGTACGAAAATTAACTTTTCGTCGTCGCGTAAGTCTGCGTCCACGTTGCCCTTCCGCAAATGAAACAAAAGTACATCATGCGAGGGCACCCTTCTTCTGCCAGAATATCGAAAGAACGGAAAACGCCTACTTTTTCTGGGAAGCACACTGCACAAATCTTCTCCGTGTCAACAAAAATCACAGCAACAACATCTCTCACAACTGCCTCCACCTCTCATGGGCAAAAGCCTATAGAGCTTCTTTGTATGCAGGAATGTGGACACTGCTCGGTCTCTCGAAATCATTTGTCGTGGACACCAGAAAGACCCTGGTACCAGGAGCTGTCAGACTCTTGTCTGTTTGCAAGGAAGACATTCGAGGTCTGCTGTAGAAGTTGAACTTGAAGTCTTCTATTGTAGAAGTAATAGGAGCAGAAGATGAAAATTCAGACTTGGGACTCAGTTTAACCATGTGTTAGCGGGAATCTTATGTGGGAACGGGATACTTCATCATCTTTTTTTACAAGAGAGGAATATATTCACAAGTTATACAAAAATCTTCTGGGGTTCGTCAATGCCGAAGAGAGCCACACAAGTAGCTTTCAACGTACCAGAACCCGAAAAAATGAGCGCCAAACAACACATAATCTATATGTGCATTGCTGCTCTTCCTGGCAAGATTTTTGCGTAACTACAAGTAAATCTCTATGATCCAGCCAATCATGATCTTCCTAGGCTTTCTCTTTAGCGCTTGAGCGCTTGTGCCACTTGCGCCTCCGGCAGTGGCGGTGGCACCTCCATGTGCACTGGAGTTGTGAGTGTTTGGCGAACCTGGAGAAACAGGTGTCTCATTTGCACGACTTCCGAACCCCGCCAGAGACTTACGGCTTCGTTTGCATCGGCAATAAGTCTGCTGATGTACGCTACTTTCATTGGCGGTATACGACTGGTCACGGACGCGGCTGCACCGTTTCCGGCAGCCACATTGGCGTAAGGTCCACGTTGTCGGATGAAGTCAAACAGGTCGTCCAACACTTTCGCAAACGAGTGGCCCCCTTGTACTAAATTTTTCGTGATGTACTGACACAATCGTTGTTCTGGGAGGTTATCCCGCTCCATGCAGAGCTGCATCAGGCCTCCCAGCGTTTCCGCTGGCACGCGTTGGTAAAGATGATAGAAATTGTCACCCGTGATTAGAGCAGCTTAAAATATTTTATGAATGAATGAATGAATGAATGTACCCACTCCAGGAGTAAAGAAGGGACCACTACTGACTAAGTGCTTTCACTTCTTTGGTTCATTTTCCCAGATTCTAGAGAAATCCTAGAAAGTTCACTTTCCCAGATTCATTTTCCCTAAGAATCCTAGAAAAAAACTAAGAAGCAGACATTGGAGAAATGAATTACTTATATATCAAGCCTTAATGTGAGGGCGTGCGCTTGCTTCGCTATCTGGTCTCCACGGCCCTCTTGTTCTGCAAGAACGACCTTGGGTCTCACGAACACGCTGTGCGCCATCTGCAATAATGTAGTGCTCTTACGCAAATCGCCGCCAGCAAGGAAGAGCAAAACGTCCAAGTCCAGTGGAGCCAAAGCGGCAAATGAAGGAAAACAGTAGGAAGTGGGCTGTGAAGTAACTCCTTATCCCCTCACCTTATGGTCAAGAAGGACCTGGGTTGTACACCCACTAACAACTACTACCAACAACGGAAAAATGCAGCAAACCCTTTCTCATAGTCACGTTCTCAGTCACAGGAGAAACTGCGGCTTCTTCCAACAAGAACTACCACATTACTTATGAATGATTATCGTCGAGGAAGAGTTGTCTCAAGAAGCATCTTGCCCAAAGTACAAACACCAAGCTGAAATGCCAGATATCAATGCTTTCTTCATAAGATTTTCTCCGCTGTGCAAATGCCTTGAAGATGGGTGCGGTGATCGCCGTCGGGCAGCGGAGTGAACTCGAATTTCATACAACGACTATGAATCGGATCGATAATTCGACTCACATAGTTGCACAGAATGATAAAACGCGTTGTTCGCACATGCTGTTCCATAATACGGCGCAAAGCGCTCTGCGCCTCCCTCGTCATCTGATCTGCCTCGTCCAAAATAATTACCTGGCGTCGTGAGAGGATGAGGGTCTTGTTCAATAAAAAAGTGGTTGCTCAGAATATTAGAAGAAATAGAACAATTTTTACTCGAGATGAATCTTTCTTGAAGAGAGAGACGTCAAATCTTCGATCCTAGAGAATGCACCCTGGCCCTCCAAGCAAATTGAAACAAAAAAATAATTCCTAGTACCTTGATTTGCAGTTTCGAGTGTTTGCTTTGTCCGCCTACACTGAGTTGCGAGAAGGTCTTGACTCTGCTTCTCACGGCATCGATTCCGCGTTCGTCTGACGCGTTGAGTTCCAGAACACGTCGTTCCATGTCACTCCCGAACAGTTCGTGGCAGAAAGCCAGTGCCGCTGTCGTCTTGCCCACGCCAGGAGGTCCGTGAAACAAAAAACTAGGAAATTCCTGGTCTCGACAGCAGGCTTTCAAGAGTTCTACAGCCTTCTTCTGAGCCGCAATAGCGTCTAGTGATTTCGGACGGTACTTTTCCGTCCACTGCTTTTGGTTCTTCGATTTCGATGGAGCAGCAGCAGCAGTTGTAGTAGATGCTGTGGTTAATCTCGACCCTGTTGCGCCACCTAGCCCTCCTCCCAGTCCCATCTTCATCGGATCATTGGGATTACTATTTGGCGCATTACTGATTCTATTCTTCAGGTCCGAGGACAAATTGTCTTGCTGCATCATGTTCACCCCTGACCCGTGTCCATTCCCGTGTCCTCCCTGCGAGTGCCGATGCGAGGGCATCGACGTACTACTTTTCGAAGATTGCTCCTCATTCGTCTTCAGCCGCTTTGCTGCAGGTGACCCATCCCCCGCATTTGGCTGAGCAAAGGCAAACAGCGTAGGCAAACCGGACATCTTTCTTGTCGTTGCTAAGATTGAAGATTCACTTCTTTTAGGTACAGAACGATAAATTCATCGGTTGTCTAAAAATCTGCTTAGTTCTGGTAGTACAGCTGAAGTAAGTACTCAACAAAATAAATACCCAAAACAAAAAAACAATCCGAAACGATCCAAATCGAGTATGTAACCAATCCAGTAGACTAAATTTTGCCTTCATGGTACCTATCTACATCTAGTACTGAAAAAATATTTCTCAGCTGCTCAAGATGACCATGACCACTCCTGCCTTCTGCCACGCTGTTGTCGTTGTCATATATTTCTGATCGATTTGAAAACCGATCTGAAGAAGAGCATTCGAGGAATTCAGAACATCCCAAACCTGAGAAGAGCATCGCCGCAAAGGACACCTCCTTCGCGTTCTTTGCCCAACATTCGTCACTCAACAGGCGTTGTACTGAACGAAGAAAGTCGTGGCAAGTAGGGGAACTATCAAATATGTGACAAAAATATCAATTTTGTGCGAGCATTGATGCGATGCTGCATGAGACAGGTAGTGATGTATGTAAAAACCATCGTTGCGCGATATGGAGAATAATTGATGTTGACCATGTAGTACTAGTGGGCTGTTGCCGCACACTCGTTTCGACTGCAAATTTCTTCACAATGTGTAGGCAATGATGGCCTCGAGGGATGCGGCATAGGATAGGATAGCATTTGACTCGCCATCCACAGTTTTACCTGCATGCGGCATCAGTAAGATTCCATAGCATCATATTTTCAACATTATTGATGTGATGCCACAAGTACAAGATATTTACATGATGGAAAAGTCAAGAGCAGAAATTTAGTGGAACACACCATGGCTTTCTTAGACTCCGCTTTGGACATACAATGCATATCATAATGACGCGTTGATTGACCTTTTGTCTCCCCATTGGTCGTTAATTAATTGGTATGTGTATGACGCATTAACATTTGCGCTCATAAAAAAAAATCGAATTAGTGGCCATGACATAATAAACATGTTAACGAAGAAGTGAACAATCTCCAAACATGATTGTACAAAGTAACAAAGGGCGTGCAAGCGCAGAATTGACAGCAGTGAGCGATATGAATTCTTTGAAAGGACATAAATTCTTTGAAAGCAACCCAGCAGCTCATGCATCTGCACACGCGGTGCTGCTGCTTTGTTGACGTCCAGCTCAAATCTGAAAAGAGCTAAACTACTAGACAATCCGGATAGTTAGACGAGGTCAAGCTAGTAGTTGAATTATGAAGAAGTACTCCCACAGATGTCCTTGAAATGAAAATCATCACGAACTTGAACGGGACCTCCAGCTCCTGTATTTAAATCATAAATTTTTCTTATTTCAGTAACTTGAACTTAAGATACCAGGCTCGAGTAGACCCAGACACTGCAGATTACAGCACTTGCAATCTGTAGTTTTCGTCTCTAGTCCACCTCTACTGGCGGTTACTAATTTTCATAAGGTCGATTCAAAACATTCTTGAAAGACATGAAAAATTCGACCCAAAGTATAAGAAAATCCCGTTGCAAAAAAGACTTCTATACTAGATGAGTGTACAAATTTCCTGAAAAAACAGTACATATTTCCCTCTGTTCTCTATTCGAGGACAACCTAGTGTAACCCTTCCGGGAAGTAAGGCTTCCCTTTGATGTTCTCTATTCAAGCAGAACGGTGCAATCAAATCTAATTACGACAACGAACTAAGTTCTATAGCTTCGTGCGCGACGCTATCAAGGTTTCGCAGCGTGATTCTGATCGCATCCCAGTACGGGAGAACCTGGTACTTCTGCCCGTGGCGTTCAAAGATTAGAAACGAAAATTGAAAATTCAAAATAAAATCTCCGTGAAGAACGAAAATCTTCCAGAGGAGAAAAATCAAATCCCTACAAAAATCGTCCTGACTTCTACGGAGCAAAGAAATCTCCTCCTTAAGAAGAGCTTGCGAACTCTTGGCGCTACTTCCGGGAACCGGAACTGAGGCATCTGCGGCCACAAGTGATGCTCAATCTGGAAGTTCAGGTACGCCATCCACCAATTAGTCAAAGGATGAGATTCGCAATTCATAGTGTGCTCGGCAGCGTACCTGTGTGGTATGGAACGAGATGTGTGGCATGAAGTGCTCGCCTACGCCCCCGTGCTTGCACGAGGTCATGGATCATACTATGGGGCTGCATTTCCAATCACTTCATAACCTTTGTTCTAAGTGAGTGCACTCAAAATACGAGCGCCAGAGTAATTTTAATTTATTCGGCCTCATAAGAAAGACGGACTATGTTGTGAAGGCACCTTCTCATATGAGTACTCTGCCCAGTTGCGGTGCTCTTCCTTTCCCACGACCGGCAAATGCGTGTGCGAGACCGCAAAATTTGTGAAGATATAGCTAGCTGCGATCTGCGTATACAACACATAAAAACCAAAAGCGCCGGTGAACGACCATCCGAGGCCCCCCATAAGTCCCGAGTAGAAGACGACATACCTGTTCAGGAACGACTCGTTGATTGGACCACTTCGAATGGAGGTAAAATGAGAAAATACTGATCGTACGATGAAATTCAAGGTCAGAAAACCTGCTCATGATCTTTAACAATTTTCATACGTAGTTTGCATGGAGGGATAAGTCTAAGGTAAGAGGGAAAAAAGAATTTTCATACCTTAGTGAAAAGTGACTCCTAGTCGAGCTTCATAAGTGAGTCCTGTGTACAGCTTAAAAAGTGCGGGTGTCTCATGCATCGCAGCAACAGTAAGTACTTCGAGAGTAGTACCGAAGTCCCATCCAGAAAAGCTCGAGAGTGTTTCCTGTTCGCAGTGCGTGACGCGGATGCAAATAAAGCTGCCAAAAAAAAGCCACTAAACCGCAGATGATCGGAGAAAACAGATAGGCCTGGTTCTTCAGCCACAAGAGTTAGAAGAAGGGATCGTATAATTTCTTGTTCTTGTTTCGGGTATACAGTCATTGTCATCTTAAATCTTTTTCGACCAATAAAATACCCTGTATTCGCAGAGTCAAAATTTGTTGAACGGGCGGCTGCCGCTCTGACAGTTCACCTTCTCTAATTATTAGATATCATACTTCCGCCTATGCTAGAACTACACAGAATCGCCTTGCTTCTGTAGCTGGGAATTGCAAGTTCCTGTACCGACCAGAAACTAGGAAAAGGCTCTATGATCTACGGACAATCAATTCCTGTAGCTGTACATTCATTTACAAAGAAACAATCTGGTCGTTCTTTCCTTTCATTCATAAAGGGACGCCCAGTGCCCGTTCCACGCTTTTACCAGCTTTCGTCCAATCTTCGTGTCGGTGACTGCCCCCGAGTGAAAGGCGACGAGGGGCAGAGTGTCCAGGTCTACATCGTGCGCGACTTTTTGCGGGGTCGCGTGGTGCTTGTTGTGCTGGTTGCGCCACCAGGAACCGGCCATGCCGCATCCGACACCATAACTGCATTAGAGCTACAGCGTTTTAGTACCACTGACTGCATCCTTGCCGCCTTTATTTTCTCTTACGAAAACGGCTAATAATAATGCTCTGTAAGATGGGTGCTCTCTGTTGCCTTAAATGCACTGTTGAAGACGCAGGTCCACTTTCATGCTGCCCGTCAAACTGTAGTGGCCGCCCTCGTGCTGGAGCCAGCCACAACGGCCCTGAGCGATTCCCATCACCAGCGCGGCGGCCAGGACTAGACAGCCTGTGAGAGCCTGCATCAGTCCGCCGTTACCGGAAGGCACCTGTGCAAGCACCCATGCGCCCAGAGCGTGCAAATCGCGTTAGAGTATGTAGACGAACAAAACCTAATTTATTCACTAGGCTCCAGCATCATCCACTTCTTCAAGGTCACCTTAGATAGTCATTCTTAATTCCTAAATACCCAATTTCGAATCCGGGTGTATGCCTCCACGACCTCATGGTTTACGCTCTGCCCACTGCGCTCAGAGACGTGCTAAAAAGATATATCAGAGTTGTAACATAGATGTAAGTATCATTTGATAAACTAACATATGATCATAAAAAATGATCTCAGCAACTCGGTAGACCGCATGGCCCGGACTTGGCTCAAAGTAACCTTCTTTCTCCAGATCGCTCTCCAGCGCTCGAATGTCTGCTAGCAGCGCTTGGTTTCCCACGTTGCTTAACATGAAAAAGAGGTGGAGAAGATCTGTCAAGTCAATTCGCGGATCCCTAGGACAGCAGAGTTGGACCTCACCGACAGGGGTGGATGGAGATGGCAAAGGGGATCGCCGACAGCTTGGATGCAGATCGGAAAGAGGTGGAACTGCAATCGCGCTAATGGGCGGTGGTCTTGTTGCGAGGGGCGCCAGGCACGCTTCCCGCCGCTTCACTTAACGGCCCCGCCGCGGCGCTTGACGGTTTCGCCGCGGCGCTTAACGGTTTCCCCGCGGCGCTTAACGGTTTCGCCGTCGCGCTTAACGGTTTCGCCGTCGCGCTTAATGGGTGCGCCGCGGCGCGTAGCGGTTTCGCCGCGGCGCTTAACGGCTCCGCCGTCGCGCTTGACGTCGCGCCGTCGCGCTTCGCAGTTTCCTCGCGGCGCTTAACGGTTTCGCCGGGCCGGGTGCTGCGCTGTACCAGGGGCCTCGCGAGGCACTTAAGCAGTGAACGGGCCGCGCGCTTGAGTGGTGAAGGGGTGGGGCCCTTGAGTTATGGACGGGGCCTTGACGCTACAACTCAGCGTCTGCACGTACCTATTTAGAGCAGAAATACTCGTCAACCACTTTACACAGTAAAACTAAATACTAGAAAATTATGACGCGACAGCGACGCCGCTGTGCATGAATATTAACGAGAACCAGCAAAAACACTTCGACTTCGAGACCATTGTCCACACGAGTGCATATCATACAACTACCCGATTGTTATCAGTACGCAAGCGGGTCAATTAGCCGTTCTTTACGGAGTTCATAAGAAAACGGTCAAGCTCCGCTCGGTCTTGCGGCTCCCGCTGGGGAAGGCGGGCTAACGTGGTAGCAGCGCGCTTGGACCGGTGATGAAACTGCGCGAAGGCATCGGTGCCGTCTGTTCCCGCCATAAAACGAAGAACGCGCCCACCCGGATGTTTTTTGATATAATTCGTGACATCCACAATCCGGTCTCCGATCAGTATCTCGAGCGTGCCGTTGTCTGCCTCAACGGCCGGTCGTGCCGCACAAATTAGAGGAAGGTAATTGTGCTCGTGGAACCCAGTCGCAGATGAAGCCGCGCGCAGGATGTCTCAAGTTGTCTTCAGTTGATGCTAAGTTGTTGCGAATGTCACGGATATCCTATTCAGTCGACTTTGGAAGCTAATGCCCCACGAACATTCCTTTTCAAACAATTTAAAAATACTAAGTGTACGTCATGCGACATCGATCCGTGGCAGCCTTAACAAAGCCGCCTGCTCGGGTTTTCCAGCCTTTCCACCAGCTGCGTTTTGCGCTGTTTCCAGTAACGTCCCCGAAATCGAAGGTGGAGCAGCAACCATCCTGCGAGACAAGTTGTGTCAACAGTTTTCTATTTGTAAGACCACCTCTCTGTTCTACTTTTAAGACGGCGAGCGCAGCTATTGTGTCTGTAGTTGCTTACCCCTCCTGTACACTCGAAAGTGCTGAACCAATTGCTAATTGAGTTGAGGACAAGTAGGCGCCTGTGATATTAATGTTTAGCCTCTTCTAGGTTCTAACTCTATACGCTTTGAAAAGCAAAGTAGGAGAATTGAAAATTACTCCTGCTCGCAAACACAAATCTCTAAGAACGAACAACTCGGAAAGCAAATGCGGTTTGAGTCTACAGCATATATGATTGTCCATGTCAGCATCTTTTTCTGAAAACATTTTGTGTCGGAACCGCTTTTGAGGAGATCACCATGTCCCGACTCACTCAGACTCTCGTTTACAAATGTGCCAATTTGAAGATCGGTATTTGTGCATACAGTTCCGATAGTGATGCCATGATGAACACGCCAACAGCACTCATCGCTGCAGCTGCGGGGCAAAACCCCTGGCTCGCCTACACGTGAATCGCCCACCGTTCAAAGCGGTCGAGCGAAAATTTTTCTGAGTTTTTACACCGGTCGAGGAACCAGAACGCAAAGAAGGCAGCCCTCCGATACGACGACTCGAACTCAAAAAGCAGGGCAAGGGCTTTGCCTCACGTGAGTAGAGTTGGGCGAGGTTGGGCCTAGGCCTGTTCGTTGGGGCGGGGGATGCGGTGGGCAACCGGGGGAGGCTGCGCCAAGTTAGGTTGCACGCTGTTAGTTTAGGCCAGGGCGGGCCATGTTGATGCGGGTTGATGGGCTTGTCAGAGGCGGGTCGTAGTCTGGGCCCTTTGGGTTGGGGTGCTTACGGTTGGTCTGCAGGAGTGGGTGGCGGGGTGGTTTTGCCGCAGGGGCGTGAGGGTAAGTGGGGGAAGTATCAAAAATATAGCAGAGCCGATTAACCGCACCGGCGCATCATCAACGCAACCCGAGGGCGGCGCCACCTGCCTAAACTGTTCCACCGCAGCACCAGAAAAGTGCGCCCCGACTGGAGCAGAGGAAGGGCGAGTTTGAACTCGCTGCCCGGAAGCTGCCGCGGCGGGCGTGCTCAGCTGATGCGCCACACCTTGAGGCGCATGGCTGCGCCGGACAAGCAAGTCCTGCAGCAGAGACGACGCCACCAGCTCCAGCAGATACGTCGCAGCAGACCGGTAGCATCTTCATCAGCACGGCCACAAGCTTAACGCGCAACGCGGTCCACTTTTCACGGGTTCCCACGAAAAGCGGACCATTGGCCGCCGATTAAGAACGTGCCGAAATCCTTTCCAGTGCGAGGCTGCCAAAGCATCCACCGCTCAGGCCACCCCCGCCCAAGGCCTTCGCGATGTAGTGAGCCACACGCAGGACCGAGGCGGCAAGAGATGCCCGCTCGGTGTCCCGGGATCGCTGCCCAGCCGCAGCGAAACCGGTAACCAGATGCCAGAAAAGCACAGGAAAGAAGAGAAGGCGAGACGCGAAACCGATGGCAAAAGAGCAAACCGCGGCCACGCCTTGGGCAGGATCGGGGGAAGCAAATGAAGACAAGAGGGGGCAAAGAAATCCAAAAGGGAACCGAAGTAGCGCTGTCCCATGGCGGCGGTTGCGCTTGAGAGTTTCGCGGGGAGGACTCCGATGGCGCGCAAGTGTCTCCCGAGAGATCATAACAGGACCGCGGCGCAGAGGTGGCCGGCCCGTGGCATTATATAGAGAGAGACGCGAGGAGGCGCGAGAAACAAACGAGGGAAAGCAGCCGACGCGAAACCGATAAGCAGATGCCAGAAGAGCACAGAAAAGGAGAGAAGGCAGCACGCGAAACCGATAACCAAGCGGACGGCCCAAGAGCAAAACGCGGCCACGCCTTGAGCAAGACCGGGGGAGGCAAACGGGAGAAAAAAGGGGCAGAGAAACCGACAAGGGAACCGAAGCAGCGCTGTCCCGTAGCGGTTTCGCCTAAGAGTTTCGCGGGGACCCACTCAGAACCGACACCCGCACAAAGTTCGAAACTGTTAAGGGACAGAACTTAGGCAAGGCGAAACCGCTAAGGGACTTGCAAAACGGCCGGCAGCTTTTTGCGTTTTGTCTTCGCTTTTTTGGCCTTTTTCCCGCGTTTCTGTTTTGTGTTGTAGCCATTCCAGGCGAGGCCTCGCCGCGTGAGTGTCTCGCTTTTTGGCGGGTTTGCTCCCTGAGTGTTCAAAAGCCGAAGCCGATGGATAAGCGACCCACGCGAAACCGATAACGGCACCCGGAAAGCCTTCGCCGCCTTGGAGGTTTTGGACGTGTTTCGCCACCCACCACAGTGAGAGCACAGGCCACAAGCGCGCAAACCTCCGGGGATACTGCGCACCCCGTCGCCGCGTCGCTCTGTCGCGGTGCGCAGGTGCGTCGCTACTTTGCTCCGCTTGCACATCGGCGCGGCGACTGAACAGACAAGACAGCCGAACAAGCAGAACGACGCAGCAGACAGAACGACCAGCGGAACGGACGGAGCGACAAAACAGACAAGACGACCAAGCAAGGAGAACGACAGAAGAGACAAGAACAAGACCGAACAGCCAGAACGACGGGACAGACAGAACGACGGGACAGACAAGACGACGGAACAGACAAGACGACGGGACAGACAGAACGACTGAGCAGACAGAACGACGGCCAAACAGGCGGAACGACTTAGCAGACAAGACGGGGGAACGCCCCCAGGCCGTTGGGCGGTGCGTGGCCATGCTTCAGCCGCATCCACCACGGCGCGCCCTCGAATCACAGGGAAGCGAGAATGGAGCGAAGAAGGGAGCCAGAGGAAGACGACAGCCGCGCCAGCTCTTCAGAGAGCCCAGCCCTGCGAGCTCTGCGCGGGTTGGCTCGCACGTCGCTGCTGTCTGCTCCTCTCTCTTTCCTCTCTCCTCCCCCGGTGATTCGAGGGCGCGCCGCGGTGGCCGCGGCTGGCGTGCGCCGTGCTGTGTCTCTCAAGCTGGGCGAAGTCTTTGGACTGGCTCCGCCCTGTGTTTGAGGGCGACTGCTGGCAGCCGCGGCCGGGGTGCGCTTGGCGGTGTTGCGGTGCGGTTTTTTCTTAGCGTAACCGATGGCACAGCCTCCATGAGTTGAGAGAGGGGAACATCATGGACAAACCTGCTGAGAGAGACCCACCCAAGGGACAAGCGGGAGCCAGCAAGAGCTCGCCCAAAGAGGTCAAATCTGACAAATTTTACGCATGCCCGTCCATTATTTTGGAGAAGCTTGAAACAGGTGGAAAGCCTCTGCCACAAACATCGGGACTTCTTCAAGGCCTTGGCTCGCTTTGGTAGGTCTCCGGCGCGGGTCCTCTTCGATGTGGGTGCCCTTCGCTGCGGAGGCCATTCCCAAGCGCAGCGGTCACTTTTGGCGCCCGTGCATTCCTTGGCATACCTTGCCGCGAGTCGCGGGTGGCGTAGTGACAGGCTACCAGGCTGCGCGCGTGGCCTGTCGGTGGCAATTCATAAGGTAGCAAAATAAGGCAGCGGATTCACTTCAGTGGAGACCATAAAAGAAGAGCACCCCGCTCAGCTTTTTCGGCTCAGAATCTAGAGGGGGGGCCGGGCTCTAGAGCTGGGGACTTTTTTCAATAGGGACAAAAAGCAGAACAAGCCGCAACTTTTTTGGCGCAGGATCTAGGTAGAGGGAAGGGATTTGGCCGCGAATCTATTTCAGGGAGGACCGGGAAAATAATACCCCCCCACCTTTTCCACCGAGAATCTAGACAGGAGAGCGCGGGCTATAAATTCACTCCATAGGGGACCAGAGAGCTGCCCTTAACTTTTTCCGCTCAGAATCTAGAGGGAAGGGCTTGGGCTGTGGGCCTTTTTCAGGGGAGGCCGGAAAAGGCTGAACGCTTTCCACTTTTTTGGTTCAATTACCAGAGGGCAGCGCTTGGGCTGTGAATTTATTCCCGTGGGCTTTGGAAAAAAAGGACTGCTCTCCACTGTTTGCGGCTCAATTACTAGAGGGGAGTGCTCGAGCTATGAACTTACTCCACTGGGGACTAGAAAAGAGAGAGCCCTCTTCGCGTTTTTCTGTGCAATTACTAGAGGGATCTGCTTGGGCTGCCAATTTATTTCGTTTGGGATTAGAACGGTCCTAGCTTTTTTCTCGCCTTTCTGTTCAATTACTTGAAGGGAGTGCTTCAGGTGCGAACTTATTCCATTTGCGACCGGGAAGAAAACGCTTGGGACTAGGGCAAAAAAGCTTTTTTTGTTCATTTTCGCAAGTTTTCCCCTTCAAAATGAGACCACCAGGAATTTTTGCCAGTGCTTTCCCAGGGCAAAAAATGCCAAGGGGTGAACTTTTTTGAATTTTCCAGCCATCTGCTCCATGCTCGAAAATTTGACGCAGCTGGGCCCTCCCCCCGGGGTATGTATTGCCCAGCCGAGCAGTCGCCTACTTTCTACGAAAATAAGGAAAAGCGCTCTCTAATTTTTTTAGAAAGTAGGCAGCTGCTCCACTGGAAAACACATCCTGGGACCCTTGCCCGGCGTTTAAGGTTCTAGCAAGACTAGAAACCGCGCACGCGTTCGCGGGTGTGTTTGTTTTCCCGTATTTTAAACTTCTTTAATGTGTCAACATTTTTGGAATTTCTAGAGCCGTGGAGGCTCTAACTGGAGACAGCTCGATCTTCGCAAATTTTAAGCACATCACTGCAAAAATTGGCAAAAGTGTAAATTTTTCGAAAGAGGCCAGCCTCCCCCAGCCACCAAGGAAAAAAAAGGCGGCGAAAGCAATTCGCACTGATGTGATTTTTTTCGCCATGCAGCCACCCGTAGCCAAGCAAAAAAGAAGGACCCTCTTAATTTTTTTGGCTGGGGGTGGCTGCACGGCGAAAAAAAGCACATCAGTGGCGATTGTCTTCGCCGTCTTTTTTTATTTTGGAGCAAGTGGCGAGAAAAATGCAAAATCGTCAAATTTGTCGCTTTTTTTTGCTTAGCCAGCACTGGTAAAAATTCCCCAGGGTGCTGATTTCCAGCCAAGAGCTAGAAAGTTGCTAGGTTGTTGCTTTTTTTTCTAGTCCGCACTGGTAAAAAATCCGCAGGGTGCTGCTTTGAAGTTGGAAAGTTATCAAAAAGCTGCGAGGTTGTTGCTCTTTTTTCTAATCAGCACCGGCAACAGGTCCGAGGATACTGCTTCCAAGTTACAAAGTCGCCAGAAGCTGAATAGGGTTGCCCTTGCTCCTTGTCTCTGTTCGATGTTGATC